ACACAATTTGACCTGATAAAAAAATCTAAAATAAATTTTGAAGCACGACCCCTTCACAAAAAAGAACTAATATTTAAGTAAAGAATATTATTAAGTTTCATTTCCAACTTAAACAAGATTTGACCTGACAAAAAGTATCACAAAATTTTGACCTACGATCCCTAACAAAAACGAACTAAAAGAACTGATCTTTAAATAAAGAATTAGTTCCATCTCCAACTTAAACAATATTTGACCGAACAAAAGGAATCTAAAAAAGTTTTGATATACGACCCCTGACAAAAAAAAGAACTGATAGGTATTTAAAAAAGAATAAGTTCCATATCCATATCCCAATAAACACAATTTGACCTGATAAAAAAATCTAAAATAAATTTTGAAGCCCAACCCCTTCACAAAAAAGAACTAATCTTTAAGTAAAGAATATTATTAAGTTTCATTTCCAACTTAACCAACTTCAACAAGATTTGACCTGACAAAAAGAATCACAGAATTTTGACCTACGATCCCTAACAAAAACGAACTAAAAGAACTGATCTTTAAATAAAGAATTAGTAATATCTCCAACTTAAACAATATTTGACTCGACGAAAAGATATTTAAAGAAATTTCGATAATAAAAACTTACCACCCTAAACAAAAACTAAAATTAAAAATAATTAATTAATGGTAGGTACTTGCCAAATTCCTTGATGAGTTCTGGTTAAATCGTATTATCCTTATATGGTTGTCTTATTTCTTATTATCCATTGGTAAATAATTAATTGGTAGGTACTTGCCAAATTCCTTGATGAGTTCTGGTTAAATCGTATTATCCTTATATGGTTGTCTTATTTCTTATTATCCTTGGGTTAATGCTATAACATGTTGAACCTAAAAAAAAATACAATTAGACGATTGCAACTTTTATGTTTTTATTTTTTTAAATATCAAAAAAATCGTAGTAATATTTGAGATAATAGATGCGTTAGAATTCTAATAATACGTATATAGGTAGGTACCTAGCAATTTGTATACAAATACATCTATAGATGTAGATCAAAGTAATAAATGAGCATGTTTGTCGTATCAAAGCCAAATTACAACTAAATGGTTGATTACGTTGAGGGGATTATAATTATTTTTATCAGCAAAAACAAAAAAAGAGTGAGTCAGACTTGCGCGATAAACATATTACGTTAAGGGTGACAAATTTTAATTATACATATATTTGATATTTATTAATTTATTAATACTCAAATAATCTAATTTCGATTATACAGTTTCCCAAAAATTACGCACCATTTTGAGTTATTAGGGTTTAAAAATTTAATTTAATTTGTGTTATTTTCTAAAGACGTTTTGAAAATAAAAACTTAAACAAGAATCATTTTTATACGTATACTTTTTATACTTATTGCAACCATGGTTGATATTTTTGTTGAAAATATTAAACACAAAAATTATAGATATATACAGTGTGACCCATTTGTTTGCGACTCACCCCTGTAAAATCTTTATTTATTGTGCGACTTTAACCGGATTTGTTTTAAAGTGTAGATCTTGATAAACTGTATTTTTGGAGCAAAAAACGCCATATTTGTACAAAATACAAGGCCTACTATGTCAGTTTTTGGGAGTAAATTTGTAAGAATTCATATTAGCGATTTTTTTGAACAAAATCTAAGCACGGCACTGGATTCACCAAATCGACCCTACATTAAATTTTATTGAAAAATTTTAAGTAGAAAAATGCACAATAATAACTACAAAATTTTATTTTGTCAAGTTATCCATGAAAAAACATTGAAATAAAATTAAACTAATAGATGCATGGTACTATTACTTGCTTAGATTTTGTTTAAAAAATCGCTAATATGAATTATTAAAAATTTACTCTAAAAAACTGACACAGTAGGCCTTGCATTTTGTACTAATATGGCGAATTTGGTTCCAAAAATACAGTTTAACAAGATCTACACTTTAAGACAAATCCGGTTAAAAAACTATTTAAATTTTCTAAAGGTTAAAATCAAAGGCGATTTTATAAATAAAAGTAGACTAAGCAAGTTTGAAGAAATTTAGTTAAAAAAACTTAAAAATTAGCGAATAAATAGGTACCTACTTTTATTTTAGTCAAAAAATTTCAAAATAATAAATTGGTACTTGCCAAATTTATTGATGAGTTCTGGTTAAATCCCATTATCCTTATATATATTGGTTGTCTTATTTCTTAATATTCATTGGCTTAATAGCCATGGCTTTAACATGTTGGTCCTGGAAAAAAAATACAATTAGACCATTTAATGACTGCAACTTTTATGTTTCTTATTTTTTTTAATATCAAAAATATTCGTAGTATTATTTGACCTAATAGATGCGTAAGAATTCTAATAATACCTAGCAGTTTGTTGATTTAGATAAAAGTAATAAATGAGCATGTTCGTCCCATCAAAGCCAAATTCCAACTGAACGCTTGATTACGTTGTAGGGATTATAATTATTAACAAAAACAACCAAAAAAGAGGGTGAGTCAGACCTGCGCGATAAACATATTAAGTTAAGCGTGACGAATTTCTTAATTATATATTTGTTATTTATTATTTTATTAATAATCAAATTTTGAGTAATTAGGGTTTAAAAATTGAATTTAATTTGTGTTATTTTCTAAAAACGTTTTAAAAATAAAAACTTAATATTTTTGTTGAAAATATTTAACACAAAAATTATAGATATATACAGTGTGACCCATTTGTTTGCGACTCAACCCTGTAAATCTTTATTTATTGTGCTATTTTAACCAGATTTGTTTTAAAGTGTAGATCTTGATAAATTGTATTTTTGGAGAAAAAAACGCCATATTTGTACAAAATACTATGTCAGTTTTTGAGAGTAAAGTTTTAAGAATTCATATGAGCGATTTTCTTAAACAAAATCTAAGCACGGCACTGGATTCACCACCCCTCAAAACGACCCTAAATTAAATTTTATTGAAAAATTTTAAGTAGAAAAATGCACAGTAATAACTACAAAATTTTATTCTGTTAAGTCATCCATTAAAAAACATTGAAATAAAATTAAACTACTTGCTTAGATTTTGTTTAAAAAATCGCTAATATGCATTCTTAAAAGTTTACTCTAAAAAACTGACATAGTAGGCCTTGCATTTTGTTTGCTCCAAAAATACAGTTTATCAAGATCTACAAGACAAATCAGGTTAAAATCGCACAATAAATAAAGATTTTACAGGGGTGAGTCGCAAATAAATGGGTCACTGTATATACATTGATATACTGTATATATATTGATTTTAAACAACAAAAAACTATTTAATTTTTCTAAAGGTTAAAATCAAAGGCGATTTTATAAATAAAACTAGACTAAGCAAGTTTGAAGAAATTTAGTTAAAAAAACTTAAAAATTAGCGAATAAATGGGTACCTACTTTTATTTTAGTCAAAAAATTTAAAAATAATAAATTGGTACTTGCCAAATTTATTGATGAGTTCTGGTTAAATCCCATTATCCTTATATATATGGTTGTCTTATTTCTTGGTATCCATTGGCTTAATAGCCATGACTTTAACATGTTGGTCCTAGAAAAAAAATACAATTAGACCATTTAAGGACTTCAACTTTTATGTTTTTTATTTTTTTTAATATTAAAAATATTTGTAGTATTATTTGACCTAATAGATGCGTTAGAATTCTAATAATACCTAGCAATTTGTTGATGTAGATAAGAGTAATAAATGAGCATGTTCGTCCCATAAAAGCCAAATTCCAACTGAACGCTTGATTACGTTGTAGGGATAATTATTAACAAAAACAACCAAAAAAGAGGGTGAGTCAGACCTGCGCGATAAACATATTACGTTAAGCGTGACGAATTTCAGTTGGCAAGAGTGGTCCCAAGGAAACAAAAAGTTAGCAGCACTGGAGAGAAAACGATGCGTTTACAGATTTATAGATTGCCTTCCTTCCTTCCTCCTGTAAAAGATGAACAATACGAAAACCGTAGTGCTGTTTATAGATTCCCGGAAATCTATAAACAAAACGGTTTTCGTATTGTTCATCTCTTACGGGATGGCAACATTGCACAGCAGTGTCGCCAATAAGAGAATATTAAATATAAATATAACTTTTATATTCTACGCTATTTTGAGAAGTTTAACAACTTTTATATATAGCCTGTATAATAAAGGTATGTATCTTTGAAATTGGAGTTATTGTCACAACAAACGTTTTTTGAAAATAGATAATATATATTATATAATATAATAAAAAAGCTGTCTTTATTAAAATTCTAATTTCTATTAAATTGAGAAAATACTATAATGTGCATCTCAAGAGGCGGCACGTCAATGTATGACGAATTTCATCCATTACGTCACTAGCGTGCCCGTAAAAACTAAATTGCAGGCACTCTAACGTGCACGTAGTCACTGCGATATAAAAATGGTTGATTTTAAGGTTATGTTTGTGCAAAAATATTTTTTACTAATTTCTTAAATATGTCCAAACTTAAATATAAGTTATATTAGGTAAATTTATCATTAGTTAATTCTGCACCAACAAATGTACTTACCGAATTGGAACCTTGGCAAAACATGAAAATGCAACGATTTAGTTCTTGAATTTTATTTACTATTAAAAACACTATAATTTACCATTATCCCTTGGATAAAATACACACACTAACGGAACTATATAAGCATTTAAGCGTTGAGTTTCTTAATCAATGATATAAGGAATAATCAATCGAAATTGAGTACTAAACCAGTTTTTTAGTTTTTTCCTTGCGCAAAACACAAATAACGTGCGCGATTTAGCTGTGCAATTGAACAAAATTTGTCTTCCTATCTTTTGTGAAAAAACTACCTATTAATTTAAAAACTATGTACAGTTCGTATGCTTTAAATGCGTTGCGAAAACCCGATACTTCTTTAGCGTATATCTATATCTGATATCAGTCATAGATAAATGGATGAAACCAATTTTGCTATTTTTTTTTAATTATAGGCAGCAATTGTGAATTTGACGACCACATAAAAGAAGGTAAAGACAAAAATGCCTCAAGAGAAACCCTAAAATTCCTCAGCAAAATATTTAAAGTGAACAGTAGTATTATCAAAAAACGCTGGCAGTTACACCCTTTTAACTTGCAAGTGCCTTATTTGGACATGGAAAAAACTTTTCAGCACTTAAAATCCTTGGATTTTCAAACCAAAGACATCTATGATTGCATGCACATTATTTTATACCCCAAGTAAGTTATTTTTATATAAATCGTTATTTTTTAGCATATGCGACGAATCTTCCTTTGTAGATCGTCACATATGTGTCCATAATTGTCCATTCGTAAAAAAATATTTATTCCGTGAAACTGTTTTAGAGAAAAAATCATCAAAGCCTTGGGAGACATCAGAAACGATAAAAACATTAATTGCGATAATTTAACCCCCGCTCAGATCCTCAATTTAATTTTGTACTTTCTCGAAAGAGAGCACCATTTTACGGGAAACGGCGTTTGGCAGAAGTACGAAACTGCGCCACCAGATAAAGTACTAGAATAAAAAAAATGCAAAAATATTACAGTAATTTTATTTAATTTGGGTTACATCATAGCTAAAACAAAATAAGATAACAATATTAATTAGTGCACTTGAGAACGAAAGTATTTTTGTTTTTATTAAAAGTGGTTTGTTTATAAATGGTTAAAGATTTAATTTCATATCGAAAATTAGGGCTGATATGCACATAATACAGGGTGTTATGTAATTAATGTAATATATTAAAATACTGAATACCTTTTGACATAAGGTGTAACGGAAAAATTATTAAATAATATTAGGAGTTTTTTATATTTTTTGTGATACGCCACTGGTTACACACTTGTGTTCTGTGAGTATATAGATACCAACCAACAAAGTAGCTGCGAGTTGCCGGTTGTAAAAATTTGTTACTAAAAATTTTTCTTGCAAAAAATAAATAAAAACTCAATAAATAAAAAAGTGTTTTGCCCTTAAAGCTCTAATACCCTTCTGTATTTATTTACTCATTTTATTAGCTTAAGCAGTGATTAGAAAATTTAGTAACCATTTTAAAAACTCCATAACCACAAAATAATTTTTTTCATCGGTTTTTTTCTTTCTGTTTACCCAGATGAAATTAGGACAAGTTCACATGTTAAACTTTAAACATTCAATTTGTGTAAATAAATCCAAAAGCACTTCCCTTAGTTAAGATATTTACAATTTGAGCACATAACCTAAATTTGAAAGAAATGCACTGGATTCTGTCATATAAGTTGCCAGATTTTGTTTGAATTTACCTTCATTACAGAAATGACACAATCAACAATTAAAAAAACGCCAAATTAACAATTTTCATTGTTGATTTTGTCATTTTTGTAATTAAACTTAATTTAAACAAAATCTGGCAACTTTTTTTGACAGAATCTGGAAAAGCTGGTTGTTACCAACCACAACATAATAAATTAAATTAGGCAACCAGATTAGCCTTAGTTTCTAGTCGACCAGTGGATTACTTTTTGGTAGGATAAAGGTTGTTATAAATTATTTGTAGTCTTTGGAATTTAGAAGAAAAAAAAATTCAGGTGCTTCTTTATGGACCCTTATAAACTACCCACTTTAATAAATCACATTCATTTTATAACACCCTGTATAGTTTGCATAAAAATAATTAATAAATAAATAATTAAATACTTTTGCTTGTAACATTACTTACAAATGCTTTCTGAAGTTGAGATTCGATATTGGGCTACATATGGCTATGCATACGCAAATTGCACAGCATAAAGCGAGTATCAAAAGTAAAAACCAAAAAACGATGAACTCTGTAAAAGTAAGTCTGTCAAAAATCGTACTCTCGTCCTCGTACGGCGAATTTTTTGAGAATTCGTCAGACGTTCGTTCTGCAAACATTATCTTTAAATGTTTTGTTTTATTTGAAATTTGACAGCGTCAAATATTTGGGGGTTATGTTGGCAAATATTTTATACATATACTTACCACACATTTGTGTGGTAAGTATATGATTTTATATTGGTAAGAAGTTCTTACTAATCCACACAAATGGATTGTGGAACCAATAACCAAACTACAGGAAAAGTGAGGTTAAAATTATTTAACAAATGTCAGAACTTCAGTTAAAACGCAAATTTAATTATAATTATGCGCGAGCGGAGCATGTTTTTAATAAATAAGCGATCTTGTTCTAGAACGATCGCAAAGTTTTTTCAGAATTTAAAGGAAATTTTATTTGACATTGTATCTGACAAATGTCAAGCGGTTTTAAACCCACTTTTTTTCATTTTAATGCACTAGTGCACCAGCAGTACACCAGTATATTTAATGTAGGAGTAAAGTTCGTTTTTTTTTATCTGGACTGCGGCAACGTTGCAAATTTAGGGTTTTGGTTGGTAAATACAGAAACAAAATTGGTCGCATTGATTAAAACAAACTAAGCTAGTTATAAATCTAATTGTGGTTATGTATAAATAATTGTAGTTTACATTGTGCAGTTGTCAAGTTGAGTTGTCGAAATTCGTAGTTAAAAATGCAATTAATTTGGCTTTGGTGATGCTTGGATGAGAAAGTATTCCTAGCGGATAATAATCTTCGCTTTGAAAAGATTTTATATAAAAGAAATTAAAATTGTTTGTGAACGTAAATGTTGTCCAATGGTGAATAATGTGAAAATAATGTGTTATGTAATATTTATAAAACCAAATTCGTTACTTTTTTACTCCAAAAATGTCGATAAGGCGATGTACTTTTTCTTTCTTTGTGGCATTTGACATAATTTCATCAAAATGAAGTTTTGCCCTCAAAAGGGCTTTTACATTCGAATTCGTTGCTATTATTTTTGGCATAATTACCTATCTTTTTATTTATAATTGACAAGTTAATTATCAATAATAAATATTATTGTCAATTTGACAGTGTCAAAGTATTTTATTAAATTCTTTAGCAGAAGTACCATTTTTAAATACTAAAAATACTAAGTCAAACTGGCATAAGCCACCAACCTAACAAAAAAACACGAGTCCAGATAAAAAAAATTAACTCTAAATGATGTAGGTATAAACTTTGAAACAATTTTTTTTGTTGAATTAATAAAAAATCAAAATGAATAATGGAAAATCTCAAGTATATTTTAATTACTCAAATTATTGAACAAATATTTTATATTATTAGATATTATTTAAAGGCTGAAGTATTTCTCTAGAAAAAGCTAGTAACAATGATAACTATCTTAACTCTGTATTTACCGAATTTTTTTATTTCGATATCTATTCGAAAAACTACGTATAAAATGGGGAAATTCGTCCGTAAACTTAACATTTGTTTTGTTTAAATTGCACCATGAAGTGGTTAATTGTTGTGGCATTCTGCTTATTTTCGTCAGCTTTTGCTTTCGAAAAAAATCTTCAATTTGACGGGCATAGAGATATTGTGGATAGATTGAAAGAGGAATTGGTGAACCCTAAATTGGGGTAGGTTTATTTTTTAGAATAAAGGAAATATTACGTTGTTTGAAATAGTGTTTCAGGTGTTTCTGCTATAATTAACGAATATGCAGACAGGCTTTTAGCGAATTTGGATAAAAAAATCACTAATAGTAGTTTAGATCCTTTGGATATTCCTGGGTATGATCAAAAAGTAAGTAAAGTTCATGTTGTGTAGAAAATTATTAAACATTTAATTTTTTAGTTTTTGGGTGAAGAGACAAAATTGAGCAAAGGAAAACTTCATGGCTTGTCCACATTACATCGCTATAAAGATTGCATTATAACTTACGAAAGAACCGAGGACGTGTTAACTGTACAAATTCCCATACAATTTAATGACATTTCGGTATAAAAAAATATTTTATAGACTGTGATGAATTTTTAACACATTTTTTAGTTTACCTATGATTATTTGATCAAAGTAATTTTGATCCCTTACAAAGGCGGTGTAACGGGAAAAATGACCAATTTTAGGATGAATTATGTTTTCAGTTTGGATTTAAACACTTACCATGTGGCTTTGAAAACATCTGAAATAACCCACTCTGGGTAAGCAGAAAATTTTATTTCAACATAAAAAATAAAATGATTTGTTAGTAAAAATTAAACACAAAAAGTTTAATTAAATTTATTTATATTTACTACATATACCACTCTATCAAGAATTTAATTTAAGATGAATTACTTGGTAAAAATTGCATTTGTTTTAAAAAAAGTTATAAACAAACTACTTAAATATTTTTTTAATAGTCTATTGTATCCATATAAAGTTCAGATAACAATTATCTCACAATAAGTACTTACTGTTCAGGGTGTCCTAATTTAAGTTGACCACCCATTATTTTCCTTATTTTCAGTATATTTTTGTCAGTCAAAAACTTTTCTTGAAAAATTGTTCATAAATTTTTGAAATATGAGATTAGATTTTTTTTATCTAAAAAATACAGGGCTGTTCAGACAATTTTTTTTTCCATTTGCAATATATTTTTAACTGTTCTATGGATTGTCTCAAGAGCAATTCAAAAATATGTGACACCAGAAATAACAATAAAATGAAACATAACAAGCGCAAAAACATTTTTTAATAAATAAAATATTTTTAGCCACATCGATCTTACCTTTAAGGGTCATATTTTGGACTTGATAATAAATTTATTAAGCGAACTTTTCACCACTGTGTTGGGTCCAATTATACGAAGTTTTATTCAATTGTCTTTTAACGGAATAATTAATAATGTTGTTGATTCCATAAATACTGCAATTGATACTGTATTCCATCCCACCACAGTCTCCTCATTGTTATTTAATTAAAATGTTATTTTTAGATTATAATTTTATTAAAATAATAATAAATTTTTAGTGTAATTTTTGTTTTTTTACACCCATAAATCTTATCCAAAAAATCCATGTAATTTTTTAAAACACGCGATTTTTATAACTGTAAACTATTTTTCCATTCAATTTGTTTTATAGAAAATACCAAACTCAAAAAGCAAAATGTATATGAAATATACACCAGTACATTCTACATGTATATGTCGTTTATATGAGATATGGTCACAGACCTACAAACAAGTTTGTAGGTCTGTGGATATGGTCGTTTTAAATGAAACACCCTAGTATATATATATAATACTAGGGTGTTTCATTTAATACTTATGGTATTTATAATTTAAAAAACCCTAAAGATATTTTTCATCAAGTTGTTTAAAAAATACAATGACGCAGATGTGTTTCAAATTTTTTAGTAGTTTCTATCTAGATACTTGACTAAAGTATCATAAAATCATAATTATCCATGCAAAAATAAGCACTTACATTTAATTAAAGATGATAAGAAAATGAAATAAATATCGCGAGTTAGATTTAAAAAATTCAATTCATTATATCGCATCACTATGAAATTTTTGGTGTTTTTCGTGGCTTGCATCGCCTTGGCCAAGGCCAATTATGCTGAATTAATTTCGCAAAAGTATGAAAGCAGCACTTTTGAGATCCCCCAAGATGTTGCCGAAGATTTTTTGGTCCTTGCAAGAGCAGCTGAACAAGGGTAAGAAATAAAAATGATTTTAATACTTTATATTTTATTTTTTATTATTTAGGCTCGAATCTGGAACATCCGCTGTTATAAATAATTACACTGACAGACTTTTGTTAAACATTGGTAAATTTATCGTGCACTCTGGTATGGACCCCATGGAATTGCCTGAGTTGAACCAAAAAGTAAGAAAAAGAAATATTTTGAAATGTTTGTTGATAGTAATTCTGAAAAATATTATTGATACTCAAAACTTATTTAAGACAAATAATTTATATGAAAACCTTATGTAGGGAGTGTTGTGCGTTTTGCCTAAAGCATCAGAAGTAAAGTTGTTAAAGCTGGTTTAAGATGGCATTCTTAAGAAAGTTATATGTATACATATAGCTTAAGTTGACATTCTTAAGACATTTATATTTAGTTTAAAAACTTGAAGTTTTAGGATAGCGTTTATCGAAAAGTAACCAAGCGCCAAAAACTTTTTCTGGGCTAAACAAAATTATTTGCAAAATAACTCATTTTTAATGCTGCTCAAAAAATTAATAATAACTTGGGAACCTTCTTAATCCTTTTAAGAAAAGTCTCAAATGATGATTAACCTTTTGAGTTATTTTACAAATAATTTTACTAATCCCAGAAAAAGTTTTTGGCGCTTGGTTCCTTTTTGATAAGCCTTATCCATTTATAAATTTAAAATATTTTCAACTATCATGTATTGAAAGATAAAATTACTAACTTATGTAAGTATTAAACATCATTTTTTAATAAAAATGATTTTTAAGTTTAATTTATTTTGGCAGAATTTAGTAAATCTTAAATAAATATTTAATAAAATTATTTAGATTAAATTGGTAAAGTTACATTTTTTAGTATTTAAAAATAGTGTAGACATTTAAAATAAAAACACATAAAAAACATTTTCTACCAAAATAGTTTAAAAAGTTTAATTTTTTTAAACTCAAAACAATTGATAATCAAAAAATATTTTAAATATAAAATGTATTCTACAAAATTATTGGTTTAAATTTCTAAAGTCATTTAAATGATAGTCGATAAATTTTTAATACAAACATTCTTAAATTACATTTAAATGTTAGTTTTAAATTTTAAAACTTTAAATTTAAATGTAATGCGAGAATTTTTGTAGTAAAATTGTATCGACTTTTATTTAAATGACTCTGTACAAATTTAAATCAATAATATTGTAGAATAAAATATTTGTAGGTACTAAAATTTTTAAAAATCAATGCTTTTAAGCTAAAAGTTTTACACAACTTTGTATTTTATATTTAAAATATTTTTTGACCAAGTATCAATTGTTTTGATTTAAAAAAATGTAACTTTATAAATTTGTGTTAAAACATTATTTAAGTGCTTAACTTTAATCTTCAAACTATTATCTAATTATCAATGGTATGGCCATTTTCGATTTTTTTATGATTTTATTAAAACCATATCATTAAAAGGGTAATCATTTTTTAGTTGATCCCAGTGGGTCATTTCTACCTTACTGAAGGATGGCTTCAAGACACCTCCACCATTGGTAGATACGGAGATGTAATTGTAAGCTACAGCCATGACAAAAAATTCTCCATTGAGATGCCACTCTTGTTCGACGATCTTCAAGTAAATTAATAAACATTTAAAAACTGCAAACAAAACTAACCTATATTTTTTAGCTGACCTACAACTACAAGGTCAAAGTAGGTCTTGTCTCCTACAAGGGCGAAGTTCTCGGCAAAATTAAGAACCTAAAAATGAAAGCGATCCTCGACTTCGACTTCAACACCTACCAGGCTTCTCTGAAGAAATTCGACATGACCAAAACCGGAACCCTAACCCTGAAATTCACCGGAAACGTTCTCGTTGATTGGCTCGTCAACGCAATGAGTTCAGCTGTTTCACTGCTCCTTCACCCAATCATCACCAGAATCATGACAAACTTAGTCAAGTTGCCACTTGAATCTGTTGTCAGCATGGTCAACAATCTTATCAACAGCATTTTGTTCCCCGCTACTACCACACTGGCACCTGTGCTTTTGTAAGACAATTCATTTAATAAATTATTTTAATTATTTGTTTGTATCATTCATTAAATCAGTTAAAACTATAACGGCTGATGACAGTGCGCTATGGACGATTTTCAGTGTTCTGCGCACTCTGGATTACCTCGATTGTTATTATTATTATGTCTCTAAAGTCCAACTCTTAGTTATCAACTTTTAAATATAATATAAAAGAGAACGCAGAAATTAATCAGGTTCCCTATAGTATTTTAAAGAACTAATGTGATAAGACGTCATTTTGTCGCACGCGGGCAATTTATAAAAAAAGAAGCGAGTTTTGTAATGGACGAGTGCGACAAAAGGTCTTATGACATGAGTTCTTTATGTTATTTTATCTATTTTGCAAAAATTCTATAAAAAAAATTAATTTTATACCTTAAATTTAATTTGGTCGAATTTTACTTTAGATAGTTGGTATCACAGTCATTGGTTTGACAGTTAATGTCAAAATCGATTCGCCATGCCGTCCTTAATTTACTTATTTACAATAAGCGGCTGTTAATGTTAAAGAAGGAAAAAAGGATTTTCTTTGGTGTTAAACAAAATTTATTGCCAGAAAAGTCTCGTAAGCACTAGAAAAATCATAAAATATTATAACCAATTATTGGTCTATTATAGACTGGGCCAAAAAAATTAACTATTTTTTTTTTGAAAAGTATATCGAAAGTATGGTTTGGGGTCGCAAAAAAAATTATTGTGAAATTTTGAGTCCATAATATTATTACGAGGTCTATCATCGCAATTTTAATTTTTTTTTCCTCAGCAAGTTTTAGGCTCAGAACTCCCAAACCATTAAGTTTAACAAAATTGACTTGAAAATATTTTTTTAAGAAAATTAAATGCTCTACAAAAAAGGTTGAAGTGAAATTTACAAAAAAAGCCTCTTAACATTTTTGGCTAAATTCACTCAATCAAAAGTTATTCAATGTTAAAATTTCGTTTTGATGGGGTGAATTTAGCCAAAAATGATAAAAGACTTTTTTTGTATAGCATTTGATTTCCCATAAGAATATTTATCGTTTTTTTTTCTGGGTACTGATTTTTACTTGAATTACAAAATTCCAAAGTTAAAAGATCAAATTGTAAAACTATACCAATTTTTAAGGCATGATTGTAAGAAAAGGGTTCATCTGACGGAAAATTCCAATTAAACCTTTTTTGAAGAGCATTCAATTTTCTTCAAAAATATTCTTAAGTCAATTTTGTTAAACTCAATGATTTGGGAGTTCTGAGAAAAAAACTCGCTCAGGAAAAAAAAATCTAAAATTGCGATGATAGACCTCTTAATATTAATATTATGGACTCAAACTTTCACCACATTTTTTTTGTCACCCCAAACAATATTTTCGATAAACTTTCCAAAAAAAAAATAGTCGATTTTTTTGGCCCAGTCTAATAACTAATATGCAAAATATGCGGTTTAAAGTATAGCAAACCTATAAAATCAAAATTTTGGGTGGGATAAAGTATCTCATTACAGCACCGAAAGCGGTGTTATAATGAAGTCATAATGAACACAAAATAGATAAAATATATATATCTATCGTTATTTTTTAATAATTTTTGTTTTGATTTCTGGTTTCTAGATTATTTTAATCATGAAGATTATTTTTTCATCCAACCAAATTAAAAAATCAAAAGTTTATGACGAAAACTGTGTAGCCTTTTATATATAATTTTAGATACATAAATATTAAAAAAAAACATGGTATACTACATTTACAGTGTGACCCATTTATTTGCGGCTCACCCCTGTAAAATCTTTATTTATGGTGGAAATACATGGTGGATTAGTATAGATGACGAAAATTATCTATTTTTTGTATCATTGTTGATTTAAGTTTCTGTTGCGTTTTTTATTTGTTAAAACCAAGCACAAGAATATTTATACCATGCATGTTTAATTTTTGTTCAATATTTTTTTCATGGATAAATTTTTGTAAATACCTACTTATTAATTATTGTTTTTTTAATTTACCTACAAAATCGTTCCAATTAAAAAAAAATAGTATAAGATTGATTTGAGGGGTGGTGAATCCAGTGCCGTGTATGGATTTTTTTAAATCGTTAATATGAATTCTAAAGAATTCTTAAAATTGTTCTCTAAAACTGACATAGTACGCCTTTATTTTGTAAAATCCGGTTAAAATCATTAATTTTAAAACCCTCAACTAAAGATAATTTTTATCAAGTTGTTTACTATATATCTTAAAAATGCAATCAAACACATGTGCTTATTGTTTACTAGTTTATCCTACTTGACTAAAGAATTAAAAAATCCATGAATTAAGCACTTACATGGTTATTAATTAAAGATGATAAGAAAATGAAATAAATATCTGGGGTAACATTGAAATGGTTTAATTCAATATTTCGAGTCACCATGAAATTGTTGGTGTTTTTCGTGGCTTGCATCGCCTTAGCCAAGGCTAATTATGCTGAATTAATTTTGCAAAAGTATGAAGGCAGCACCTTTGAAATACCACAAGATGTTGCTGAAGAATTTTTGGTTCTAGCAAGGGCCACCGAACAAGGGTAACAAAAAAAATGATTTTAATACTTTATATTTTATTTTTTATTATTTAGGCTCGAATCTGGAACATCCGCTGTTGTAAATAATTACACTGACAGACTTTTGTTAAACATTGGTAAATTTATTATACACTCTGGTATGGACCCCATGCAGTTGCCTGATTTGAACCAAAAAGTAAGAAAAAAATTAATATGACGTACCTATATGGAATGACGTAAAAAGGTAAACATTTTTTAGTTGTTTCCAATGGGTCATTTCTACCTTACTGAAGGATGGCTTCAAGACACCTCCACCATTGGTAGATACGAAGATGTAATTGTGAAATACAGCCATGAGACTAAGCGGTTCTCCATTGATATACCCCTCTTGTTTGACGATCTTCAAGTAAATAAAAATAAACAAGTGAAGATTCATAACAAAACAAACATTTTTTAGTTGAAATACAACTACAAGGTCAAAGTAGGTCTAATCTCCTACAAAGGCGGAGTTCTTGGCAGAGTTAGGAACCTGAAAATGAAAGTGATCCTCGACTTCGACTTCAACACCTACCAGGCTTCTTTGAAAAAATTCGACATGAACAAAACCCAAACCCTAACCCTAAAATTCACCGGAAACGTTCTCGTTGATTGGCTCGTTAACGCTATGAGTTCAGCTGTTTCATTCCTGCTTCACCCAATCATCACTAGAATTATGGGATCTTTAGTCAAGTTGCCACTTGATTATGTTGTCAGCATGATCAACAACCTTATTAACAGCATTTTATTCCCCACAGCTTCTACTACAATGGCATCTATGTTTTTGTAAGACTACTTGTTCAAACAAATTATTTTTTTGGTTGTTTGTATCATTTATGAAATTAGTAATTAATATAATATTTATTAATAAATACTTTGTTTTTTATTAAAACATATATATGTACCATATGGTACAGATTGTCCCACAATAAACACAAGGGCGGAAAAATATTTGAATATTGTATTAATTTATTATTAAAAATTGTTTTTGAAATTGTAAAAAAACATTATTTTAATTTTAAAAATTAATTAAAACATTTATTTTTTAGAGTCAAATTGTTATGGGATGCTCCTCATTCCAACGACCGTGGAACATCCAAAGCATCCCATAAGAATCAAACAACTCATACTTTTAGACCTCAAAGTTGCAATGATATCATTCGTTTAAGCGATAAGTAGTAGCTAAAAAGTTAAAAGAAATAGGAAATAATTTTTTTATAAAAATTTTATAAAAATTATTTAATTATGAAAAAATAAAATTTCAAAATAAAAATTTTCGTTCGTATTTAGATTTTCGTTCGTAATTTAAATTGTCAGACTGAGACCACCCCCCCCCTTTTTAAAAGAAAACCTAAAATAAAAATGTATGTACACTGCCCGTCAAAATTAACGCATAATAAGTAAAAAAAATTCTAACTCTAAAACGCCTTTACCAATCTTTATGAAATTTTGTATAAAAATACTTCAACTTATATCTCAATTTACGTGTTCGAGGGTTTTTCGAGAAAATATTTTTAAAGCTCTTTTATTTAATAATTAAAAAAACGTTCGAAAAATTACTTTAAGGGAATTTTTTTTAGGTAAATAAAAAATATTAAAAGTGGTCATTTTTGACGACTTTGAAGCGCTGTATTTTCGTATTTGTTCGTTTGATTTGTACAAAATTTTCAGGGTATACTAACAAAAATACGGTCTTTCACAACATATTTTTTATTTACCTAAAAATAAATTTCCCTATAAAAGTTTTTCTTCGAGCATTTTTTATTATTAAATAAAAGGGCTTTAAGGATATTTTCTCGAAAAACCTTTGAACACGTAAACTGAGATATAAGTGGAAGAATTTTTATACAACATTTTATAAAGATTGGTAAAGTTGGATTTTTTTACTTGTTATGCGTTAATTTTGACGCGCAGTGTATTTACCTATTACCTTAATTACAAAGGAAATTTAAATTTTTCCACAAAAGAAAATATTATAAATATAAAAATGGATTAAATTGAGTACTTTGAGGTTCTTTATAAAAATTTTTTATGTTTTTCTTTTAAGAATAACAATAATGAACATATGAACCATGTGTAAAAATTTTTTATAGGCTATTACCTTAAGGTACTGTCCGTTCAGGCTAAGTTGAGCGGTCTAAGGAATGTCACCCCGTCCATCATCTCTATGTTCAGGAACAATTAAATACCTACATGTTTTTCGGTAGCGCGTACGAACAAACGGCAAGACGCGGCACTGATAAATCATCTTCTTGTTACCGAAATCTCGCGACAATTCGATATTTAATTTAATCAACGGCCACATAATCCCCCACCAAAGCGCTCAACTTAGCCTGAACGGACTGTATATGGTTTGTTATATGAATTATGCTTAGAATTTTACAAGGAATCGAAAAATAAATTTATATATAGGGTAAGCCATTGAAAAAAAGTCAACTTTTTGTTTTTCCCTGTAGGTACTGATCAATTTTCCAATTTTCATTATACGTAAAAAAAAGTATTTTTTAGTACCTACATAACCACACTTTTAAATTTTTTGGGGCGACATTATAGAGGATCACCCTGTACATACTTTTCTCTGTTAAAAAAAATGCATTGAAGAATTTATGATAATTTAAGTTGTTTCTGTCTAATCTTAATATAATGTTACATGCTACATAACTTTATTAAAAAAAATATTATACCTAGGTACATTTTTTTTATTAAAAATCATACTTAAGTAAAATCATACTTATTTAAATAAAAGTAATTACTTTTACTTTAAACACGTTGGAAACTCTACTACGTATATTTAATGATCCTAATATAATTAAAACCACTTTTGCAAGCTGTAAAAAACAATACAAAACCTTTACAAACTCGTAAATGTACCCAGAGAATGTACCTACTTAAACAACGAATTAAAAGTCTCAAAACGAAAAATAAGAAAATAAGACTCACTGTGTCTCACATGCCGTAGTTTCGCCTACTTTTCCAGGAAAAGTTTTCCCCACAGAACCTTTATAATCTGTGCACAGAACATTTTCATCTTCGTGATTTTCTATGCCTAAAATTTCTTGAAGAAATTTTTAAAAGAAATGCAGTGTCGCCAACACATTTTAAAATCCATGAGGAAACATTTTAAAAATAAATTTCACAAAGAGAAATAGATTCTGTGGTTCGCAGGAAGAGTTCTTGGTAGTTTGTTTAAGTTTTAATTTTGATTTTATACTGTTGGTCCAAGAGTTTTGGACGCACAGTGCACTGTTGGTAGCTGGAATAACCAACGAGGTTGGTATTTTTTTTCTATGGTTGGTATTATTAGAGGTCGGCGATCAGCTGTCAGTAAATCAAGAAAGTCTTGCTCGGTTATGAAATAATAATTATTTTGCAAGGTTTTAAACAAATGTAGCCTTGATAGTTAACAAAAATATTAATTATGCTTACAAAAATAGTTCGTTTGGGCATTGTGGCCACTAAATATCAAAAGCCCACTGAGTCAAAATACTTAGTGCCCATTTTAGCAGTTCAAAATAATAGACAATACCAATGGAGAGAATACAAGAACTTCGGACACAAAACCAAAAAAGAACCCAAAATCTCAAGAGCATATTATACGTTTTTATTCCTTGGAGTTTTAGGATGTAGCCTTGATTATAAATGGTAAATGTACTCTATTTGTTGTGAATTATATCTAAAGGAATGGTTTTAGGGTGAAGGATCATTTACCAAGTGTTAGAGCTGAATCTGATAATTCTAGAGATAGTATTGAAAATGAGAACAAAGTCGATGAAGTGGCAGAAGAAGAGGTTAAGAAGAAGAAACACAGAAGAGAAAAAGTTGGCTTCAGAGACAGAAAGGTATGATTATTATTTTATTAAAATTTTGTTATGAACTGTACCAACCCTATATATTTAAAATCTTTCAACAAATACAGATAATAGAATATGAAAATAGAATGAGGTCATATTCCACCCCAGACAAGATTTTTCGATATTTTGCCACTGTTAAACTTATCAGTGAAAATAACGAGGTCTACATGACACCTGATGATTTCTTACGGGCAATCACTCCAGGAATGAAACAACCTGATGGTAATTATACAAAGATGACGATCATCATTTTCACTGCACTGGGCTTGGTTTTTGGTTAACAACTAACTACTTATAAAGAAGCAACTCTCTATTGTGGGTGTGGATTATGAATTAATAATTTTTTAAAATACATGGTGCCACAAACATTTTCAGCAATTTAAATACACTATATTATTGTTAAAAATTTGTTTTTGGCAAACTAATTTTTAACTAATTTTGATTTTTTGTGTAAAAATATAAATACGCTTTTATTTTGAATTTAATCTACATAGATTACCTAAACAGATCAGATTCAATGTTCCTATGTTGTTAAAAATGTAATAAACCATGTTTAACCAAACTAAACAAGATTTTTGCCGACATAGGTACAATTTTGACCTTATAGCTTATTTTGGCGATTAAAAAGTAACCAAGTTTGAAAGCTAATCCCGTTTTCTGTATTGTGCATGCGTGGACAGATAATTGAATACGAGAACCGCATAAGACATTACTCGACGCCCGACAAAGTGTTTCGCTACTTCGCCACGCTGCAAGTTCAGGGCGCCACCGTCGACCAACACGAAATTTATATGACTCCCGACGATTTTCTGCGATCAATGACGCCGGGGCTCAAGCAACCAGACGGTTAGTTTGACCAACAGTACCTTTATTATCCAGGAGTTCATATTTTTTTATGTAGTTTACTTTTTTGTTGGTAGACATTTTATGAAAACAATGGGTATCTTTAATTTTGCCACAGTTTTAAGATGTAGGTATATTTTTTAAGACTTAAAAATCACCTAAATAAAAACATTATTGACATAGCTATTAATGAAAACATTATTTTATCTTCAAGTGGTCTTAAATTAAACTATATTGTCTTTAAAACTCGACTCTTATTATTGCAATGCTTAGGCACATAATAAAATTATCAATAAATTAGAATCAAGTAGACTGATTACTAGCCCAAGATGATTTATTAAATCATTATGAGCTAGTAATTAGCTTCAGTGATTGGTCGATTTCATTATGCACCGTGATTTGGACCAATCATAAAATTCGACATTTGTCAAACGGTTCAAACCTCACTTTCTACTTTTAATAATTGTATTATTTAACCAATACTCTAAAGAAGTATCGCTAGTAGCGCCACCACTCGGCTGTTATCATCGTAACAAAAGTAAGTACATCTTTTAATAATCAGCTGTCAAACGCTTATGTTACACTCGCGAGTGTTTTTGAGAATAAAGCCGGAAAATGTTAAAAAAACCGTGGCTCGATTTGTTGTGTTGTTGGGTGTATTTCGAGAGGAAATCCTGGGTTGAGTTTTTACCGGTTTTCCAATAAACAGTGTTAATAGGAATGAAGAAATAAATTGCATGCAGTCTCTGTAAATATAAATTGTACCTATTAGATACAATAAATACATATTTTAGTAGTGATTAACGTGAAAAGTGTAAACATTTCAATTCAGTAAAAATCGTCAAACAAATAAGTCGTCTAAATTTAAACAGCATTTAGCATTGTTTAAAGCGTTGATTAAGAAAGTCTCCAGTCAACAGTAAAATAAATGAATATGAATTCGTAGGTATATTTTGTTGTTTAAAATGCAGTTGTCGGCCTAGAGAACTCAAATATAAAAATAGTTGATTTCAAGGTTATGTTTGTGCAAAAATTATTTTTTACTAATTTTTTTAAAAATGTCCAAACTTAAATTTAAATTATATTAGGTAAAGTTATCATTAGTTAATTCTGCACCAACAAATGTACTTACCGAATTGGATCCTTTGGCAAAACATGAAAATGCAACGATTTAGTTCTTGAATTTTATTTACAATTAAAAACACAATTGTATCAATAATTCACCATGATCCCTTAGATAAAATACACACACTAACGTAACTATTTAAGCATTTAAGCGTTGAGTTTCTTAATCAATGATAAAAGGAATAATCAATCGAAATCGAGTATACTAAAAAAGTTAATTTTTTCCTTGCAATGTAAAACACAAATAACGTGCGCGATTTAGCTGTGCAATTGTCCACCAGATGGCGCGCGCGTTGCGAAAACCCGATACTCCTTTAGCGTATAAAATTGGCTTTATATTCTAAAAAACATTACAACTCGAAGATAAAATGTTGTATGGGCGATTCCATGATTACTGACGGGACAAACAAAAACAAGACAAAATGTTTTATGAAAATTTGTGTTGTATAATAATAATTTTATAATAGTTATTATTATAGGAACAACACATCTTCAAAAATTTTCATAAAACACTTTGTTTTTTTTTGCTTGTCCCGTCAGTAATTATGGAATCGCCTGTATGCCATTAGTCACAAAAAGATTCACTTTTTGGCCTAATAACTATAAAATGCATGAAAAATTATTAAAGCTTTTGCTCTTCACATGAAAGCTTGCAGCACTATTTAAATGCATCCTGATTTTAATTCGTGTGTTTTGTGCATTTTTATCTAAACTCACCATTCACATATTTAGAAACCTGCATTGTCAACTCATTACTATTTTTTTTAGAAAATTTTATAATTAGGTACCTACTTATTCATACAAATGCAACAACCTACACAAAATTGCGTATAGAAAAGGACGATCACAAAGATTCCATTTTTGTCACATTTAATGCCTGAGCGTTTTTATATTAAACAAAACTTGCTGCACTAAAAAATGTTCTTCTACGTATGTAATGTAAACATTGAATTGAGAATGTGGCAACAATCGACTTTCTGTGACCGTCCTTCTTCAAACGTAAGTCTTAAATAACCCTTTATTTTAGGTCTGGGCTTAGATCAGTACAGAAGATACGATCCCAAGGTATGTTTTTGAATAATCTAAAAATACGTTTTCAAACTATTTCCCACAAATTTAATCAAATACTATCACAAAAAACTGTATAGATCTTTTACACAATTTGACTTTCGTATACCTATACTCATTTAATATTCTTCTACCTGTATTTTCAGCACGGTTTTCAGGTAATATACCCAAATTTTTGTACCTAAATATTAAAGAAATTGGCCAGCCAGCATGTGTTACGCAAAGGGCATGTTTTCGCTTGAAATTATTACCTACTAAATTTTATCTATTTTTTATGCCTGATTTTTAAGTACACAGGTAAAGAGTGCAACATTTATTTACAAAAACCAAGTTTTTTTAGTTTAACCAAATTTAAATGTTCTTTCCTGTGTATGCGGTTTTTCTACGTTTTTGCATTATTGATTTTTACAGGCACTTTTTATGTCTATAAGCATCTTGCCATCATTCACAATTAAAGGGGCTAAAGGATAAAGGGGTTAAGTAACATTTTTAAATTAAAAGAGCGAAAATATTGTAACTGCAATATTACCACATTTATTTTTATTTAGAATTACATTTTTTGTTTAAAGGTGTCATTTAAATTATAAATGATCAGACAATATAGTAATTTTAAACAAAAATAAATTTAATATCTAACTTCATCCTCTTGTCCCTTTAATTATTCATTCATCATACAGATTTTTAATACATAAATATTTTTATACTCTTTCACATGTTTCATTATTTATGCATCAATAGGTTTCTTAAGTAAATTAATGTTATACTTTTTTTCCAGGAAACAGAAGTGCAATAAATAATAATTTATTATAAATTACACCACCTAAATCTGTCTGTAATTTTTGCATTTTTTTAGTAATTTTTAATAAAATTAGTACTTTATATTTATTGTGCTTCACTAAAATGACTTGATTTTAATTACCAATTTTTCCTGTAGACCGTCCAGCAAAAGCTTGAACTCACTTTGGATGAAGATAGCATTTTTTATAAACTGGGAAGTGCAGGACTTATAACCTTTTCTGATTATATATTTTTGCTGACTGTTCTATCAAGTAAGCATTTATTTTTAGGGAATTTATCACTTCTGTCATTTTTGACTTCTGCCATAGCTCATTTTTACATCTGTCAAAAATGACTGATGTCAAAAATGACAGGTGTCATAAATGATTATTGATTAAATAAAAACAAAACATGATTTTTTTTAAGTTTTTACCAAAATTACATTTTTAAATGTAGTATTTATTTTATTCAACACCCATTTCATTTCTTAACTTTAACCGTTGGTCGAAATTTTACTTCACCCACTAGTGGGCGAAGTTAGCTTTAAGTTAAAATTGAAAAAAGTGAGGTTAAAGTTGCTTGACAGCTATCAGATTTCAGATGATATATCAAATATATATATATTTTGTCTACCTGTTAGGTTAAAATTTAAAAACATGAGGTCAAAACAGTTTGACAGTTGTCAGATGTCAATTAATCAAGTAATAGCTTTAAATACGTTGCGGCAGTTGAATAAAATATTGTGTGCGACCATTTGTCAAAAAAATACTCAAAGAGTACTTGCTACGCTCCTTGGACAAATCCCACGCTCGAAAAATCACTTCTTTGTCCCACTAGTCCCACAATACTATTAATATAAAAAATATTGCTAATTTTATTTTAATGTTTTTTTATCGATAATTGATTTATAAAATTAAAGTTTTTGGTGTAGGTACTAATTATTTCTATAAAAAGTGGTTTCTATGAAAATTACCAATGACCAATCAGAGCACTGCATTCTCTGTCGCAATCTAGTGTGCGGTGGAGTATGCTGTACCTGATTGGTTAATCACTTCCGATAGAAACCACATTCTATAGAAATTGTTTTACCAAATTCTTTTTTAGCTTCAAGACGTCATTTTGAAATCGCTTTCCGTATGTTTGATTTAAACGGAGACGGTGACGTCGATTGCGAAGAATTCGAAAAAGTCGCCACCTTGATTAGGCAACAAACGAGCATCGGTTCCAGACATCGCGACCATGCAAACACCGGAAACACATTTAAAGTACGCAAAACTCGCAAGAAAATATTTTTCACAACCACTAAAACTCCTTTTCCAGGGCGTTAACTCGGCTTTGACAACTTACTTTTTCGGTCCGACTCTAAAGCAAAAGTTGACGATCGAGAAATTCCTGGATTTCCAGGAAAAATTGCAAAGGGAAATTTTGAGTTTGGAGTTCTCGAGGAAAACTCCAGACGATAACGGAAATATCACCGAAGCTGATTTTACCGAGCTTTTGCTTGCCTACGCGGGTTATCCACAAAAGAAAAAAATACGTATGCTGAAGAGAGTAAAGAAAACGTAATAACTAAATTCAATGTAAGAAAACTATTAATTTTTGTATTCAGTTTCAGAGATCATGGTAAAGGTATATCGAGGGAAGACTATCTCAACTTCTTCCATTTCTTGAACAACATTAATGATGTCGATACTGCTTTAACTTTTTACCACATTGCTGGAGCCTCAATTGATCAACCAACTTTAAAACATGTTGCCAAAACGGTTGCTCACGTTGACTTGAGCGATCATGTTATCCACGTTGTTTTCACCATTTTTGACGAAAATCGTAAGTAAATCAAAACAAAACTATAAAATATTTGTTAAATTTATTTGCAGAGGATGGACAGCTAAGCAACAAGGAATTCATAGCAGTAATGAAGAATCGTCTACTAAGAGGTTTGGAAAAACCAAAAGACACCGGTTTCGTCAAATTGATGCAGTCAATTTTAAAATGCGCCAAGGAAACCAAACCTGCTTTATTGGATATATAAATTAATTAATAGTTTTTTACTTAAATCGGATTGTTTAAATTTTATTATGTTTTTTATCTCTACTTATCTGCCTCATTTTAACATTATTAAGCCTATTTTAAAGTTTACATAAAGTTATAAAATGTTTTATGTAGTTTTATTTTGTATGGTTGTGCAACTTTACCTTCTATATAAATTATCTTAGACAATTAATGCGGAAAGTGAACAAAAAAATGGCGTCCCTTTGAGGTGTTACCAAGTTTGTTTTGAGTTTTTGTGTTTTTACCCATTAGGACATAACTTGTTTTGATCCTTTAGGACATAACTTAAAATATGCCTGAATTCTTTAATTCAACGTCATTTTCTGTTCACATTTAATTTTGGGCATATTTTAAGTAATAAAAAAAATTTCACAATAAAAAAAATCTATTTTCCAAGTGACAATAAATGCACATAAAACATTGCATTAATTAAAAAGAAAGAAATTGGTTTACTTTACATGAAAAAGAAAATTAAATACTGCAAATACTTACTGAGTAAATGCGGTGACGAAAGATAACCTTAAAAAACACAAACTGCTTGTTTTTAACGCGCAAAATAACAATAGCGATACCATTGCCTACAGCGGCGCCATCTTGTGCCACAGTTATGAACTACACGGGTTACAGAGTTCTTTTGTATGTAATGCTAAACTGTGTATTTTTTAACAAAGCTGTTTTTATTTAGGCAAAGTAGACATTAAATATTAGGATAAGGTTTGATCACGCTTAAAAAATTATTCACAGACATTTTATCACATTCTTTATTAGTACTGAGAAGCTGCTTATTTATAATTTAATTTTAGAATTCTGTTTCATAGAAAACCTATGAAATATATCCATATTTAATGGAAAAATTTTCTATTCATTTTTGTTATTTTAAGTTCTTATTTATGAATCTAGTTCTATATTAGCAATCAGCACAGCATTCTCTACATTCTACATCTTCTTCATCTACATTCTCAGGTAAATTTTTAACGAGTTGTTCTGCAATTCTGTTTGATGCCCCCTCGTATATGCGCCAAGTAAACGGATCTGGAAATGGAACTACCACAAAAGTACCGTGGAACTACTGCATGAAATATCGTCATAAAATTCGAGATAAGAGTGCATATTTGTGGATTAAGATTTGCGCAATCGCACTTATCAGCAATAAACTACAATTCATAATAGAGGGAATCCGAGCCAAATAAAAAACAAGCGATAACAGTTGAGTTATTTTTAAGGTTGGTGCAACGAGGACTACCTTTAAGTCCCTAGATCACCCTAGATTTTGCGAGTGCGCTGTGGTCACAAAACTGGCTCTAAAAAAACACGAAGGAGGGCGAAACTTAAGGTAAATTCAATTTTTTGTAGATATTTCGTGTTGTTTGTGATTAACGTTGGTGTCAACTTTTATGCCAGATATTTCGTAATCTTATGAAATACGGTGTTTCCTCCTAGATTGCTAGAATTTTAACAGTTATATAATGTACGTTAGGCTAGTTTCAATCGATTATCAAGGTTTTTCCGAGTTATTCTGGCCTCTATTGGCATTTTGCCGCTAAATTCTTTAAATTTTTTCTTGATAAGGCTGTCAAATTTAAAAGAATTATTATTATGAGGTAAAATTCGTCAAACATTACCTGCAATCTCAATGACAGCTGCCAAAAATTCAATTTAAAATAATCTGCACGTGACTACATTCTATTTAATAATAATTTCACTTTACGCAATCAGTTTTTTTATTGCTTGTTCTTTGTTATTGAAGGCCGGCCAAATTTTAACCCACTTATTGGGAAATTATTAATAAAATCAAAGACTGTGAGGTGTAGTCCAGTAAAATTTACAGCAACGTTTTTAAAATAGTAATAAGTGAGGTTAGTGCAGTGCAAGTGTTAATCAATACATATTTTCAGATCCAAAAATGCATAGAGCAAGAACCGTTGTAAACCAGATTGTAGGGCCTCCTGGTCAAAAATTTGCAGGGTGGTTATTGGCCAAAAACACCCCATCAATAAACGTGTGTGCCTCAATTAGAAACTACAATGTACCTGTTACATCTGAGCCTTTCCTAAATGGCAGCTCCAGCCAGTATGTCGAAGACATGTATAATGCCTGGCTGGCTGATCCAAACAGTGTCCACTCAGTAAGAAATGTTTATTTTTACAAGTTTTGTTTGCATGTCTTTCCAGTTCAAAATTTTTTAATTTAAATTTTTGCACTGTAAAAGTACAATACAATTTATGTAATTTTTAATGTTTTTTGGAAAAATTAAATTTTGTATGTCCAAATGACAGATATTGTCTAACCTAACTTAATATATAACTATAGTTTATAAGTAAAAAAATAAATTAAATAAATTAAATGTAAGAAATATTTTTGAAATAAGCTTCTATTTAGTTAAACTACAGAAGAGTGAAAATTAAATTAAATTTTTTACCAAAAGCTTGAGGTGTGAAAAGTTGCTAGACTTGAAGTAAAGCCTTGAGCTTGTTAGAAAATATTAAAATTTAATTTTGATATTTATGGTTCTTTTGTTGGGTTATTAACTTTACTAACTTTATACACTAAATATTATTTTTTTATTATTATTTTTAACTTTAATAGTTTATAAAAAAAACTTGTTTTTATTAAGATTCTTTATGTTTCTGTTATTATTTTTATGTTTACAAAGTATCACTATATCTGAATGTGTTATCATTATGAGTTTGTTTGCCTTGTGTATGATTAATATTTTTTATGTCTGAAGTCTGCATTTATGATGATTAAATATAAGTTTATAGACTAAGGTTAATGTGCACTACATTATCAAACCCATGTGCATTTTAAGAATGTCAAATTTTATTTTGCTTCACATTTCCTGTCAATAATTTGTCAAAAAATTTAAAGTGAAGTTAAAAGTAAATTAACAAAATTTCGGTGTTAATGGATTCAATTTGGTTCTTTGTCCTCATTATAATCATAAATAGCATAAAATTAACAGTTTTTCCATATAAAGCAATAACAGTAGCCCAAGATTTTATATCAAGCTGTATTTTATCTATTTTAGTAAACACTTGTAAGTACATAATTGTATTTAAAAAAATCGCCTAATTAATAAAATAAACAAACTTTCTTAGAACAATTCAATAAAGAAAGTTTTTTTTAGTCTTGGGATTCGTTTTTCCGAAACTCAGCCCAAGGAGGAGCAGGGTACCAAGCCCCTCCATCTCTGGCGCCCCTAGGCAAGAATGAAGTACCCGCCTCTGCCCTTTTTCCCATTGGTGGACTGCCTTCCCTTGGAGGTGGTGCCATAAGCGAAAAAGTCATTGATGACCATTTGGCTGTGCAAGCTATCATCAGAAGTTACCAGGTAAGTCATGAAAAACTGTTTTTAAAATGTTTCCCACCAGAAGTTAAGTAAATAAAAATGCTGATTAGTGATTAAATAACGTTTGTAGACATAACAGAGTAATTAAAAAATGCATTGAATTGCAATCAAGCAGTTTATCTTTGTATTTTAATGTGTAAATTAAAATATAAAATATCTTACTTTAACAATAAGTGTTTTTCAGATTTACTTTACTTTTTTGGTGTTTTTGGCTTTGTTCCATGTTATTTATTTTTAGCAAGTAATATTGTCTTATCTGCCAGTGTATTTTACATTTTTTTCAATTTAAATTCGGATTTACTATCATTGAATGTATATTTATATATTTAAATACATTTTTTATATAGAAATGTGGTATAATATGAGTGGAATAAAAAGTATGTTTGTATAATTGCATGGGTAAATTATAGTAGTTGTTATTTTCATTTAATTATTTATGTCGAATTTAAATTTTTAATTAAAGCATTTTTTTAAATATATTCTCATTTTACTATATTATTTAAGCTATAATTGCTAGTATATTAAAAAGGATTATTTAATCTAGTAAAAATAAACATTTAATTTAAATTTTTGGCCAATTATATTAATTAAAAATAATTATAACAATCGTGAACATTGTATTTTATAACAATTTTTTCTAGAAATTAATGTTCAATTACCTACCAGGAAATTAAAAAAACATAATAAAAATTAGCGTTAAACGTACAAAGTAATTCTGTGAAGTCTTCAATTTATGAAAAATAATTAGCCAATAAGTAGCCAATTTGTATGTTATACTTAATATTGTTTCTGTTAAATATTTTTTTTATTATAAATTAATTAATTTGTATAAAAATTAAAAATACATGTAATTTAATAAAATGTGGTTGAATTGACATTCAAATAAAACATTTCATGATTTTTAAATCCTAAAACAAAATAATAAAAAGACTAAAATTCAGCCTCAAAAAAGATAAGGTAAAAATACAGGTTGGCTACCATAAATCATAATAAAATTTGATTGTGCATGTATACAGGGTTTCTACTAAAAATGGACAACATAATAAAGACACTTTTTTCATTTGAGATTTTGTTTTTAAATTATCGACTTTCTTTTGTTTGTACATAAAACTTTTTATCATTCTTTGTTTATGGTCGTATTTTTTTGGAATTGTCAGTTTGTGTCAAACATTTTTGTCAAAAATATCAACCAACAAGAATAAATTTAAGAGGTTTATATAAAAACAAAAGAAGGTGAGATGAGATTTAAAATTTTAATACGTTGTAGATTTTAAGTAAAAGCCCTGCATAGAGATTTTTTTAAGAAAATTTTTAAAAGAATTGGGAAAAATTTATCTTTTGTTATAAACTTAAAAAAATTGTTTTAATTGCTAGGCATGCTTTATACTACAGTTTAGTGTTAAATATTTTTTAGAAATTTTGTTTAAAAAAATGCATGTTACGACACTGACGAATTTGCAATTTAATTTTTTGTATTGAAACTAACTTAACGATAATGCAGAAAAAATCACGTTTTATTAATATAAATTCAGGTTTTCGGTTTTAATTCAATACATTTTTTCCAATTTTTCCAATATCTTTTTTATTTTATTAAAGTAAAAGTAATAAAACTTTAACTGAATTATTTCATTGGAAATTGTTTGGCATATCCTTTCATTTATTAATCCATTAGTTTTATCAATTAGACGAAATTTTTCATGTTTTTAATATTGATTTGTGTACTTTGGATTTATTGGGTGTACTTAACTTGTTAATTGTTTAATATGTACAATAATTTTAATTTTGTGTGTTTTGGGTACAAAAAACATGTTTACACCGATTTTCTCATATACACAATTAAAAAAACTACTTTAAAGGAAAATGATCTTATATGAAATGGTGCTGTTCTGAAAGGTCATTTTCGCACTTTCTGTGAAACCATTTTTTATATATTCTATTTAATTAAGTAAGAATTTAAGAGTAAAATAAAAAAGTCTGAAAGTCGTTTCTGTGACGAAGGAGACATTTTTAAAAAAAAAATTTAGGGACAATTTTTAAATGGCAGAGAGCCTTAATGGTATACGCTAAAGAAGTATCGCTAGTAGCGCCACCACTCGGCTGTTATCATCGTAACAAAAGTAAAACTTTTAATAATCAGAGGAAATCCTGGGTTGAGTTTTTACCGGTTTTCCAATAAACAGTGTTAATCTGAACGAAGAAATAAATTGCATACAGTCTCTGTAAATATAAATTGTACCTATTAGATACAATAAATACACATTTTAGTAGTGATTTACGTGAAAAGTGTTAACATTTCAATTCAGTAACGTCAACAAATAAGTCGTCTAAATTTAAACAGCATTTAGCATTATTAAAAGCGTTGATTAAGGAAGTCTCCTCTCAACGGTAGAATACCATTATATTATGTATTATATATAATATTATGTTGCCATGAATTCGTAGGTATATTTTGTTGTTTAAAATGCAGTTGTCGGCGTTTTTAAGGGAACTCAAATATAAAAATTATTTTTTACTAATTTCTTAAAAATGTCCAAACTTAAATATAAATTATATTAGGTAAAGTTATCATTGATTAATTCTGCACCAACAAATGTACTTACCGAATTGGATCCTTTGGCAAAACATGAAAATGCAACGATTTAGTTCTTGAATTTTCTCAAATATAAAAATTATTTTTTACTAATTTCTTAAAAATGTCCAAACTTAAATATAAATTATATTAGGTAAAGTTATCATTGGTTAATTCTGCACCCACAAATGTACTTACCGAATTGGATCCTTTGGCAAAACATGAAAATGCAACGATTTAGTTCTTGAATTTTATTTACAATTATTATTAATAATTCACCATAATCCCTTTGATAAAATACACACTAACGTAACTATATAAGCATTTAAGCGTTGAGTTTCTTAATCAATGATATAAGGAATAACCAATCGAAAAGTTTTTTAATTTTTTTCCTTGCAACGTAAAACACAAATAACGTGCGCGATTTAGCTGTGCAATTGAAAACAAATTGTCGAGTAAGACCCTCTTTTGTGAAAAAACTACCTATTTATTTAAAAATGTATTGTTGACAATGGCGTTTCGATACTTTAGCGTATTAATAAAAAAAATATTTTGACCAATTTTACCTGTCAGATTTTTTTTATTTTACTTTTAAATGCTTAGTTACATCATAATTGAATTGAACACGTAAAAAAAAGAATGACCTCAGAATTGCACCGTGAGAATATTTTGTTTATTTTGAGGTTAATTTTATTTAAATTTTATTATGCAAATTAAAAGGCAATGCCATTAGTTTAAACTTTTTATTGTTATTGTAGCTTAAATTAAATTAAATTTTCCTTTAAGGTGGTGTCACCACAAAAACACAATTTAATTACAAACATTCAACGTGTTTTCCACATTTTCATGACATACTTTTTGTTTTGCTGTCGAAAAAAAAAACGGTGTTCGTTAAAAAATATGGTTTGCTTGTTTTATATTTTAGTCGCGCGGCCATTTCGTGGCCCAACTAGATCCATTGGGTATCATGTATTCCGATCGCACTACCACGATCAGCGACCGCACTGGCGCTGCGCCTGACGCCATCATTCGTCAGCACAAATTAGGTACGACCCCGACCGAGAAGTACTTTGAAAGTGACAACACGTTCAGAGTACTTTTTCGGGATACTGCCGCGAGGGTCGTTATAGTTTGAAACATGGCACATTCAGATACTTTTTGCTAATCCAGACATCTACACATTATCATCATGCACATATTTTACTTTTGGTTTTTTATAGCTTTGTGGTGATCTGGGTGCTTTTTATCGCTTACAAGTATTATTATTATTTAATGGTTGCAGTTTAATTTGAAGGTAGTGTTTTTTTTTACAGAGATTTAGTTTTATGTCTAATTACTTTTTCGTTGTTATGCCAAAATACATACAAAGAGTTTTATGAGGTGAATTGATTTAAACAATTTTCGAAACAGGTTTCAAAAATAAAAAAATAAAATTTGTTATAATTTTAAATGTTTTTTTCACAAACTTTAGCATAACCGTTTTTATATACTTTATCATTTTTTCTAAATGTATGGCACGCCGTTTTAACATTCATTAAATAATTTTTTAATATAAAATTTAAGTGGTTTACATTTATAAATTAAAATATTTTCAACTTTTATATATTGAAAGAGCAGTTCACTTCTGTATTAAACAATATAATTTTCAATCAATTTTAGCAAAAATAAAATTAATATAAATAATTTCTCAAGTATACTTTATTTGGGCAAAATTTTGTAAATAAATATTTTATAAATTAAATTAATAAATTAAATTGATAAAGTTACATTTTTTAATATTTAAAAATAGTATTAAGACTTTTTTTAAACTCAACACAATTGATAATCAAAACATATTAAATTCTACAAAATTATCGGTTTAAATTTGTAAAGTGTCATTTAAATGATAAATTATTAATACAAATATTCTTACATTACATTAAAATGGAGATTTTAAATTTTAAAGTGGGAATTTTTGGATTAAAAATTTATCGACTATCATTTGAGTGACTCTTAAGAAAGTTAAACTGATAACTTTTATTTTTAACAATTTTAAATTGATAAATTTTTAACACAAAAATATTTAAATTACATTTCAATTTAAGTCGATAATTTTTAATTCACAAAGTGTAAATGCTACTTTAGCTGACAGCTTAGGCCGTCTGCTAAAGCTTCGTTTACACTTTGTAAATTAAAAATTATCGACTTACATTTAAATGTAAAGTTATAAATTTTGTCTTAAAAATGTATCAATTTAAAATTTTTAAAAATAAAAATGTTTGGTTTTAATTTGTACATCTTTAATTTAAAAATTACTTTAAAATTTTAAACTTACATTTCAATGTAATGTGAGAATTTTTGTATTAAAAATTTATCGAATTTATCATTTAAATTGAATGACTTTACAAATTTAAACCGATAATTTTGTAAAATAAAATAATAAAACTAAATTTTTAAATATTAATATTTTTAAAGTTTATAATATTTAAAATATTTTTTGACTATCAATTGTTTTGAATTGGAAAAAATTTAACTTTGTAAATTTCTGTTAAAACATAAACTTTACTTTTCAAAATATTAGTAATTATCTAATAAATGCTAAAATGGCGTGCCATATAAATGGTAAAGAAAAACTCGTCTTGAAATTTTAAGAGGAATTATCCTTTACCATTTGCCATAAAAAATAAGTAACTCTAGTGATTTTGAAACACCCCGTATATCCCAGCGTGGTAACCGTGCGACATTTTTGTGACACACTGTATAAAAAATCTCAAAAATGTTACGTGTAGTTTTTGAAACATTCAAAAACTAGACAACGCTGTATGTGATATAAGCTATAACGGTTAATGGTATTTCTGATACTTCATTATTAACAAATTTTAACTTTTTTTTGTACGTGTATTATAAAATTTGTAGATATTAAAATTAAAGAACCTTTGAAAAAAAAAGTATACAAATTACGATTTTTTTCAAAGAAAACTTCTTTTACTTGTATTAAAACAGTTGTATGTATTATGGTGTAATTGTTGTTTGGGGTAGTAGAAGAGTGTGGTGATTGGCTGATTTTAGATCCGAGGACATCACATTGCCAAATTGGACCCGTTGGGCATTAACAGCGCCGATCTGGACGATCAAACGCCCCAAGAACTGGTCTACAAAAATTATAACTTCGGTAAGACCGCACGTAGTTCGCAAGCTAGAGCTATACAGCCAGTTAGTAGTTTGAGCCTTATTAAAAAAACCTGGACGTTTGAAATAAATAAAAACAAAAGTTGTATTTACATTTGAATGTTTAAATTTAAAAAATATTAATTTTATTTTTAAAGAGTTCAGACTTTAATGCATATTTTAAATCCAAAACTTATAAAATTTCAGAAACAACTTAAAAAATATTTTTTTTATCATAACAGGGGGTCTTTCGAAAATGTAAATATATAAATTACAATTTTTGTTAACAAGTAAATTTTGGTTTAAAAATCTTTGCAACGCTGAAATATTACATCTAAATAAGGTCATTATGGAAACAATTCAAAATTTCAAAACTAATTTTAACTTTTAATTTTTGAAAGCTTGTTTGAAATTTAAAATAATAAACTTAATATTCATTTTTAGATACACTAATATACATTTTTGGGGCACCCTGTATATTTAAAAATATATTTGGTTTTACTTCAATGCATTCGAGTTTATTTTAGTTTATTGTTAGCTTTGATTTTTGGCATTGTACTACTAAAGAAGAGCACTATCACAAATAAGTCAAATAAGTCAATATAAATAACCTGTAGGTTTTTAAATAGTTTTAACTATTTTATCAGCGCAATTTGTTTATTTTTAACGTTAAACTATTTTTCTAAAAATATTCATCCAACCTATTACAGTCATTTTATATAATTTAATGATATAATGTTTATTCCAAAAAATGTAATTGTATTTGGTTAAGGCTAAAAATCATTTCAAAATTTCGTTTTGTCTGCTAAGTATTGTTTTTATGCGATTTTAAAAAGGTAAGGTTCATACATCTGACATTGTGATAATCCCTTTTTAATATTGTCTAATAAAAAGTATTATGATGTGTTATGTATTTATCTACAAAAATATTAATGGTAGGACCTACTTTATAAAACAATTTATTAATTCATTACTATGAATGTTTTTTTTTGAAAAATTCCATTTTTAAATTAAAATAATTTATATTAGGTTGCAGTAGCAATTGTTTTTAAACTTTTTCGGAATTTGAGGGTTTAGTTGGCAAACTAGAGACCCTAAATGTACAATTGGATACATTGAGTAAAACAAACAAATTTATTATCGTCCTTTTCAAAAATCGCTCCTTTAATGCAGTGCATTAAATTTGGAAAAAGTGAGGTTGAATCCGTTTGAAAGATGTCAGATTGGTAAAAAGAGGTTAAAACTTAACTGTTAAGTCTTAACAATTGTCAGCTTGTTCTGTGGTTGTAAACTTTTTAAGATCACTTGTTTTTTACAAACTAGCTCCGCTCGTGCATATTTAAATTCGTGTATGAAACGACGTTTATAAAACCAGTTAAATAATATACTGTAAAAACGATTGTTATTATAGCATAAAATAAAATATCATGTTAAATCATGAGAAATGTTTACTCAAATAATCAATGAAAATTTATTAAATAAATTTTGAAAGCAATATTATAATTTAACCCACTTAAATAAATCAAGATAATTCGATTATATTCTATGTAAATAAATTAATATAAAATTTAAAAATCTGGAATTTAAGAAACAAAAAAAATATGTATATAAATTAAATTAATAAAAAAATGTATATATCAAAACCAACTAAAAATATTTGAAGATAAATACAACACATACTCTGTAATTCCCCTGTCTTGTTGCATGCAAATAATACTTTAATACAAAAATAATACCAACGTCTTCTGCACTTACATGCATATTAAAACAATGCATTAAAAATTTCAAAGTCGAGGCCAATTCGATCGAATTGTATGTATAAGCAGTGGCGTACTTCTACAGTAGATTAGTAATTTTAATTTTGCTATGTTTTGTGTTTTTGTTTAATTTCCCATTTTTTGGCGTGTTTTGTTTGTAACCAGACCATCCATCACGTACCTATTCGGAGGAGTTGCGAAGGCAAGTTCGGCAAATGCAAAGTAAGATTATTAATTTTATTTTTTTATTATTACTTTATTTTTATTGATTTTTGTACTGTACATTATTAATTGTGTATAAATAATTTTGTGTATACACTAAGCTTTGTAAATATGTCATTATAGCACATTTTATTGGGATTTTTTTAATGGGTGTTTATCTATCAATACTTACTAAAAATTAATTAAATAACCAGGGAAGGATTAAAAGATAAGTATGTACACTGTAAAAGTTTTTTTTATTTTGCCGGCTTCAAAATACACTCTACTCTCTAGCACTTTAACTTTCCGCACACGCGCTTTTTTTTCAATTTATGCGATGTTTCAAGCTATTTCGATTTTAGATCATACTATAGATTAGGAATGTTAATATTAAAATTTAAAGAGTTTATATAGGGTTTCAGACAATCCATTTATTTTGCGTTTTAAAACCTGTTGAATTTTTTTTATTTAAGACAACAGTTTCAATGCAATTAATTACACAATAATACCTTTAAAATCTATGGCATTAAATAATTTAAAATTTTCCTCAATAAAAATGTTAGGTTTACATTTATAATTATAAGATATTTTCAATTATCATTTATTAAAAGACTTCACATTTCAGTTCTGTATTAAACAATACTATTTTCAATCAATTTTTGCAAACATTATTTTTTAATAAAAAATAATTTCTCAAGTATGATTTATTTAGGCAGAATTTTGTAAAGATATATTTTATAAAGTTATTGGTAAAGTTAAATTTTTTAGTATTTAAAAATAGTATCAAGACATTTTCTACCAAAATAAAGTTAAATTTTTTTAAACTCAAAACAATTGATAATCAAAACATATTTTAAATTTAAAATTCAACTGTTTAAGTCTATAAGTATTGATTTTAAAAAATTTTAGTTTTAATATTATACCTATTCTACAAAATTTTCGATTTTTCTTTTATTTTTAACAATTTTAAATTGATACATTTTTAACACAAAAATATTCACATTACATTTCATTATTAATTCACAATAATTTTTAATTTAATTTTTAATTCACTAAGTGTAAATAAACGCTGCTTTAGCTGACTGCATATGCTGACTTCGCGCTTTGTTCGTTTCACTGACTATGGACTAGGCATTAAACTTACAAAATTGACCACTCTAAAAAGAGACAGCCATATAAATAATATTATTATTTCTATAGAGACAGCGTACGCCGCCTGCTAAAGCTACGTTTACACTTTGTAAATTAAAAATTATCGACTTAAAATTAAATGTTATAAAGTTATAAATTTTGTGTTAAAAATGTATTATTAATTTAAAATTGTTGAAAATAAAAATTGTTGGTCTAAATTTGCAGTCATTTAATTAATAGTCGATAAATTACCACTTTAAAATTTAATTTTTTTATACAGGGTGACCCATTTGTGTGCGACTCACCCCTGTAAAATCTTTATTTATTAAATGTTATAAAGTTATAAATTTTGTGTTAAAAATGTATTATTAATTTAAAATTGTTGAAAATAAAAATTGTTGGTCTAAATTTGCAGTCATTTAATTAATAGTCGATAAATTACCACTTTAAAATTTAATTTTTTTATAGAGGGTGACCCATTTGTGTGCGACTCACCCCTGTAAAATCTTTATTTATTGTGCGATTTTAACTGGATTTTTTTAAAGTGTAGATCTTGATAAACTGTATTTTTGAAGCAAAAAACGCCATATTTTTTACAAAATACGAGGCCTACTATGTTTTAAGAGAAAATTTTTAAGAATTCATACCAGCGATTTTTTTAAACAAAATCTAAGCACGGCACTGGATTCACCACCCCTCAAAAAGACCCTATACTAAATTTTATTGAAAAATGTTAAAAAGAAAAATGCATAATAACAAAAAAAAATTATTTTGTCAAGTTATCCATGAAAAAACATTGACTATTAATATGGTACTATTACTAATTTTATTTCAATGTTTTTTTCATGGATAACTTAACAGAATAAATTTGTGTACTTATTATTGTGCATCTTTCTACTTAAAATTTTTCAATAAAATTTAGTAAAGGGTCGTTTTAAGGGGTGGTGAATCCAGTGCCGTGCTTAGATTTTGTTTAAAAAAATCGCTAATATGAATTCTTAAAAATTTTCTCTTAAAAACTGACATGTATTTTTCTCCAAAAATATAGTTTATCAAGATCTACACTTTAAAACAAATCCGGTTAAAATCGCACAATAAATAAAGATTTTACAGGGGTGAATCACAAACAAATGGGTCACACTGTAGACTATCATCTAAATTTAAACCGATCATTTTGTAGAATAAAATATTGGAACTACAATTTTAAAAATCAAAATCAATTTAATTCGTAAATTTCTGTTAAAACATAATTAAAGTGCTAAACTTTATTTCCTAAACTATTATCTAATAAATGCTACAAAAATATTTCTTAGATTTAATGAAATGAATTCTTGAAATAGTTATTTTGATAGAAAATGGCTTATCTAAAAAATACATATGCATAAAACTTTTTGTTCAGGAACTAAAAATTTGCATACAGACGTCAATGATTTAAATTTTGTTGATATTTGGTTTATAAGTTTTGTTTTGATGCATTATTTTTAGCTTCCTGAATTGCATTAATTTGGCAGACGGCGTGTTTACACCGAAACCAAACAAAAAATAACCGTAGAATACGTTCAAAACAAATGCATTGTCTGAAACCAACATCCAAAGAACAATTTAACATTATTTAACGAGAAAATCGCCAAGCATTATTATGATTTGCGTATGTAGACGACACCGACATGGACCGGGTGTTCAAGCTGCCATCGACCACCTTCATCGGAGGCAAGGAGTCGCAGCTGCCGCTCAGGGAGATCCTCAGGCGGCTGGAGCTCGCCTACTGCCGCCACATCGGCGTCGAGTTCATGTTCATCAACAGCTTGGAGCAGTGCAACTGGATCAGGCAGCGTCTGGAGACGCCCGGCGCCACCGATCTCCCGGCCGATCAGAAACGACTGATCCTGGCCAGATTGACCAGAGCCACGGGGTAGGAGAGTTGTAAAGTCTCATTCAGAACCTCGTAATTAGTGGAATACTTATATCACTACACGGTGCTGTTCTGAGAGGTGATTTTTGGACTTTCTGTGAAACCTATTTTTTTTTTAGGTCATAACTAAAATTTTAAGAGCAAAATAAAAAAAATTTGACGGTTTGAATTGTTTTAATTGGCTGTTTATTAAAAATATTATGCACTCTTTCAATTATCCAATTAAAACTAGCGATTTAATTTAAATATTTAATATTTGCATAACTAAAAAAAAGGTTTTTACAATTTTTTTTTATATATTTTACTGTTTTGTTGCAATAAACGTTCAAACTTTTAATCTAACCTTTGACGTATACATTTATGTTCCCTTAATTAATATATCCTTAAAGGTTGCCATGAAACTTAGATCTATTAAAAATTTATTTGACGTTTGAATTGTCATTTTCAGTATACGTATTCTATAATTTTTGTTAAGTTTTTTAAAGTGTTTTTTATAAACAAAAATGAAAAATTGTAGTAAAAGTTACGAAGAAATTCATGAAATTTAACTAAGGACCGGTTTATTCATCTTTAGTAAAGTTTATCGGGCCGATAACTTTCATGTCTTGGCAATATCTAGTATACAAAGAAATTATTCGTCAAATAAATCAAAAATGAATAAATCGGCCCTAAATAAAATGTGGCACCCTTAGAATTATTGTTTAATAAATGTATACTATACATTTAACCTTAAATTAAAACTTTAAACGTGTATTACAACAAAACAGTAAAATATATAAAAAATGTATAGACCTTTTTTTAGGAAATTAACTAATCTTTAATCTGATTTAAAAGGTTATGATAATATTTAAATAAAATCGCAAGTTTTAATTGGAGAATTGAAAGTGTGCATACATATTTTTAATAAACATCCAATTAAAACAAAATTAACTGTCAAATTTTTTTTATTTTGCTCTTAAAATTTTAGTTATGACCTAATTAACAAGAATATAAAAAAAAAATAGGTTTCACAGAAAGTCCAAAAATCACCTCTCAGAACAGCACCGTCTACCGGTTTTTGCGTATCGTGAATTGAAACCACTAATTACGAGGTTCTGAATGAGGCTTAAGAGTTTTTACTATCAAGGGTAGAATGTAACATAACGATCTTTTTAGTTTCGAAACGTACTTGGCGCGCAAGTGGTCGTCCGAAAAACGTTTCGGCTTGGAAGGTTGCGAAATCCTGATCCCAGCCATGAAGACCGTCATCGACAAGTCGACCGAGTTGGGCGTGGAAAGCATCGTTATGGGCATGCCTCACAGAGGGCGCTTGAACGTGTTGGCCAACGTGTGCCGCAAGCCTCTGCACCAGCTGTTCACCCAGTTCGCCGGTCTCAAGGCCGCCGACGACGGTTCCGGCGACGTCAAGTACCATTTGGGGACATACATTGAAAGGTAAGTCTTAAGATACATGCACCTTAACTACGGTTTCGCGAAAGGAACGGAAGGTCGATTTGCAAGGGTTCAAGAAATCGATTGAAACTTTGTTATACTTTAAAAAAAAATCTCGTCCATTGACAACTTTGTATTTTTTTCTTCACTGTGTTAAAAATGAAGAAATTTCATTAGATACCAACCAACAAAGTAGCTGCGCATTGCCAGATGTAAAAAATTGTTACTAAAAATTTTTCTTGCAAAAAATAAATAAAAACTCAATAAATACAAAAGTTTTATGCCCTTAAAGCTCTAATACCCTTCTGTATTTATTTACTCATCCAGCTATTAGCTTAAGCAATGATTAGAAAATTAAGTACCTATTTTAAAAAATCATAACCACAAAATTAATTTTTTCCACGGTTTTTTTCTTTGATTACTCAGATGAAATTGGGACCAGTTCACAGGTTAAACTTTAAACATTTTAGTTAAGATATTTACAATTTGAGCACATAACCTAAAATTTGAAAAAAATGCACTAGATTCTGTCATAAAAGTTGTCAGATTTTGTTTGAATTTACCTTCAGTACAAAAATGACATAACCAACAATTAATAAAAACGCCAAATTGACAATTTGCATTGTTGATTTTGTCATTTTTGTAATTAAGCTAAATTTAAACAATGCTTGGCAACCTTTTTGACAGAAACGCTATTGTTACCAACCATAACATAATAAATTAAATTAGGCAACCAGATTAGCCTAAAGTTCCTAGTCGATCAGTGGCGTACTTTTTGGTAGGATAAAGGTTATTATAAATTATTTTTAGTCTTTGGAATTTAGAAAAAAAAAGTTTCAGGTGCTTCTTTATGGACCCTAAGGAACAGCCAATTTTAATATATAACATTAATTAAATAACACCCTGTATTATAGCACGTTCTTCAATATCAAGTATTTTAAAATTGCACCATGTCCGGGAAATTTCCGGAAATACCAATAATTTTGCGGTTATTTGCAGATTGAATCGCGTAACGAACAAAAACATCAGATTGGCCGTCGTGGCCAATCCATCTCATCTGGAAACCGTCGATCCGGTCGTGCAGGGTAAAACTAGGGCCGAGCAGTTCTACAGGGGCGACGGGGAAGGCAAAAAAGTGAGTCTAAACGCGCGACAAAAAAAACCTAAAAATTACCATTGAAAAAAATCTTTTTCAGGTCATGTCCATCTTGTTGCACGGAGACGCCGCGTTTGCTGGCCAAGGCGTTGTTTTCGAAACCATGCACTTGTCCGAATTGCCCGCATACACCACTCACGGAACAATCCACATCGTCGCCAACAACCAAATTGGATTCACTACCGATCCGCGTTTCTCCAGGTCTTCGCCATACTGCACAGGTAAGCAATTTTAATTGGAGTTCCCGAAATCAGATTTGTATGCCCTGAGAATTAATTAAAACCAACCTAAAGCACGGTTCCCACTCAACTAGAAAATAAAGAAAACCTGGAACTGTCATGAAATTTGAAAACTAGTAAAAAGTGGTGATGTTAAAAAACGTTTTCTTCAATTTGAAATTTTAAATTATAAAAGAAAAATGTTTTTTTTGTTTTTATAAAAAAAACGAAAAAATTTTTAACAAGGACAACACAAGTAGCACAACTGGTTAAATAACTAGCATAAATTAACCAAAATCTAAGTAAAATAATTTTTTTTTAGGTTACTATGAACTAAAAAATAACTCTTTAAATTTACCAACCAGTGGCTATAACCTTAAGGTAAATTCAAAGGTTATTTTTTAGTATAATGTAACTAATAAAAGTTGAGAAAATCTTGAAATAACCTAAATTTACCTATGGGTTATTTTTTTGCATATTTTGGTTTGGTTTAACTTTTGATATAACTTTTTGGTAAATTAACCACAGCTTTGGTTAATTTTGGTGTATTTTTTAACCGACAAGTTATATTATTAATACCAAATATATTTTAACTCGCTGGTAAATTTTTGCAGATTTCATTGTTACCTGCATAGAAAAATTAGTCTCAATACCTATAAATTGTGAGTTTTCTGTGATAATGGAGCCTAAAAGAAATTATTTTAAAAAATATAGAATTTCTTTAACTTACTATTATACTATATTATTACTATAATAGAAGAGTAAGTATTTATCTTCAAATCTTAAAACAGTCCCCTCACATTTAATTCATTTGGGAAGCATCTATAGGTTTTATCTAAGGCTGGGAATAGTTTTAGAAATTCGAATACTCGTTTGAAAATTATTTAGAATATTCGAATTATTCGAATATTCAAACTATTCGAATATTCGGGTTTTCGAATTTTTATGTACCTACTCGTATATTCGAATATTTAAATAATCGAATTTTAAATATTCGAATATTAAAATATTTACCAGGTCCAGTGAAGATTCACTAGTTTTAGATATTTTTGAGCCAATCTAGAGATTTACTAAAAACTTCTAATAATATTTAATATTGTATCTGTTTTTTGCTTATCAAATAGATAAAAATAATAATTATTATAAAAAGATATTATTAAATCACTAGGCTATAAATTTTTCTCCGCATAAAAAACGATTCTTTTCGTGTCTCCTATGAAATAATTTAAAAGCTCTCTTCAAAAATCAGCTCAATTGAATAAAAAAAAAATTATTTTGTTTTTGTTATCCAATGAATAATTTATTTTTACCTAGTAAAACGTTTTTAATTTGTCTTAAAATTTGTCTGAAATGTCCTTAAATTCTACTAAGATTTGTCCTAAAATCCTAAAAATAGCACTTAAAAATTCGCTGAGAGCCCTGCAAGTCAGGGAATTTCGTTTAATTATCTTGGTGGGAACCCTGTAAAATGTAGAAGTTTAAATGAACTTAGAATTATGTGGTGTGGAAAAGTTGTCGGCTACGGAAAATTTCGTTTTGCAGACGTGGCGCGCGTTGTGAACGCGCCGATCTTCCACGTGAACGCCGACGATCCGGAGAGCGTGATCCACGTGTGCAACATGGCGGCCGAGTGGCGCGCCACCTTCCACAAGGACGTCGTCATCGACCTGGTGTGCTACCGCAGGAACGGGCACAACGAGATCGACGAGCCGATGTTCACGCAGCCGCTCATGTACAGGAAGATCAAGAGCACCAAGCCCAGCTTGGAGAAGTACTCCGAGCAGCTGATACAGGAGGGCGTCGTCACCGAGGAGGACGTCAAGGGGGTCAAGGAGAAGTACGACAAGATTTGCGAGGAGGCGTTCGAGAAGGCCAGGCAAGAGACCCACATCAAGTACAAGGTAATTACCTCTATATTTTATATTTCTTTTTTAAATTTATTTATTAACCAAAAAAATTTAGGTATAGTCGCGGCCAAATCTGTACACGTCATCAATGCGAATTTGAATTGTAAAGTTACTGCCGTTAAATTTTCTTTTTTAAGGCGTAATCGACCTTGTGTGCTAAAAAATTTTTTTTTTCTCCTCATTGTTTTCATACATGATAACATTATATTTGGTGCTCTAAACACGGAATTTAACATGCAAATAAATACAGCACAAAGATTTTAAATATTAATTCATTTAATAAAAAACAACAATTTCAACAATAATTTCAAAAGAGTGAAAAAATACTATTGCTTAAGTTTTACGTAAAATACACATAAAATACTTATCAAAAATATATATATGATCTTTGTACAAAACTTACCAAAATATTTGATATAGAACTTAAACAATTGCAATTAAAAGACAAGTTTTTAAGTGCTGTAGTCACAGCGAATACTGCGCAAGCGCATATGTACTACCATAAAAATCACTCGCTAAAACCTATGCCGTTGATGACGTGCACTCCTGCAGATTTGGCCGCTACTTTATTTTTAACATGTTTTTAAATGTATTTTCAAACATTTTCCATTTTTTCTGGAAGTAGCTATTTTTTTTTTCATTCAATTATGTTGCACATAGGGTTTTAAAGTGTCGAAAAAAAAAACGGAAAAATTGGGAAAAAAACTGTTTTTTCCGTTTTTTCTCAGGCCTTGGAAAAATTTTCTTTTTTGGGAAAAATTATTTTTTTCTGAAAATATACAAGGCAATCAACAACTTAAAATTATTTTAATTAAAAAAAAATATCCTTAAGGATAATACTAGAGATGGGAAAATTCCCATTTGACGAAAATTCCCGGAAACTTTCCAGCGAAAATTCCCGAAATTTTCCGAAAGTTTCAAAAAAAATTTTTTTATGCCTGGGTTTTTTGTGATGAAGCTGAATAATCCGGCTTCATTGAGGTTATGTTACATAACTTACATTATTTATACTTCTTCTGTCTTAAATTAACACACATTAAATTCTTATTCAAAGTTTCTTGGCCTTGTATCATGGCCTTAACGAAAATCAGCGGTTAAACAATTGACATTTAATGAAAAAAACAAGGAAAGTTTCCAAGGAATGTTTCCGGTAGCTTAAAAGAAACTTTCAAAATGAAAATAAATTCCCAATTGGAAACTTTCCAAAACGGAAAGTTTCCTTAAAATGGAAACTTTACGATTCCCATCTCTAGATAATACGCTTTTTACAGAAAAAAAAACAAATAAAACTAAACATTGAATTGAATTGATTTAAGAAAATAAACCTTAACGTTAAATAAACTGTCGGTTGGGTCCTTTTTGCAAAAGGAAGTTCATTGAAAATATCCATTTACAAAATATTGAATGATTTAAAAATTATAATTTTATAAATCGATGTGTCAAATAAAGCGATAGTTGTTAATAGAATTTGTTTTTTTGCGACCCGGTAGAAGATTCTTACCGAATTATAAAAATAGGAATAATTATTATAATCATGGCTCAAAAGTTTGTTGGAATATTGGGTGTAACTTTTGAAATATCAAAAATATTAAAAAATGATTTTAATAAAAGTTGTTTGGTAGTTCATTTCAAATTTAATGGTGATATTGCCAACTTAAAAAAATAAATACGTAGCCTCGCAAAATTTGAAATAAACTATTAAACAACTTTTATTAAAATCATTTTTTAAATCATATTCAAACTTTTGTGTGTTATTATAATTAGAGTCGAACATTCACTTTTTTCTTAATACTGATTTGGAAATTGTTAGAAATATTGTTTCTTTAATTTTTTTCGTATTACCCTTTAAATAAAAAGAAAAAAATGCAAGTCAATTTTTCTGAAAATTTCCCAATTTTTCTGTTTTTGTTTGGAAAAAAACGTTTTTTTCACCGTCTGAATTTTCCGGAAATTTTAAAACCCTAGCCGCACAGTGTTCTAAAACGAATGGTTTGTGTGTTATCAGGATTGGATCGACAGCCCGTGGTCGGGCTTCTTCGAGGGCAAGGACCCCTTGAAAGTGCACCCGACCGGGGTGATCGAAGACACGTTGGTGCACATCGGCAAGCGCTTCTCCGCGCCGCCGCCGAACGCCGCCGAGTTCATCATCCACAAGGGTATCGAGCGCATCTTGAAGGCGCGCATGGAAATGGTGGAGAACCGCACGATCGACTGGGCCCTCGGCGAGGCCATGGCCTTCGGCTCGCTGCTCAAGGAAGGCATCCACGTCAGGCTGTCCGGCCAGGACGTCGAGAGAGGCACCTTCTCGCACAGGCATCACGTGTTGCACCACCAAACCGTCGACAAGGCCACCTACAGGTAAACATTTCAATTTTTTGCTTTTTTCAAGTATAAAATGTACCTTTTTAAATTTTTCATGTTTAAATTTTAAGCACATATTTTTGGTGTGAAATATTTAAAGACGAATTTTTACATTTTTCAAATTTTTGATGTGTAAACTTTAAGCACACATTTTTCCCCTTTAAAATTTTTGTGTTAAAAGTTTAAACACGAATTTTTTAGTTTCTTCAAAATTTAAGCATAAATTTTTACTTTTTTAAATTTTTAATGTTTAAAATATGCACAATTGTTTTAAAATTTTTGATATTTAGCGGTAAGAAGCAAAAGGGTACAAGTGCATTTTAGCATGAAAATAGTTAAATTCAAAATTGGGTAGTCCAATTTTTTTTATTTTCTCATAACCTGAAAATTGTACGAGTTCTGAATTTATTTTTTCAATTTTTTTCAAATATGTAAAATTTAAGCACAATTTTGTTCAGATTTTTACTTTTTTCAATTTTTTTGTAGATAAAATTTAAGAACAATTTTTTTCAAATTTTATTTAAATTTTTGGATAAAAAATGTATTACATTTTTTTACTTTTTTTCAAATTTTTTATGTAAAAAGTATAAACACGAATTTTTTACTGTGTAAAATTTAAGCACAATTTTTTACTTTTTTAAATTTTTGATGTGTAAAATATAAACACAAATTTTTACTTTTTCAAGTTTTTGATACAAAACAAAAACCAACAAAAAGTTAACAAAACGTTCTTGCATGAGTCACTTCAAAATTACATGTGAAAAAAACGTAAACAAAATTTTTTTGAAAAACATTTATTGTTCATAGAATTTATTTACACGCGCGGTTGATTTAATTGTCCTATTGGCAATTTTTATTTGAAATTAGGCACAATAATAATAGTGGATTGATGAAGCTACAAATTTTGCAAATTTGTCTGATTTTAATGAAAAATTATAAAATTTGTATTTTAAATTTTGAAAATGTACAAATTTTGGTTTGAAAATTTGAGTTTTAAGGGGGGTGTATAAGTTAAATGTGTATATTTTGTTTTCACTTTAATTAGGGCCAATAATGTTTGGTTAAAGTATTTAGTTTAAAAAATATAAACACAAATTTGGATGTTTGCACATCGAAAAAAACGGTTTTTTTATCCATGGACGTTGACTTACAGGCCATTGTCCAACTTGTACCCCGACCAGGCCCCTTACACGGTGTGCAACAGCTCGCTGTCCGAGTACGGCGTGTTAGGTTTCGAGCTCGGCTACTCGATGACCAACCCCAACGCTTTGGTCATCTGGGAGGCGCAGTTCGGCGATTTCTCCAACACCGCCCAATGCATCATCGATCAACTTTTGTCCAGCGGGCAGGCCAAATGGGTGCGCCAGACCGGATTGGTCATGCTGCTGCCCCACGGCATGGAAGGTAAGAAAAATGTCGAAAGTATTGCGCCGTTTGATTTTTTATTCAGGAATTATTTATTTCTCCATTGAACTTCACATATCTCTTCACATATCTCTAAATCAATCTAAGGTCCTGAGACCAACTGCGGGCGCGCCATACTTAAGTAAAACGCTCAATTTGTTTTTTTCTCAAGGCCAAGGCCCCGAGCACTCGAGCGCGCGCTTGGAGCGCTTCCTGCAGATGTCCTCCGACGACCCGGACTACTTCCCCCCTGAAAGCGACGACTTCGCCGTGCGCCAGCTGCACGACATCAACTGGATCATCGCGAACTGCACCACGCCGGCCAACCTGTTCCACATCCTGCGCCGCCAGATCGCTTTGCCCTTCAGGAAGCCCCTGGTCATCATGACGCCCAAGTCGCTGCTCAGGCACCCGGAGGCGAGGAGCTCGTTCGACGACATGATCGACGGCACCGACTTCCAGCGCATCATCCCCGACAAGGGCGCCGCCAGCGACAACCCCGGCAACGTCGAGAAGTTGGTCTTCTGCTCCGGGAAAGTTTACTACGACCTGCTGAAGGCCAACAGGGACAAGGGATTGGAGGGGAAGATCGCCATCACCCGCGTCGAACAGGTATGTGCACGAGCTTGAAGTAGGGCGGGGTTGCCAGGTTTTAAAATGAAAATTCCACACCTGTAATTTTTAACCAATCAAAACGTGTATTTTTGATAGATCACCATGGCAACGGTTGAATTTTAGTGGACATTTTTTCCTCGTGGGTACCCAACAGCGAATTATACTGGAAATTTTTTGACGTTTATAATGACAGAATATTTTTTTGACAATCTGGTTTTTATTTGTTTACATGATAATTTTGATACATTTCCATTACAAAGTTTAGATGTTTTCAATATTCGTTGGACACCTCCTTTCTTCTTAATGGCGAAAATGCAGGACTTGAAATAAATTAAATGTCTATGTCTAATGAAATATATATAATATTTAGACACTATTCTATTCACCTTTTTTTCCATTTAGCACTTTGAGTTTTGAATAGTTAAGATGCAAATATTCGTGAACAATTCAAAACAAATTTTCTTTCTTCAAGTAGGAGCCACAATCCTCTAATAATGCGGGTAAATAAGTCATTGCACGATGACAATTTCACATTTTTTTACGTCGTGCCGCTTGACAGCTTCAAAACTGAAATAACTTTTAGGTTGGGGTTAACTTAGTTGCCATGGTAACTAAATAATCAAGTCGAGGTCAAGTTAAATCAAAAAATAAATTTTAATTATTTAAACACAATTTGGTGTGGAATTTTCTTACCGAATACCACACGAGGTCAAATTAAATCCGGAAATTTTTTCTCCCTCATGAATATTTTTAGAAAATTATCCCTCGTCTTCGACTCGGGATAATTTTCAAAATATTCATGAGCTCGAAATAATTTCCGGAAATAATTTGACCTCTAGTAGGTAGGTATTACTAGTGAAAACATCGCAAAATTTTGCACAAAAAATAGAGATGCGACTTGAAAAAAAAACGATACATTTTTATGTTTTTTTTTTTTAATTTTTTTTTTCAAAATTAGTCATTTGCCTAATTTTGTGTGTTTCCAATCCAGTTCATGGTCTAAAATTAGCCACTAAATGACATTTAGTAAATGTAAATACAGTCTCGCGCTATGCAAGCGCCACCCAGTGGCGGCTCGTCAGGGTAAGCCTCTGAGGCCGCGCCTCACCCTTAAAATGAAGGAACGAACGACTTTTTGTATTTATATTTTTGCCTATTACAAGTGTATTTTTACAACAGTTCTACCCAATAAAAAGTAAAAAACCAATCAATAATATTAAGCGTAAATAAAAATCCAGGCGCAAAGCGCGTCAAGTTAACGTGCATCGTTGAGAGTCGCTTGTTGTATGTATCTTGGCTTGGACAGAGGCGAAATTTTCACAGCCTCGGAAGCTCCCATTTACGTCTTGAAAGCGAAAATGACTCACCAACAAAAATATCGCCGTAAGTTTGCGAATAAACACCCAAGGTTCCCGTTTGTCATAAAATTCACATTTTGTCATAGAAATCATAAAATTTCATTATTTTTTAACATTTTTCTCACCTTTGATCTTTTTTATAAAATGGAAATTTTGTTAAATAAAATTTAAAGCCGGTCCTGTAGAATAAAACGCAATAAAATGTTTTAAATATGGCCTTGGTTGTTGACTATGAACTTTATACTATGAAGGAAAAAGAAGTTAGGTTAGGAAATGAATTTTAAATTTGAAATAAATAATGAGAAAGGTAAATTTATTTTTATACTATATTACTTTACTAAGGAAGGCACAAAGAAGGACTTGAAGAAATTGATACTATTTTGGCAAGTAAGGAAGCAGAGTTAAAAATAACAAGAAATATTATTTATGAAGGAAATAAGAAATTATCGAAGTACCTTAACAATAACTACATAACTACTCTTAAAAAAACTTTAATATTGGAGGCTCAAACAATGATTAACATGGGTCTAAAAAAACAAAAGAAATAGTACCTATAGGTATATATACTATTTTTTTTTGCTTTTTTGAGACCCATGTTTATCATTGTTTGAGCCTCCAATATTTCAGATTTATACCTTTGTGGTTTTATTTATTTTGAGATTATAATACCTATTATAAGAAAATACTAAAGTAACATATATTAAAAATATTATAGCAGAAATATTTATTTTGATGCGAGAAAAAATATTTATTTTTATATAATAACCGTTAAAAAATTACATTTATTTTATTAAATAACTTTAGAAATAATAAATTCTTGTCATAAAAAATGTCATAAAATTTGTCATAAAATCATAAAAGTACAAAACAATGCTGGGAACCCTGAACACCGTAGATGAGGCGAAATTTAGTTAGCTTGGTTTGTTCTGATTGGTGGTCCGTTTATGGTGGGATGCCAGCGGAGACAAAGAAGGTTGCCAGTCTTCTCTTAGCGTTTGTAGAGCACGTTATTGTTTTGATTCAGATTAAATTATTTAAAACTTTTGGCTGATCTTTTATAGTTTATGTCTCGATTAGTAAAATTTCTTATTTAATTATTGTAGGGAACACACTAAGGTAGATTTAGCAGTTTTTATTAAGCAAATTTTATATTTTGAAATAATAGATTGCATAATTCTTCAATTAGAGACGCGGTTTGAAAATTTAGAATTACTTTTAAATCTCACTGCAGACCCACAATTTTACGACCAAATAATAGATAAATTTTCAATCTTAAAAGATAGACGTATATTATTTTATATTTTTTAATACTTAGGTAGGGGTCGACTTTTTAGTTTTATTTTTATTTTTTGATTAATTTATTTATTTTTAACTTTTTTAAGACTATTTTTTAAGTTTAAGATTAAAACTAGTCTTTGATGTGATATTTTGTTTGTTTTGTTTTTTAGAGTTTATTTTTTGGTTTAGTAGTGCTATCGGCTCCATTTTAAAAAAGGTCAACGCGTCGGAGAATAATACCTCCCGGGTGACGTGGAAATTTATTCGTATTTAGACAAAATTAACCTTATGTAGCCTCACCCTCCTGTACACCCACGAGCCGCCACTGGCGCCACCACCACCGATTTGACCAATAAGGGCCGCGCTTGTTTTGATTTGGTCCTAAAAAAAGTAACTACATATAATATTTTTGATTCAGCGCTTGATTTTTCAAACTTTTATAACTTTTGACGACATTTTCGGATTCATCGAATAATATTTCATAGGAATTGACTGCTAAATATCCTTTCGCTATGACATTTTTAACTAATTCATTTTTAGAGAGTAAGTAATGTAGTGATTTCTTCGTCACAGGGCATCTTGCAGAATCACTGTTACAGTGATTTAAATACAGTGCATGATAGAAAACATAAAAAACCAATGGCAACAAAATTATTAAATTCTGAAAATACTTTTAACATACCACCTGAAAAAATATTAGATATATATAAATCATCCTGTTCCGGCCTAAACATTATAAATGCTTCACAAACCAGAGATACCTCACTTAATATTATTTGCAACAAACTATTTTAGAAGTCAGACCAAGGAATTAGTAGTTATCTTCAGAATCCTGAAAAGGGATGAGGAATCCGAGAAAGAAATATATGAATTATATGATATTTATTTTTATATATTTATATTTTTATAAGAAAAAAACTAAAATCTTTAAAACAATAAATAATATTCCTTAAGTGTCCAATAACTATGTGGTTTACCCTAATACCGCCAACTTTGATAAATTAAAAATCGTTTCGCCAACGTTACATTGGCAATGTATTTAAATTAAAAAACAAGTAGGTACATGGTAAAAAACTTTATTAGTTTTCTTTTTTAAAAACTATAAATAAACATAAAAAATATTTCTTTTTAAAAACTTTAAATAAACATAAAAAAGTTAAATATTTACCTTATGACCATTCTTCCTTCAACCACTCTTGTTGAAATTATCTTACTTTTGCGCTCATGACTGCAAATAACTTTTAAGTAAAAAAATAAAAGCAAAAGAAAACTGGTCTAAAGAAAAATCCATAAAAAACAATCCTAAAGAATATTTTTTTTAATTTTATGATTAAACAATTAATGCTTCAAGCTAATAAATTAATTTATAGTTGTGATATTTGTTACCAAATAAATATTATTTTGTAGCTTACTCCCTTCCCATACGACTTGGTGAAGCAGGAATGCTCCAAATACCCCAACGCCCAAATCGCCTGGGCTCAAGAAGAACATAAAAACCAAGGAGGATGGACTTATGTCCAACCGAGATTCCAAACTGCACTCAACGGATCCAGAGACATTGTGTAAGTGATATTTTAGAACGATTTTTGTGTTTATTAAACTCATAAAGTTTGTTTAAAAATTGGTAAATGTTTTGTATTGCAGCTTTATTGAAAAAAAATGTTAAATTTGTCATTTTTGTTTGTTTAGTAAGAAACCTTTGGCAAAAATTATTTTTAGTTTAGATAAAAAACTTACTTAAATATTTAATTTCTACAGGTTTTTTAAAAACGCCTTTACTGAATTTGATATAAGTTTTCTTAAAATACGCCATTTTCTTTTTTTCAAAAAAAACCGCGATACGCAACAATGACCAAAAAAATTAAAATTAACTGCCTCAATATAAACTGAAACTTGGGTAATTTATAATGGGGATGTGTAGATATGATTTTATATAAAAATAATATGCTTCACCCTCAAATGTTTTAGTTCCAAAAAGGGTTGGTTTGGTGGCTTGTTTGGCAAATCGGAAACGAAGCCCAAGCCCGTTTCGGAAATCAATACCGACAACAGAACAGTTAGGTGAGGATTTAAAGTCATATCTCCACGTTATTTTATTATTATTTATTATTATTATTCGCGCTGCGAAAAAACAACCTTTGGTCCAAAACATTATTTTCGAGATTATGAATTTTCGGCGTTACTACACAAAATTTCATTTCTGGGCCTAAAGTTTGTTTTCTCAAAGCGCGTTACATGCTTTTTGCACTTGTGTATGAAGAAAATAGTTATGTTGCTACTAGCAAAAATGTTGATGGATAGGTATTTATTTGGACCTTCTAAAAGTGATTGAAAAATAGTTCATGTGAAGTTATATAAAAAGGAAAGCGTTTTCCTTTTTTTTTACACTTCTAGAAGTGGCTTCTTTTGTATTTGTACACCATTTGTGCAAGGTTCGCGAAAAAACTGCCTCGAAAAATTGGAATTTTTTTAAGCGATTTTTTGGGACAAATCACAAAACTGTTTTCATAAAAAAAATTGTAGGTAATTTATTATATATTATTTTTTCACCAAAATTGTCAAATATATTCTTCTTTTATTAGGCTATACATTAAATAAAAAAAAATTGTAAGAAAGATTTTATAAAAGTAGAAATAATTTCAATACTTGACACCTTTAAATTATTAAAATTTTCTCTACTTTTATAAAATATTTCTTGCGTTTTTTTAATTTAATGTATAACCTAATAAAAAAAGAATATTTTTTACAATTTTTATGCCAAAATATTATACAAGGTCTCCCTAAACTTATTGGCATAAATTTAGGAAAAGATTGAGCAAGTCAAAATACGATGAAAACCTAAATAAATATTTTTCCTAATTACTTATGTTTCCAAGATACAGGGTGATTAAGTGTTACTTATCATATCAATTTTTTTAATATAACTTCTACTATGGTAGTCTTGGAAAGGTGATATTTTGCAAACAGTCACTTACTACATATTCACACATAATTACAATTGTTGAGTGAACACAGAGTCGTAGAAACGGGGGTTGCTTTAAGCTTATTGACCCATACAAACTTTGAGGTTAGGTTTTTATAACGTTTGATGCAATTTTTCGATTACACAGTTCGGCTACCATTAAAAAGGTGGACCTCTAAAACTTCGATAAAATAAACCGTTTCCAAGATATTCGAGATTACAATAATTGTTATATCGCATTATTTATAAGGATTAAAAGGTATACGATAACAAATTTTATTTTTTAATTAAAAAAACAAAAGGGCATTCCATGAGCCTCGGGACTTTTTGCCCTGGCCGTCACATTAAAAAAATTGTTGTTTTTTCAATTAAAAAATTTGTTATCATATACCTTTCAGTCCTTTAATGCGATATAACAATTCTCGAATATCTCGGAAACGGTTTATTTTATCGAAATTTGAGAGGTACCCCTTTTTATAGTAGCCGAACTGAGTAATCGAAAAATTGCATCAAATGGTATAAAAACCTAACCTCAAAGTTTGTATGGGACAATAAGCCTGTTTCTATGACACTGTGTTCACTCGAACAATTGTAATTATTTATTTATTTATTTATTTATTTAACGCATTTAGCAGTTACAATAGAAAAGGTAAGTACATGTGAAAAATCGTGCATATTACAAATGAAATAAGCAAAAATAGTATAGATACAGAAAATTAATTAAAACTAAATTAACTTGATATAATATTAAAAACTTAACAAATCAATTAATAGATAATAAGATCATAGGATCCGTACTAATTAGTATGGAAACTTAAGTTACAGAGGTTGAATATGTGTTTTGGTAGTAAGTGACTGTTCGCAAAATATCACCTTTCCAAGTCTACCATAGTAGAAGTTATATTAAAAAAATTGATATGATAAGTAACACTTTATCACCCTGTATCTTTTAAACATACGTAATTAGGAAAAATATTTATTTAGATTTTCGTCTTATTTTGACTTGCTTAGTCTGTTCCTAAATTTATGCCTAAGTTTAGTATGTATAATAAATAAACTACAATTTTTTTATATTAACAGTTTTGTAATTCGTGCGTTTCGCGCGCTTGAAATGGCCGTTTGCAAATCTTTATAAAATTTTGGATAAAAATATGCGTTAGTATAACCTGAAAATTTTGTACAAATCAAACCAACAGTAACAAAAATACAGCGCTTTAAATTCGTCAAAAAGCGGTCATTTTTACCGACTTTAAAGCGCTGTATCTTTGTTACCGTTCGTTTGATTTGTAAAAAAATACAGTTTTTAACATCATTTTTTTTATTTACATAAAAAAATTCCCTAAAAGTTATTTTTTGAACGTTTTTTATTAATAAATAAAAGGGCTTTAAAAATATTTACTCGAAAAACCCTCGAACACGTAAACTGAGATATAAGTTAAAGTATTTTTTTACAAAATAAAGGCGTTTTAGAGTTTGTACTTATGCGTTAATTTTGACGCGCAGTGTATCTCTTCAAATAAAAAATAGGTGGTTAATTGGTGCACTTTTTGTGGTTACACAAAGTGTAAGATAAACGTTTACGCTTCTTTTTGTTTCAGTTACATTGGCAGACCTGTTGCAGCCAGTACAGCCACTGGCAGCAAAGCTCAGCATCTTAAGGAGTTGGGAACATTGATCGATGATTTCAGCAGGCTATAAATGCTGCGTAAGACCACCGGAAGTGAGACCTTCTTCACCTAGACAAACTTATCAGTAATCCTTAATAATAATAATAATAACAATAGTAACTTACGGCCAATTGCGTAACGCTAAGCGTCGAAGAATTGTAAATAATTTGCCGGAACTCGGTGCAGGTTGTTTTGCAAGCGGCCGATGTATTTTAGTTGATTTATTTATTTATTCTACTAACGTTTTAAATAAATAGTATTCTTTTAATCAAAAATGCACTGATAATCTAATTAATGTAAATGTATGTAAATAGCACCTTTATGTAGGTTTACATAGTTAAACATTTTAATTACATCCCTAAGATGTATGAGAAGAACCAGTTAAAATAAATAAAGCGCGAAATGTGGATTGTTCAGCATGTTCAAGAATATTTATTTATTTGGTAATTGATAAGATGTATAAATGAAAGACGGTTACGGTTTTCAAAAGAAAGTATTTTAAAATGTAATGTTATTTATTTATTGTAAGAGTGAATGATATTTTGAATGACGAATTTGTTGCTTAAACGACTTTTTTTATTTCTACTTACCTTCCACCTAAATGTTTCAAGAAAAAACGGATTTTTGGACCCATTAAGTGTAAAAGCAAGATATGAAATTTCCTATTTAGAAAAGTATACTGAACATATTATTGTTCTACAGGTGCACCAAATATTCTTCCAATTTTACAAGCAAAATACAGATGTACAGGGTGATCCCCTATAGTGTCGCCCCCCTTTAACTCTTCGGCAATTTCAAGCGCTCGAAACGCCCGAATTACAAAACTGTTTTTATAAAAAAAAATTGTAGAATATTTATTATATAATATTTTGGCATCAAAATTGTCAAAAATATTCTTCTTTTATTAGGTTATACATTAAATATAAAAAACGCAAGAAATATTTTATAAAAGTAGAGATAATTTTAATAATTGAAAGGTGTGGATGTGACAAAAAAAAGATTTATCTTGTCCTGTCCACACCTGTCAAATATTGACCATTTTGACCATTTTGATGCAAAAATAATATATAAAAAGCTTGAAAGTGACCCAAAAAATTTAAAAGTGTGGTTATGTAGTTACTAAAAGATACTTTTTTCTAAATATAAAAAAATTGGAAATTTAGGGTTTTAAAATTTCCGGAAAAATTGAGCCGGCGAAAAAAAACGCTTTTTTTTTGGAAAAAAATAAATTATTTTATTTTAAGGATAATACGAAAAAATGATTGTCAATTTTTCTGAAAATTTCCAAATTTTTACGAATAGTATCCGTATACTGATATCAAGAAAAAAGTGAATTTCCGACGCTGATTATAATTATATAATATTATGATTATAATGATTATTTTATTTTAATTCATATTCTACCGGGCCGCAAAAAAACACATTCGGTACTGTATTAACATAACTTTTATTTAACAGTTTGATTTATAAAATTATAATTTTGTTATTTAACTTTATAAATTATTCATTATTTTGAAGTTAGATATTTTTAATTAGAGATGGGAATCGGAAAGTTTCCATTTTAAGGAAACTTTCCGTTTTGGAAAGTTTCCAATTGGGAATTTATTTTCATTTTGAAAGTTTCTTTTAAGCTACCGGAAACATTCCTTGGAAACTTTCCTTGTTTTTTCATTTAAATGTCAATTGTTTAACCGCTGATTTTCGTTAAGGCCATGATACAAGGCCAAGAAACTTTGAATAAGAATTTAATGTTTGTTAATTTAAGGCAGAAGAAGTATAAATAATGTAAGTTATGTTACATAACCTCAATGAAGCCGGATTATTCAGCATCATCGCAAAAAACCCTGGCATAAAAAAAATATTTTCGCAATAAAATTTTTTTTTTTAACTTTCGGAAAATTTCGGGAATTTTCGATGGAATTTTTTTATTTAAAATAATGTTAAGTTGTTGATTGCTACTTTTTTTCAAATGTGTATATTTTCCAAAAAAAAAATCATGAAAAAAAACAGGTTTTTTCCCCCAATTTTTCCTGTTTTTTTTCGACACTTTAAAAACCTAGTATACAGGGAAAAACAAAAAGTTTATTTTTTCTCAATGGAAAACCCTATAATTGAATTTATTTTTCGATTCCTTGTCAAATTCTAAGCAAAATTCATATAACATACCATATACCTAAACTCAACCGTTTCTGAAATATTTAAATTATTTTTAAGATAATAAAATAGTTTGTCTTTCTTTGTCTTAGTGCGCCATTTTTACTTAACAAGACATATTGACATAATGTCACTATAGTTATTTATTTTCAATAAACATTTTGTTATACTAATGCTTACATTATGCTGTTACAAATCAAGAATTCTTGATTTGTAACAGTTTAAAAAAATATTTGATGATAACGTTTTAAATGCGAATATTTCAGAAACGGTTGAATTTAGATATATGGTATGTTTTATGAATTATTCTTAGAATTTTAAAAGGAATAGAAAAATAAATTCATACATAGGGTGATCCATTGAGAAAAAATAAACATTTTGTTTTTCCCTGTATACTGATCAATTTTCCATTTTTTTTAAACGTACAAAAAAGTATTTTTAAGTACCTATGTACATAACCACACTTTTAAATTTAAAAAAATCAAGGAATACAATGTATCAAATAAGTTATTATAAAAACAAAAGATGGCGAGGGTAACTTAAAATTTAGTGGCAAAGAAATTGAAAGTTTAATTAAAAACTTACTTTGTTTCAAAATTCCCAGAAATAACGATTTTTGGTTTTGACAAATTGATATTTTTTAAATTAAAGGGTCTTGAATTTCTTTCATTTTTACATTTTTTACAAAATTCTAATTTTTTGCTTTCCTTGGCTAAACTAGTTCAACCCTACTTCGATAGGTGTCGCAATGATGTATGCAACCACAACTACATTGATAAGGCTTACTTACCTACAGCATCCTCTTGCTTAAAATATAAAAAAGACTCTGGTTGAAGAGTTGGCACACTAATCCTCGTAAAAATGAATCTTAAGATTTAAAACAATACTGTATTTAAATAAAATATACCATTTCTTATTATAAAACGTAACAATAAAAAAGCAAAATTAGGTTGTGGAAAGTGGATTACGCGTCGTAGGTGGAGGCGGACACGTTACCGCCGTGACCGGTCCAGTTGGTATGCACGAACTTGCCCTCTTTGCCCAAAAGTTCGTAGGTGTGGGCGCCGAAGTAGTCGCGTTGCGCTTGCAACATGTTGGCCGGCAGCCTTTCCGAACGGTAACCGTCGTAGAAGGCCAATGCGGTGGCCAAGGCTGGAGTTGGTACACCTGACGCAAAGAAAAAACACATTACCCGCTTTTGAATAAATACGACGTAAAATTTTTTTTACGCCAAAGAGGAGTATTTAAAGTTTTGTTTAGCATAGGTAAAATTTCCAATTTCTAAATCCAGGGGATTAAATATTTTTTCATCAAAATTTAATAGTAGTATTTTAGGTTATATGTGTAAAAACAAAAAAGTTGAAACGAAAAAATGCTAATTTTTATAACAGAGTTTCTTGGCTCGTTTTTCTCGCGAGATCCGTTGATTTTTTTACTACCAAGAGATTATACTACAATATAATATATTGTAGATATATCGGTAATTTCACCAAATACATTTCTTGTGGGGTATGTAGTAATGGCTTACTAAAAATTAAAACTCTTAATAGGTACGAGAATTTTTTACAAAAAAAATATATTGACAAAAAATAAAAAAATGTTTGTCAATATTTTGAAAAATCATTACTAAATATACAGTATTAATCTTTATGAAATGTTGGATTAGAATACTTCAACTTATATCTCAGTTTACGTGTTTGAGGGTTTTTCGAGAAAATATTTTTAAAGCCCTTTTATTTAATAATAAAAAATAACTTGGGTATTTTTTTTTAATTAAAAATATGCTGTTAAAGACCGTATTTTTGTTAGTAAACCCTGAAAATTTTGTACAAATCAAACGAACAGTAACGAAGATACAAGGTTTTAATGTCGGTAAAAATGGCCTCTTTTTGATTATTTTGCTAAAAAGTGGTCATTTTTGTCGACTTTGAATCACTGTATCTTTGTTACTGTTCGTTTGTTTGTACAACATTTTTTCGGTCTTTAACAGCATATTTTTTATTTACTTAAAAAAATCACCTAAAAGTTTTAATTCGAACATTTTTTCAATATTAAATAAAAGGGCTTTAAAAATATTTTCTCGAAAAACCCTTGAATACGTAAATATAAGTTGAAGAATTTCTATTCAAAATTTCATAAAGATTAATAAAGGCGTTTTAGAGTTAGATTTTATCCAGTTGTACTTTTCGAATTAAGACTATATTTTTTTTTAATTTTTAGTCAATAATTTTTTTTGTAAAAAAATCTTAGCTTTTTATTAAAAATATCAATTTTTTATTAACAAGACCCTCAAAAATTTAATTCAGTTGAGAATTGTTTACATAAAATATAATATTCGTATTTTTGTCACAAAAACATTAGATTATTTTAGAAAATAAGACAAAATTGACCATAATTTAACTTTCAATATTGTAAAAAAAAATTACAATTAATTTATTATTGAATGTAAAAAATTCTCAGCATTAAAAAAAATTCCTAAATCGCATTTTTTTCTTTAATTGAATTTTTGGTATCCTCTGTTATTTGTATTAAAGAATAAATATTTTCATTAAAAAGTTAAAAATTAAAAAAAAAACAGTACTACTGTTTGTATTTTTATAAAACATTATTTACATAAACAATTTTTTTTTAATATTATTAAAGTTCTAAAAAACATTACTAGGAAAGTACTTTATATTAAGAGCACAAATTTTAAGTTATTATTTTGATGGAAAGTCCACCAATTTAAAAAAATCCGCGGGTTACAATCCAAAAAAAAATATTTAGTGGAATAACTAAAACTTGGTCAAAAAATTTGAATTTGTTACAAACAGTTGTAAAAATATCGATTTTTCCAGTTTGTTATTTTCAATTTAATATTAAAAGTTTAAATTTTGACTGAAAATTTGACTCAAAAATACAAGTAAAAAAAACTTGATAACCATAAAATTTAAAAAGTTTGATCAAACAAAAACAGTGGAAGAATAAATACCTACAAATAAATATAATCTAAAAAACATACCAATTCTGGTGGCGGTCGAAACGACGTTTCTCCATCCCTTTTGGGCCTTCTTGATGGCATCCAGGAAGAAGGGCGCCAAAAGAAGAGAGTTCAAGTTGGGGTCTTTGTCGAAGGCGTTTTTAATTTGTCCCAAGAAGACGGATCTGATTATGCAACCACCGCGCCACATCAAAGCAATGCTGCCGTAGTCCAGGTCCCACTTGTGTACTAGAGCTGCTTCGCGCAAAAGCATGAATCCTGAAATAATTATAACACAATATGTTTTAAAAAAGTTGTCAGGCAGTTTGGAGAACGATATTTATAAATGATTAAGGTTGATAAAATGTTTTACGAACATTCAGGGAAAAATACGTTCATATTTTTCAACATTTATTTCGCAATTTTATGTAAATATTATTTCCAAAATATTGTTAAGTTATCTAACTTAACTTGTAACTTATTGAAAAGTTCATTAAAACAGCGTCAGTTCGGCCAATTTTACATTGTTTAGTGTATTTTAAGTGCGACGGTAAGTTAAATAATAAATTATTAATAAACTATCCAGATAATCCTTCCTGCTAGAGGTACGTAAAATATTTATTTTTATTGTTTAGATTATTATTGCTATTTGTGTTTTTTTTAAGAGAATTTAGTTTTACATATTTTTTATTAAGAGGTGTACTAAATTTTCTTGTAAAAATTTTTAGTGTGCAAAAATAGATTTCCACTTATGGTATTCGACTGTTTTAGTACGATATATATCGTATATCTGATATGAGAATACCATACCACGTTTACATTACAATTATAGAACCTAATTATATACTATGTCTAGAGTTTACAGTTACCTTATATGACCAAAAAACAGGCTGAAAACTTTCAGGAAGGTGAAAAAATAAGCCTCTAAAAATTTGAGCTCTTAATATTAACATTAAGTGGTGCCTGTTCCTAACTTTCCATTTTCCATTTAAATAACATGGAAAATTTTTTTTCTTCTTATTTTTATATCTTGAAATTTAAGCATTGTAAAAACGAACTTATTCTGGTAGGAAATTGAACGCTCTACAAAAAATTACTAATTTATTTTTTCATAGAGTAAGCCGTTCTGAAGGTATTCAAACTTGCAAATGTATGAAATTATGACTTTTATTTTATTAAACTAATACTCTTTTTGTCTTAAAAATTATTTTAAGAAAAAATAATTATTTTCGTATAGAAATAAAATAACACATCTCATTTTTTTTTCTTTTTATTTTATTTACTATCAAAAAAAGTTATTTGTGTTCAATAAATTTTTTCAATAATTATAATAGATTAAATAAAACAATGAATGTTGTTATTGTATTGAATTTTTAATCTTTCTTTATTTTTTATAATTTTAAAGTCGATAACTCTGATAAAAGATTATATTGGTTCAGTCGGTATATTACCCTTCGGATTACACGGTGACTAGAGGCACGCTAACGTGCCGCGATTCGAAATGTTAAAGGCAACTTTAAGTTTGAATACCTTCAGAACGGCTCACTCTATGAAAAATTTATTGAACCTTTTTTGTAGAGCGTTCAATTTCCTATCAAAATAATTTTTCAGTTCGTTTTTACAATGCTCAACTGTCAAGCTACAAAAATAAGAAAAAAATAAAAAAATTCCATGTTATTTAAATGGAAAATGGAAAGTTAGGAACAGGCACCACTTAATGTTAATATTAAGAGTTCAAATTTTTAGAGGTGTCTTTTTTCACCTTCCTGAAAGTTTTTAGCCTGTTTTTAAGTTGAAAAAAAAAGTTGCTTAAAAATGACACACCCCTAATGACCATTATAAAACTAGTAAAATAAATAGCTATTTTATAAAACCTTGTATAATTTGACAAATCTTATAATAGTATTTTGTATTATTATTATTATATTATTATAGTATTTATTAATTATTTATTGTACCTATTATGTTTTTATTTTATTGTAACTTGAAATTTTTGACTAGTCATGTAACATTTTTTTTTTTGATGATAATTTTTTTCTTACTTGAAAACGTCGTAGTTGAATTACATTTAAGTCACTTTGATAACGGATAAAAAGGAAGGTAACTTTTTGCAAGTGGATAATTATTTATTTACCTTGTGTCATTTTATTTCCTTGACAACCTTGCAAATAATTATTTTTTAATATATTAAGTTGTCAAAAAATCTTTTAAAATTAATCGTTTTGGTGTCGTGTCCGACAAAAAATTAAAGCATTACAGATTTTATTGAAGAAAATAATACACTGGAGCTATCTTCTACCTCTACATCCAGAATTATTTATAATAATTGTTCATTTAAATAAATTTAAAAAAGAGAATTACACTCGAGCTTTTTTTTCTGGCAGGATAAATTTATGTTTTCTAACTTTCAAACTTATTAGCAATTTGACTCGAAAAAATGTCATCTGACAAAATCGCTCGACCTACGGTCTCGCAATTTTGATTGATGACATTTTTTCTTGTCAAATTGCTAGGTAACAAGCTTTTAAGGAAAACAAAAATTTATCCGGCTAAAAATAAGCTCTTGTGTAATTATAGTCGACAATAAACTATTCTATTCTAAAGACTCACCTTGAGCATAGGAGACAATTTTGCTGGCGTACAGAGCCTGCCTGATATCTTCCAGGAATTGTTTCTTATCGCCGCTCCACTTTTCGGTGGGCCCGGGCAAAACTTTGCTAGCGTGGGTCCTTTCGGCCTTCAAGGCCGACAGGCACCTGCTGAACACGGCCTCGCCGATTAGAGTGACCGGCACGCCGTAGTTGAGAGCGGAAATGGCGGTCCACTTTCCGGTCCCCTTCTGGCCGGCGGTGTCCCTGATTTTCGGCAGCAAGTACTGCCCGTCGGCGTCCTTGTAGTTGAGGATGTCCTTGGTGATGTCGATGAGGAAGCTGTCGAGCTCGCCTTTGTTCCACTCGGCGAACGTTTCGGCCATCTCGTCTTGCGTGATTCCCATGGACAACATCAAGTGGTATACCTCGCCTGACAATGCAATTTTTTAGTATTAGAACCAATAAAATGCCAGTATTCCATAGTTACGCATTTTATCACAGCCAGAGCTGGGAAAGTTACTTTCGAAAAGTATCTAGTTACTTTTCTAAGATACTTTAAACAAAATAACTTAGTTACCTCTGGTAACTAGATACTTTGAGTTAAAAGTATCTTTATTTACAAATTGAATTTTTTCATTACAGCACCATCTATTACAAATATGAAAAAATGTTTTTGACAAAATCTACCTATTTTTAGTCGAATGATCCGAATCTGCAATAGTATGAGGACCAATTTTAGTACTAATTGATTTCCCCCCTCGAATCATTTAAAAATGCATACTGAGATATTTCAGTTTTAAGTTAAATGACACCCTGTATATTCTAACTAAATATAATCAATGATCATACCACTTGATATATTTTGGGTGAAAAAAATTTCTTGATGAGCTTTACGTTCAACACGAAAAATGTTGACTTTCTTACCGATAAGTTGCATGTCTCCATATTCGATACCGTTGTGCACCATTTTAACGAAGTGACCGGCGCCGTCGCTGCCCACCCAATCGCAGCAAGGCTGGTTGTCTGCTTTTGCGCAGATGCCCTGGAAGATGTCCTTGATGTAAGGCCACGCCTCCTTGTTACCGCCCGGCATCATAGATGGCCCGTATCTGGCGCCCTCTTCACCACCTTTTAAATAAATTTGATCAAAAATCCGTATGTATACCACATACTTCCACACATATACTTATGGCACGACGTTTTAACATTTATCAAATATTTTTTTAATTTAAAATTTTATTGGTTTAAAATTTTCCCAACTAAAAATTTTAGGTTTAAATTAATAAATTTAAAATATTTTCTACTACATATTATGTATTGAAAGGCAAAATTTACTAACTAACAGTTCACTTCTGTATTAAACAATATTATTTCTAATAAATTGTCGCAAAAATATCATTTTTTTAAATAATTTCTTTGGTAATTAAATAATAATTATTATAATAATTATTTAATTGGGCAGAATTTTGTAAATCCTAAATAAATTTTTTATTAAATTATTTAAATTAAATTGGTAAAGTTAAATTTCTTAGTATTTAAAAATAGTGTTGAGATATTTAAAATAAAAACACATATAAAACATTTTCTACCAAAAGAGTTTAAAAGTTATTTTTTTTAATCAATTGATAATCAAAAAATATTTTTAATATAAAATGCAAATGTAAAAGTTTAAGTTTAAAATATTGGTGTTTTAATATTTTATTCTACAAAATTATTGGTTTAAATTTGTAAAGAGTCATTTAAATGATAGTTTATAAATTTTTAATACAAAAACTTGCACATTTAAATTTAAGTCGATAATTTTTAATTCACAAAGTGTAAACGGTGCTTTAGATAACCGACTATGGACCATGTTTAAAATTGACCACTCTATAAAGAGCTAAAGCCACGTTTACACTATGTAAATTAAAATTGTCAAAAACTACCTACAGTGATTAATTGTGCGATTTTAACCGGATTTGTTTTAAACTGTATTTCTTGATAAACTGTATTTTTAGAACAAAAAACGCCATACTTTTACAAAATACAAGGCCTAGTATGTCAGTTTTTAAGAGTAAATTTTTAAGAATTCATATTAGCGATTTTTTTAAACAAAATCTAAGCACGGCACTGGATTAACCAACACCCCAAAACGACCCAATACTAAATTTTATTAAAAATTATAAAGTAGAAAAATGCACATTAATAACTAACAAAAATTTATTCTGTCAAGTTATCCATGAAAAAAACATTGAAATGAAATTAAACTAATAATAACATGGTACTATTACTATAAGTTTAATTTTATTTTAATGTTTTTTTATGGATAACTTGACAGAATATTTTTTTTTAGTTATCATTGTGCATTTTTCTACTTAAAATTTAGTAAAGGGTCGTTTTGAGGGGTGGTGAATCCAGTGTTTTGTTTAAAAAAATCGCTAATACCTATAAATTCCTAAAAATTTACTCTTAAAAAGTGACATAGTAGGCCTTGTATTTTGTAAAAATATGGAGTTTTTTGCTCCAAAAATACCCCAGCAAACACAACCGTAAAGGTTCTGTAATGGCGCTTTAAACGCGTGCCTTTAATAAACTAAAGGCCCTATAAAGGCTGACTTTAATGGACCTCTACATATTATGTCGCGTTCACCTTTTATGGGCATGTGACGGCAGTCGATAAAGACACTTACAAGAACCGGTAAAGGTTCCGATATGGCAGGTTAAAGGTACAAATGTGGCAAGCTAAAGGTTTATATATGGGGTGTTAAAGATTCTATAGTGGTTAGTTAAATATTATTTAATGGATAAGTAAAGTACCTATTATGTCGGATTAAATGTGGTACCTATATATTTACTAGGTACGGATATTCCATGATAATGGAAATATTTTATCCCGACCGATTTTTGACGGTAGGGATAAAAATTCCCGATTATCGTGTAATATCCGACCTAATAAATATATACCTACCAAATTTAATCCACCATAATAGATAGGTACTTTACTATATTACAAAAATTTCGTTATTATGTAATTCCATTAATGTCCCTAAAACTTTCAAAAAATTAAAAAATACAAAGTGTTTAATGTGTTATAAAATACATGTAATTTAAACATAATTATAACATAACATATTTAAATAAAAAAAAAACTTAACAAATATTATAAAATAAAATCAAATTTCAACAGTTTCCATTTCTAAGGAATCGAATGAATTAAATTTAAAACCAAAACAAATTAAGTAGATAAATCCAGTCTCTAGTCCAGTCTTTAGCACAATGGATATATGGCTAAATCACATGCATAAGAGATCTCTATTATAATATATATATATTGCTAAATCATTGACGACTGCAGTGTACTCTAGGAATGGTCTTATAATGGGATTCTAATTTGCAAGTTTTTCTAGAAAAAAGCTTCGTTTTGAATAGAGATAATTAAATAGGGTTAAATATTCAAAACATGGTGCGCTAAAAGAAGATTTAAAATTTAAAAATAGGTCACATGAAATAGCTATTTCCTAGGTTATTAAATAGTATGACATTAATGTAAAAATTGTACAGTAAAAATACTTACTTGAAAAAGGTACTACCTAGTTGTTTAGTTCATTAATAATTAATTATAAAATACACCTATTAGATAATTAATTAATATATCTCAAAACCTATATTATTTTTCTATATGCATATGCATAATACCACTAACATGAGGCAATTCATTAGTAAATATGGTGTAAAGCAAAGGAAAACATTTGGCACTGTAATGGTGTGTTACAGTTCCATTAACTTGATACTTATAATTGCCATATGTGGGCCTTTAATGTTAAATTATACATATCATTGCCTGAAAAGGGCCATTGCAAGACCTTACCATGACAGCCTTTGGTCTAAATTGACATTTATTAACGAAAAATTCCTGTAGAGGCCCAGTACAAGAACAGCTTGGGTTAAAAATGCCATCATTTAACCATTAAACGCTGTAATGGGCCATTACATTACCAGACTTATGTGTTTGCTGTACAGTAGTATAATAGGTACCTACTAACAAAAGGTTTAAAATAAAGCAATACAAAAATAAAAATTCACAGGATTTTTTTTTATTTTTCTGGGAATTTTTGTACTATAATTTAAAATTTTAATAAATATTTTTGGTTAAAATTAATGTATTTTCTTTTAATAACAATAAAATAGGTACATTTAAATAGAAAAAAATAATTAAAAAACATGTAGCATCTATATTATAAACTCTATAATATATTATATATATATAATAAATATTTTTGGTTAAAAAAATAGATTTAAATAGTAATTAATATTTTTCAAAGCATCCAGCATCAAGGGATATTATTAACAACATATTGTAATAAATATTTTTGGTTAAAACTATTGTATTTTTTTAATAATAAAAAATAGATTTAAATAGTATCAAATCTGGCATCCATATTATCTACACTATCTTCAATATGAATTTTTTTAAAAACGCTATGTCCTGATATTTCTTTATATTCTTTGATAATATTGCTATTATTAGTGTATTCTCTTAGTATTATCTTTAAAATAGCTTCATTGGTTTTTCAACTTAAACGCATAAAAAAATAATGAATTTTTTGTATGAAATTACACCCTTTCAATAAAAATTCAACAAAAAAATTACCCCTAAAAGTCCCAACCATTTTAAAATTATCTGTTGTCCAATAAGATTTTAAAAAACTATAAATTAATAAATTAGTAGAAGTATATTTTTGTTCTAAAAAATCCAATAAAAAAATTTAAATATGCATACCAAAACTTATTTATTTCTACCTGAAACTCCAGCACCAACAAATCTGATTCCTTTGGCAGCCAAAGCCTTGGTACGTCTTTCAGAATCCTGGTATTCAGAATTACCACCATCTATGATAATGTCACCTTTCTCCATGAGGGGCACCAATTGGTCAATGAAGTTGTCTACAGCGTCTCCAGCTTTGACAAGCATCATTACACGCCTGGGGGTTTTCAATTTTGAAACCAAATCTTTTATGGATTCAGCACCCAAAATGCTTTTGCCTTTGGCCTCGTTTGCCAAGAAAGCATGAACTTTTTCAACGGATCTGTTGAAAGCCACTACGGTAAAACCATGGTCTGCCATGTTTAGGATCAAGTTTTGCCCCATGACAGCCAAGCCAATAAGGCCAATGTCTCCCTTGCTAAAATAAAAAATACACATACTGATTGTTTAATTTATTGAATAAAATATATATTTAGTCATTCAATATGACCTTACTTATTTGTGATTGTAGTCTTTGAGGGATCATTTAGGATATCTATTAACCTTCAAAAATGATCTTGTACTAGTTAAGTAATTGCACTTTCGTGTTTTACCTTTTTTTCTATGATTTACCCCAATATATAATATATATATATCAATCTGTGAATCATTTTTAAAGATTTCTGACATGATTTATCTTATAAAACTTTATTACAAAACAATTTTGTTATTTATTAAGTAATATTAACAGAAAACCAAGAAAACATTACTTGATAATCGGTAAAATAATAAAAAAATTTGGTTAGGTATGTAAATATAATTAACCATGAGTGATGCAGCAAAATTTGTAAAATACCGTAATTTTCCTTAAAAATCTACAAAAACTGCCGGTAAAAACAATAAATAAAGTAAAACCATAAATAATCACGTTAAAAACTTACGTTTGACTCATTTTGTTCAACCACTTGTTGATTCCAACGAAAATTGAACTAATTTTGACACACTCGTGTTTTTGAGTCGACCGCACTTAAAAAACTGAACGATTGTTTAAAATTTTAGTTATCATTCCCTTCTATCGCATTTATTAACTATAGAAAGTCACATTGGGAATTGAAGGTCAAGATTACTATTGAACGGGCAATTTTCTACATTAATTTCTCCAAAAATTGGAGCACCGCTAAAACGATACGGTGTTACGTAATCACCACAAAATGTGTAACAAATCTGTGATCTAAAATTTTAAATGCAATAATATTATAGAAATTTATGGGTTGATTTATTATTTATTATTTCAAAAGTTTTGATACAAAGTACATAACAAACGCTTAATTTTTACCTTGTATCCATTAATTAATAATAAATTAACAATGTTATTAAGCATTATTTAAAATTTGATAATAAAAGTTATCTGGGTTGCCTACCATTATTTACCTAATCAATGAAATGAAATTAGCCGGTTTCACTGACAGAAGTTACCGCCTACATTCGCACAATTTAAATTTTTATTGATTTAGGTTATGTCTATCTGTCACTTTCCAGAAGTTAAAAACATCAAATAAAATGCCTAATCAAATTAAAAATCCGACAAAGCAATTAAATTACCTCTAAAATGATTAAATTCCGACATTCCTAATTTGCCGTATTATGTGCATTGTGACAAGTTTTTAGTGAAACGCCGGATACAATAATAAATAAAAGTTCATTACAGTTGAATAGGCACCTATAAATGTTTAAGATGAGATCTCAGAAGTACGTTTCCATATCTGTGGCAGCTTTTTTCTGTTATTGCAATACTTTGTGGGGTAGTTTTGTGTTTGATGACAGCGAAGCAATATTAAAAAATAAAGACGTGCTACCCAGCACTCCTGTAGCTACAATATTTCAAAATGATTTCTGGGGAGGCGATATTGCTTTAAACAGCAGTCACAAATCATTCAGGCCGCTGACTATACTGTCTTATAGGTAAGTAATAAAACTAAATACTAAACTTGCATAAAAGGTTGTGTTTTTAGATTAAACGTGTTATATTCGAATAATAAGCTTGATGCATTCCAATTTCACGCAACAAACGTAATTTTATACGGGTTATTATGCTTGCTTAGCATTCCAGTTTTTGAATTATTCTTCAAAAAACGCAAAACTGATAAGGATGATATCAGGAATGAAGCTTATTGGTCCACATTGTTGTTTACAGTTCACCCTGTACACACTGAGGCAGTGGCAGGGCTAGTGGGAAGGGCAGATATTTTATCATCTGTGCTATTTTTTGCTGTGTTATTGTTATATTCCAGGATAATCCAAAAGAAAGGCTCACTTTTGGTGCTGGTTATGTTTGTTTTTTTACTTGTTTGTGCTGTGCTTTGTAAAGAAACTGCTATTACGGTTTTGGTAAGGTTTATTGGTATTTTTAAGTTTTTTGTTTAATATTTTTGTTTTTAGGGTGTTTGTCCTGTCTATGACTTGTTTTATATGAAGAAGAGGAGAAAACCTTGGTCAAAAATGCTTAGCAAGGGGTTTCTTATAAGAAATATCTTTTTGGTTATGATTGGGGTGGTTATTATGTTTTTTAGGTTTAAAATTATGAATTTTGAGGGCCCAATGTTCACACACATTGATAATCCTGCAGGATATTGTCAAAGCTTTTTAACAAAAGTATATTTGTTTTCTTTTACATATTTACTTATTAAAATTATTAATTTTAGATTTTAACATATAACTACATTTATTTCTTAAACATTCTTCTGCTGATATGGCCACAATGGTTGTGTTTTGATTGGTCTATGGGGTGTATACCATTGGTAGAGTCCATGAGGGATACCAGATTTATTTTTGTGTTCATTTCCTGGGTAGTTATTCTGTATTTTACCCAAAAACTAATCAAAATTGCCTATTATAAAGATACATTGTAAGCACAATAGGACATTGTTTATGCTTTAATTTTTATCGCTGTATTTTTAGGGATATAAGGGTTATGGCTGTAGCTCTTATGGTGCTACCATTTTTGCCTGCTTCAAATTTGTTTTTGAAAGTTGGTTTTGTAATTGCTGAAAGGGCACTGTTATTGCCAAGTGCAGGGTTTTGCCTTTTAATTGTTTTGGGGCTGAAGAAAATTGAAAAAATGACAAATACAAAGGTGAGAATAAATTATTATTACTGAAGATAGAGTGTAGACAAATTTTACTGGTACAATTTTAATAATATTTATTTCAATGAAATTGAGAAAAAATACAATTTAATAAATCATTATTATTAATATTAGATAGGCAATAAACCAATTGGTTAATTGCTTTCTATAGAGATCATATTTCATAGAAAGTCAAGTCGCAAATTTAAAAAAACACACGCAGGTATTTAATTTTTAATAGGCTAAAACCATTTGTTTACTCATAGACAGCAACAGGGGTGCTGTACTCGGTTCTGTTGATTTTCGCGTTTCGCACGGTGTTGCGCAACCTAGACTGGCTTTCCGAAGAGCGGCTCTTCAGTTCCGGGCTGGACGTGTGTCCGCTGAACGCCAAAGTTCACTACAACGTCGCGAAAATCGCAGCCGACAGGCACAACCGCGATCTTGCGATCGTCGAGTACCGGAACGCGATTAAACTGAACCCCGAGTACGAGCAGGCGATGAACAACTTGGCGAACCTGCTCAGGGAGGACGAAAAGTTCGAGGAGGCCGAGGAGTTGCTGAGACAGGCTGTTAAAGTCAGGTAATCTGTTTGGTTCGACCCTATGAGGCGCCGTTTGTGCCATAATTATAAATAAAAAAACGTGAATATAAAACCATACTTAAAGAAATAAAATTATTATTTTTTTACAAAGTGCAACAATTAAGTGATTTTAAAATACTGTTTTGCGTCATTTTGCGTTTTTGTGAGTTTTTTTTTTAAACGCATTATTGTTGCACTTTTGCTTTAAAAATTAAAATTTCAACTCTAAAACGCCTTTACCAATCTTTATGAAATTTTGTATAAGAATACTTCAACTTATATCTCAGTTTGCCTGTTCGAGGTTTTCCCGAGAAATTTTTTTTAAAGCCCTTTTATTTAATATTAAAAAAAACGCTCGAAAAAAACTTTTATAAGGAATTTTTTAAGTAAATAAAAAATATGCTGTTAAAGACCGTATTTTTGTTAGTATACCCGGAAAATTTTGTACAAATCAAACGAACAGTAACGAAGATACGGCGCTTCAAAGTCGGTAAAAGTGGCCCCTTTTTGATTATTTTGCTGAAAAAATTCCCTAAAAGTAATTTTTAAATATACTAACAAAAATACGGTTTTTAACAGCATATTTTTTATTTACTTAAAAAAAAATTCCCTATAAAAGTTTTTTTTCGAGGGTTTTTTTAATATTAAATAAAAGGGCTTTAATGATATTTTGTCGAAAAACTCTTGAAAACATAAACTGAGATATAAGTGAAAGTATTTTTAACCAAAATTTTATAAAGGCGTTTTAGAGTTAGAATTTTTTTACTTATTATTCGTTAATTTTGACGAGCAGTGTATAAATGGTAAATGTTGAGTAAATAAAAATAACTTAGTGTTTATATTGATAAAATATATTTACGCATATGTTAAATACAAATTTATGATTTTATTTTATTAAGTAATATTTTATAACTTTTGATTTACATTTATTTATTTATAATTATGGCACAAACGGCGCCTCATATGACCCGCCCACATAACACACAAATATATTTAAAATTTTAAATGAATATTTTTGCTAAATAACCTAAATATTTTAGAAATATTAGTCATTATCATTAAAATGCTTCTAAAATGTTTTTACAACATTTTTATATTTATACAATATTTTTTCACAACATTTTTACCTTATATTTTAGTAATGTTTCCTCAACATCAAAAAAGTATTTGGAAATATTTTTAAAATATTTATAGTTCATTTAATATTTGTTTTAAAAATGTTGATAAAATGTTGCTTTTATTTTTATAAAAGCTGTGTCATACTTTTTGTGGACTGAATTTTCTTGGAGTGCAAAAAGTAGATGTATATACACACCATATATGGTATTCTCATATTATAAAGAAAATATATGCGAATAGATATGGGTAATTCTCCCATAATTTTAATATTTAGATCCAAATATTTTTAATTATAAAATTTGTCAGTTTTCCTAGTTGAAATTATTTTTTGACTGATAAGTTAAATGGCAAATCACAATTTTTTTTACATGTTTATCAAGTAAATATAGCACTAGTACTTTTCCTGACCATCCCTTACCTTATTTTTAAAAAAATGGCAAAAATCTTTTAAATAACTTAACAATATTTAGGAAATAATATTTCCATAAAATTTGCAAAATAAATGTTGAAAAATATTTACGTGATATTTAAATATTCCAGAAATGTTTACGCGTAAGTTATAAAAATATTTTTCCCTGAATGTTCGTACAACATTTTATCAACCTTTTATTTATAAATATTGTTGTCCAAACGGCCTGACAACATTTTTTAAACATCTCGTGTTATGTGGGCGGAAATGCAGAATGTTTGTAAATTACATTTTAGACCGAATTTTGCGGCGGCTTGGATGAACTTGGGCATAGTACTAACCAACCTAAACCAAATTGAAGAGGCTGAACATTGCTACAAAATGGCGATAATGCATAGAAACAAATACCCGGATTGTTACTACAACTTGGGCAACCTGGTACACACAATCCCCCTTACCAATAAACTAATTAACTGACATTATTTTTAGTACCTGGACATGAACAGGCACAAGGAAGCGTTAAAGTCCTGGGAGATGGCAGCACTATACAAACCGACGCATGTCGCGGCGTGGAGTAACACTCTGGTGCTTCTAGACTCCATGGAACGTTACGATGAAGTCCTCGAAATGGGGCGCACGGCCTTGATGTACAACCCGAAAGCGCCCACGTTGCACTTCAGCATTGCTAATACTCTGGGCAAAATAAAAGACTTTCCCAAAGCTGAGGGTCACTTTCTTGAAGCAATCAATTTCAGTCCGACCAACGCCTTATACCACTCTAACTTGGGTAATGTGTTTTTTAAATTTAATATAACATTGGTTCAATATACAACTATCTTTTTCAATCAAACAAAAAATTAAAATTTTTTCGATTAAAATTAGCGAATATTTTAGTCAAATATTCGTGCATTTTCTCACAAAAATTTGCTAAAAATTTAATAAAAATACAAATAGAGAATTTTAACGAAAAGGTGACAATTTTTTTAGTATTCGTTGCTATATTCAATTTCAGTCTAACCAATGCCTTATACCACTTTAACTTAGGTAATGTGTTTTTTAAATTTAATATAACATTTTATAGGTACAAAAACAATATTGTATGCAACAATATTGTTAAAAGGCTCTTTTTAATTAATCTGATTTTTTTAACTATTTGTTTTTTTACTATTTAAAAATTGTGGAATTAGCTTTTTATTATAGTTTTTGGTTAATCCATGCAGTCCCAACAATTTTTTGATTTACCTTAAAACTCTAAAAAATCTTTTTATTTATTTTATCACCCTTTTTTCATATCAGGGGTCTAATATTAGAAACAGCAAAGTCTATCACATTTATCAAAATGTTAGTGAAAATAGAAGCCCATTTGAAATGATTGAGCAAAAATATCATAATTTATATTATTGCCCACAATACTAAGTGCATCTATTTTTTTTTCAGGGAGTTTGCTGGGTTTGATTTAGGACCCCTAAAATGTTTTTTTTCAAACTTAGTACCATGGGCTTATTTTTTACGTTTTTGCCATTGGAAACTATCTTTTTCAATCAAACAATAAATTAAAATTTTTTCAAATAAAATTTGCGAATATTTTAGTTAAATATTCGTGCATTTATTTCACAAAAATTTGCTAATAATTTAATAAAAATATAAATAGAGAATTTTAAAAAGAGGTGACAATTTGTTTTAGTATTCATTGCTATATTCAATTTCAGTCCAACCAACGCCTTATACCACTTTAACTTAGGTAATGTGTTTTTAAAATTTAATATAATATAATATAATATAATAAAAACATGTTATAGGTACAATAACAATATTGTAAGAAACAATATTTTTAAAAGGCTCTTTTTAATTAATCTGATTTTTTTTCTATTTGGTTTTTTTATTATTTAAAAATTGTGGAATTAGCTTTTTATTTATTTTTTCACCGTTTCTTCATATCATGGGTCTAATATTAGAAACAGCAAACTCCAATATTTTTTATTAGCAAATTCCATCACATTTATCAAAATGTTTGTGAAAATAAGAATCCAGTTGTAATGATTGAGCTAAAATATCATACCTTATATTATTGCCCACAATACTAAGTGCATCTATTTTTTTCAGGGAAATACAAGAATTAAAAAATACGTCGTTTGCTGGGTTTAATTTTGGACTCCTGAAATGTTTTTTTTTCAAACTTGGGCTTGTTTTTTACGTTTTTGCCATCCATCGTGACAATTTTTTTTAGTATTTGTTGCTATATTTAATAAATGGGGTAATTAAATTTTTTCTGACCTATACTTTTTATGGTTTTATTCAAGGCGTTTTGTAATTTTAAACATTTCTGTGAAATCGGAATTTCAATTGAGTTTACCGTTTTCGAGATATTTACAAAAAAAATCTCCTAATTACGTCACTAGGCTATTGACAACGTTGCCAGCTTTTTCTATGGTTGCCAGTGTGTTTAGTTTAAGATTCTTACGATAGATGGCGCCACGTTATAATATTTTAGTTTTAAAACCACTTGATCTATAATTTTAGTTGAGAAGAAGAAGAAGAATTGATTTTTTGACGTTTCTTTTTTTCGGGTTATGTTTTTTTAAATTTAGATTATTGAAAATCAATGTTATTGTTATGTTATTTGTAATTGATATTAGATAAGTGATTTATTAATAACGGACTCCAAAGCAGAGGAATCTTGTGGAATGGTTGGTTACATTGAACATTGGAGCTTTTAAACAAATAAAGTAAGTACCTGTAATTATAATCATATTTTGTCGTAAATGCATTTCATTAGTATAATGCCTAGTTCTTTATATTCTTTTAGATATATCTTGGACTCTAAAATATCAAACAGTAATATGATACCTCGTAATAATGAAGATAGGTACTTAATGAATTTGGTGACCATCTGTTTCTCTACACAGAAGATATTTTTATTGTACTGGTTGTAAGTTTCGTTTGTATATTATAAAATAGAAGACAGTATTTTTATTTCGAAGGCATGGAATGAATTGTTTATTAGGTACCTATTTATTACATTTTATTAGGTTTCACACGGTGTTTCAATGTGTAAACCTATCAATAAAACTTTTAATTTCAGAATTTTCTTTAACCTCCTCTTCTTCTTCTTTCACTCAACTGACAGTGACAGTATTTGTACATAACCTCTTCGGGTATTTTCTGACATAACCGAATGAAATCATTAACAAGACAACTTGACAACAGGGTAATTTTCAACCAATAGAAATCTTAGAATGTTGGTCACATGGCGAGGTTTGTGACGTCATAAAAATTTATATTTTTTGTAAATATCTCGAAAACGGTAAACTCAATTGAAATTCTGATTTCACAGAAATGTTTAATATTACAAAACGCCTTGAATAAAACCATAAAAAGTATAGGTCAGAAAAAATTTAACTACCCCATTATGCAATAATATTAAATTTGCATTAAATTTGTATTACAATATTCAACAATTACACAATTTTTTTAGTATTTGTTGCTATATTTAATAAATTATGCAATAATATTACAATTTGCATTAAATTTATATTACAATATTCAACAATTACACAATTATGTTGATAATACGACTAAAATATTTAATTATGAAAAATGTTTTTTTTTCATGATTCACTTATGTTGACTGCGCCATTTAACAAATCTCTTTTAGGTGTTTTGTACCATCGTTGGGGCAAAATAGACAAAGCCCGCGACATGTACCGCAAAGCTATGCACCTGGACCCCACTTTGAGATCGCCGGAACTGAATTTGAGGAAGCTGTCCCAGGCCAAATAGCATAAAGGAAAGTGGTTCGACTACGAACCACTTAAATCCTGAAACGTTGCACCGTACTAAATAACTCTACTTTACGAGATTAAATCTGCCGCAATGGCGCACCTAAGAGATTTAAAAGAAATAACTCAATTACAAACTATGTAAAATTATTTACCAAAGAATTTTGTTTATACCATACACTTTTTGTGCACCATTTACTTTTTAATTCTCCAAACACTTTATTTATAAATATATCTTGAAAAGCTCAATTTTAAATTATAAAAGGTAAAATATTTCATTTTGCCATTTTATCCTTAAAAGTTATTATTATTTTCTTATTTTTACATGTTAAGTGTGAAATAATGTTCTCAAATAAGTAATATCATGATTAAAAAAATAATGCTAGTGCTTACTTGTCGAGGTTAATAAATTAGGTAGTTAAATTTTATTCAATGTATTGGATGTTGTTAAATTTGTGATTGGTGTTAAAATAAAATCTGGATGTATCTTCTAACTTGCGACTTTACTTTCTATAGAAAGCAGTAAACCAATCAGAGCGCACCTGTGCTGTGGAGAATGCGGCTCTTGGTTTATTCGCTTTCTATAGAGATCAAGTAAGTCGCAAACTTCAAGAATCATCCCCTTAAAAAAACATGTTAAACAATTCAAGTTAAATTAATTGAACTGCAATAAACGTATAAAATTAAAATTAATTTAGATATAAATTAAAGTTTTTTACAGAGTATATTTTCTGGCTAAAAATAATTCAAAAAATAATATTTGGTTTATTTGTTTTTTTATTAAAAAAAAAATATTTGTTCTAGATTATAAGTTTCTAAAACAGCTCACTGTAATATAAACATTCCATCTTTGTGTTATTAAGCAATAATTTTAGGAAATAATACTATAATTTTGTTATTTTACAAGCAAATATTAGGTATTAATTGTAATTATTTAATACATTATTCTTGTACTAGTAAAAAGACTTGAAGGCTCACTGTAAATAAAATCAATTCGTTTTTCTTATACAATTTTTTTAATGTGATTCTATTATACAAATATATTTATTGACATTTTATATGATCAATTTGTTTCATTTCCATATGTATTGACTAGACTAGATGTAATTTGCAATTTCACACAGAAATTATTAGACAATAATATTGAGATACATTTATCACTCTGCTAAGTAATTTAATGCCTAAACAGATAAACAATACTTAAACAACTTTTTACGTATTTGTATTACAAAAAAAATATTTATCACACATAAAGGACAGCATATAAAAAAAATATATTAGACAAGAAATTAATATCACAAGTATCGATGTGAAACAAACAATGTAATAATAGGCCAAATTTGTAAACAATCAGATCAATATACAGATCTTTTTAATTTTGAATGCTAAGATAAAATACACAGTGCCTAAAAGTTTAGAAAAACCTACATTTTAACAAACCAATACCAGCAACAAATACAAAATATAACTATAATCAGTGAATCAAGTGTATAAAAAATCATATTGCCAAAATATGCGTTTTAAATTTAAATAAACGTCGTGCCCTATACAAATTACAAAAAGCACATTGTAGGTATTACATTAATTTTTGGTTACCATTTAACTAATTTTGAGGTTATAGGCAAGATTTTTTGAGTCGTTTAAAATCAAAAGTGAACAAGTCACATTTTTGAAAAAAAAACCTAATATATGCGTCTCTCTTCTAAACATTGAATCTACCATTGCACTAGGATCCACATTATGACATAAGGAATGCAGTTAAATAATTTAGGTTATTTCTTAAGAAATAATTATTATTATTATTATATTATTACCATATTAGTAATAGTACCATGTTACTGTTAATTTTATTTCAATGTTTTTTCATAGATAACTTGACAGAATAAATTTTTGTAGTTATTATTATGCATTTTTCTACTTAAATTTTTCAATAAAATTTAGTAAAGGGTCGTTTTGAGGGGTGGTGAATCCAGTGCCGTGCTTAGATTTTGTTTAAAAAAATCTCTAATATGAATTCTTAAAAATTTAGGCTTAAAAACTGACATAATATATATAAAAACGACACATTTTTAAAAAATACAAGGCCTACTACATATTATGTAGTAAGCCTTGTATTTTTTAAAAATGTGTCGTTTTTGCTCCAAAAATACAGTTTATCAAGATCTACACTTTAAAACAAATCCGGTTAAAATCGCACAATAAATAGATTTTACAGGGGTGAGTCGCAAAACAAATGGGTCACAATGTATATACATAGGTGGCAGTTTAAGAAACTAAAATTTAAAAAAAAAAGTCATATTTTTCTGGCCTTATTATTTAATGCAGAAATTTTTCACCATTGCACAATTTGATAATTGAAAAATAGGAAAATCGGCCCACCCTAATATACATAATATTATATGTATTTTTTGTATATTTAGGTCATAATTTAAAACAAAAATTGTGACAGATATGTAACCTCAATTATTTGTATTCAAATGTCAAGGTGGGACGTTTGTGTGTAGAGCATAGCACCTACTTTAAAGATAGTTTCAAAATCGGACAAGAACAGGTTTTTGTTGCAAATGCAAGCAAAGTTAAGATTAATCTTAATTATGGTGTAGATATTCCATATTGTTACAAAATTTTTTGATAAATTAAACAGTTTTGATGAAAACTGTCAAAATGTACAAATAAATAACGTTGCCAAATTTCAACAAAATCGAGATATTTTAAAGAGCCTTTTTTTTATTTCCAGACTTACATTCATATGAACTTTTGTTATTATTTATGGGCGACTAATCTCTAGGCAAGAATTGGCGCAAGTACTACAATAAATTAACAATTCAACAATTATATTTTTTTCACTTGAAAAGTTTTGTCAGTTTTTTACAATTTTCTCGACACTACGTTTGTGTGACATGTCCGCTTTTGATTCTACACGACCATTTTTGGTCTATGTATCATGGTATAATTTTAATAAATACAGGTACAGTTTGTAAACAGTATATACTATAATACTTTTACAATTTAAAAATCATCTAAAAGCTTGTAATACAGATTTTAAATAATATTGAGTAGTATGATAAAATGTACATTCCATCAGACATTTTTCAGGGTTTTGACTTTTTAACAATTCGGCAACATGGTTTAACAAGTTTAAAAAGTGCGGTTTACTTCATAATCTCCCGCACATATTTCCTCAGTTTACCTTAGGCCCTAATTTCTCATGCATCTATTACATTAAAGCCTGATTTATAGAATGCCTTCCTTCCTCCCGTAAAAGATGAACAAGGCAAAAACCGTTGTGCTGTTTATAGATTTTCGTACGGGAATCTTTAAATGGCACTATTCACATATTCTACGCATGCGCATTAAGCCTTTGCTGTCAGATCTCACACTTGAATGCGTTAAGAGCTGTTTTTAATAAAATTTCGCTAAAAACGTTTTCTGAGTGTATTTTAACAATCATTTAAGAAGTTTTAGAAGGTGTTTTTTAACTCTTATATGCCCAAAAAAATGTCTCATGGAGTATTAAATTATTTATTTGTTGGTCAAGTCTTGCCAAAAGGCATACACACATACATACTACTCAATAAAATAATAAATCCGAAGAATTTTTATCACCCCTCATACATGTTCTAAACATAATTTAGTACCTTTACTATGTACATTAAACACTACGATACACTGGCGTATGCGCTGAGTATTTGTATTGTAGGCCTCAAGTTAACACCGAAACGGGCGGAGCTTGAGCTGCGCACTTCGAGACGTGTTAAGTGACGTCACATTACAAGGACGAAAAAAAAACAAAAAAAATAAATAAAAGTCGAGAACGAGGTCACCTTTCAGCTTTTACTCGTGCCCGGTTGGTTGTGAGGATCGTCATTCGGGTTTTCCGAGGTCGTTAGGGCCTCCAGTTTCGAAGGCAGGTCCGAACTTGTCACTTGGATTGTGTGTTGACTTAATATATCTACAAAAAAAAATCAGTTGATTTTGAAATGGCCTTTCAGCAATTTTTGCATTTACGAAAAGTCCTTTCTTTAATTAAAAACAAGCAATTATGACGTCTCACTATACGCTAAACAAGTATCGGGTTTTCGCAACGCGCGCGCCATCTGGTGGACTTCAATAGCATTGCGTGAATTAAGAATTGTCAACAATACATTTAAAGCATACGAACTGTACATCATTTTTAAATAAATAGGTCGTTTTTGCACAAGAGAGGAAGGAATTTTGTTCAATTGCACAGCTAAATCGCGCACGTTATTTTACGTTGCAAGGAAAAACCTAAAAAACTGGTTTAGTACTCGATTTCGATTGATTATTCTTTATATCATTGATTAAGAAACTCAACGGTTAAATGCTTATATAGTTACGTTAGTGTGTGTATTTTATCTAAGGGATCATGGTGAATTATTGTGTTTTTAATTGTAAATAAAATTCAAGAACTAAATCGTTGCATTTTCATGTTTTGCCACAGGATCCAATTCGGTAAGTACATTTGTTGGTGCAGAATTAACTAATGATAACTTTACCTAATATAATTTATATTTAAGTTTGGACATTTTTAAGAAATTAGTAAAAAATAATTTTTGCACAAACATAACCTTAAAATCAACCATTTTTATATTTGAGTTATCTAAAAAACTTAATTTTTAACAACAAAATATACCTACGAATTCATGGCAACATAATATTACATAAAATTCATAATATAATGGTATTTTACCGTTGAGTGGAGACATAAAGAATTCTTAATCAACGCTTTTAATAATGCTAAATGCTGTTTAAATTTAGACGACTTATTTGTTTGACGATTATTACTGAATTGAAATGTTTACACTTTTCACGTTAATCACTACTAAAATGTGTATTTATTGTATCTAATAGGTACAATTTATATTTACATAGACTGTATGCAATTTATTTCTTCATTCGGATTAACACTGTTTATTGAAAAACCGATAAAAACTCAACACAGGATTTCCTCTCAAAATATACCCAACAACACAACAAATCGTGCCACGGTTTTTTTTCGATATTTTTTTAACATTTTCCGGCTTTATTCTCAAAAACACTCGTTTGTAACACACGCGTTTGACAGCTGATTATCAAAAGTTCTACTTTTGTTACGATGATAACAGCCGAGTGGTGGCGCTACTAGCGATACTTCTTTAGCGTATACTATATTTATATAAACCAAAGATTAACTAACCTGGTAATGCATTTCTGCGGCCAGTTCTGCCTGTAGATAAAAATTCTTGAGCATGAGTTGTACTATCAGGAGTGGGGGGAGCATTTGCGGCTGAATTTCCTGATCCTGCACCCTGCGCTTCCATAACAGCAAGCATTTTTAAAACTGAAAAGTGATACACCAAAAAATCAAGACAATTTTTTTTAGTGGATAAATACTGTATGTCATCAGAGAACCTAAAAGTTTTTTTTAATCTTGTTTTATTTAATTTACAGAAAGTTTTTAAATTCATCTGCTTTTACCAATCTTAAAATTTAAATGGTCGGTTTGGTGTGTAATTTTTAGTGTGTAACAGCATTATTAAGTCTAAACTACTATCTATAATAATAAAAAAAGTAAATTACATTACATACCTACCTCCATAGAGAAAAAAATATATGTGGGAAAATATTTTTATTTTTAAGTTTATTGATAGAAGGAAAAGTAATTATATTTATAATTGATATAAACTTTGTTCTTAAAACCATCCAAGGATGCAATTATGAAACACCTTGTATAGTCTTATAATTTGACCCTATTAAACCAAAATACATTTTTCCCTTTTGAAACTCTATCCTGAGACAATTTATATGAAACAGTTTTGTTTATTTAATTATATTTAAATATATGACAAACAAAGCAAGATCAATATTATTTATGTATGCCAGAGCCAAACTGTATAAAGTCCATTTTTTTAATCATATTTTTTGGCTTACTTTTTTTTGGATTATTAAAAAACTAAGTAAGCTTACTTTAGAAAGAGCAGAAAAATGTGGGCAAAAATTGTGATTGTGATTTAAAAAAGTAGACTTAAGTAATACAGTTTGGCTATGGGGTACATATTCATAAATTTTTGCTTCTGTTAAAGTCACTGTACAAAAAGGTAAATACTGAACACCCCATGATTTTAGATATTATGGAATAAATATATATATATTTAAGAATTATTATCACCTTAATATTTTTTAATATAAATTGCTTTCTTAACATGCGATTACCTATAATAAAACATGCAAGTGCTCATTGTTAGTCAAAACCACCTAAAAGCCAATAAAAAAGTTGTAACAAACCACTTTGACAAATTAGATTGAAATGAATATTATACCATACAAAAGGAATTCAGGAATAGGATTCAATCATTATACTGGAACCAAATATTGACTTGTTGTTTTGTGCCTTATAACAAAATAACCTAGCATATAACAAATTTGGCTTGTTAAAAGGTAAAAAAGCTCATCTTTATTATTATTTCGAGCACATTTTGCATGCTTCCTACCTTTCTTGCTTGTTAATTTCTTTTTTCGTTTTCGTAAAACGTGACTATTTGAATCGGGAATGATCCCCTTTAAACCTTTTTGAGCCATGACAACAGTGAAAACCTACCATGAATACGCCGAAAATATGTATTCAATCAATTTTGCACTGGATCTTTAACTTTTTCACTTAATTTTCGATTTTTCATGTACAATTTTTTTTTCAGTGACAACCCAAACATGTCAACACAACCGCACCTCACTAGCGCCCTCTGTAAAAAAAACCTTGAGCAGTAAGTATGCTCCAATCAGTGTTGCCAATAGGAGGATAATTATCCGATTTGCGGATCCTATATATATATAGAGGCCTATTCCCTTTCGCTAAACATGCATGTTCATGAACTACATATGTTTCGTAACATATGAGCCTATTCCCTTTCAATTATTTCGTCTATAGACGCATGCGCTCGAAGAATTTCTTAAACATCCATGTTTATAAACATCATCGGTGTTAAAATGGCTATTCCGTTTCCAAAATTCGATGTTTGGTGAACATACATGATGTTTGAAAACGTATGTTTACGAACGCTTGCCTAAGAGGTGCTGTTATAGACAATATTTAAGGTTTTTTATCAATATTTAAGGTTTTTTATCTTGCATTAATCATAAATTGCGGCGATGTTTGGTACAGTATACAGTACAGTATCATTATCAAGCATAGTAATTATAAATTAATTACTTTTTCATAATTAATAGGTCCCTAATTAATTATAATTATAAATGATAAATAATTAAATAATCATATAAGGTTTTACACCAAACAAATAATAATATATTTTTTGGTAATTTTAAAAATATGTTTGATTTGTTTTTTAATTATTAAAATGTATTTCCTAATTATAATACCAGAATACAAATTTTGCTTTACTAATTTTTTTTATATAATTTTATTATAATAATAAATATTTATTTAGAGAAAAACAGAAAATTAAAAAAATCTGAGTGTGAAGAGAGAATTTGGGGGGAGGAATAAAAAATAACTTGGAAAAATATATTTTATTAAAAAAATACAACAAATATAAAATATCAAATACCTATGTAATATTATTACTCAAAAATATAGACAAAATATTAGTCAAAGAAAAGTATAACTAATAAAATACAAAAAAATATGCATCTAAAAACTATTTTTCTTCACATGGGAGCTAAAACTTTTTGGTTTAATTTTAAAATCTTTTAGGTTTTATCAATACCTTGTAAAACCTCTACACCTTCACTACTCGTCAGAGTTTGAGTTGGACTTTCTCTTTATGCGTCCCTGTTGTAGAAGGCACCCTTCCACTCGAACTTAAAGGATGGTCAATGAAGAGTTCCAACGATGGTATTACCTCCACCTTACCCTCCACCACTAACTTTCACAGCGCTTCCTCTATTAGGGCTAGTAATTTATCCTTAAAGTACTTAAGTTGTTTTACTGGCTCCCCGACATTGCCAGTCTCCATGTGAGAAATGCGTAGTTTTCTTGCCATTTTCAATACACTAAAAGTGTGTAAAAATAAGTAACAAATAATTATTTTAAGATATTTTATGATTACCTTTTTCCATATAAGGATGGACTTAATGGCCCCGCCAGAAGATCTGTGCTTTGGCTAGTTCAGCTAGCATAAAACGTTTTTACCAAGTAGGTATTTTTAGAATTTGTGGATTTTCCCAAATTGTTTTTAAGTTTATTTAATATATTAAATATCACCAATGATGTTTAAAACAATTATCTAACACAATTTTACTTTAGTCTGCGACTTTTAGGTTATAAAACTAAGAAACTCCCTGTCCTAAAAACATTTATCGCTGTTCAGAAAGATTCAAGGTCAAGACTCTCAACATATGAGAAACGGAATACCCCTAAACATAGGTAATGTTTGGCTTGTCGTTGGGTGAACATACATGTTAAGAAATCGATGTTTACGAACAGCAAGAAAGGGAATAGGCCTCATAATTTAGGACAAAATTACAATATATGTATTGTAATTGTAATATAATTAAAAAATTAATGTCAGAAATAGCAAGTTTATAGGTAGTAATTGGTATTAAAGATATTTTGAAAGCTGTATTAAAATTTTTGTATATTGTAGCGTATGGCAACAGTGGAGGTAGTACACTGATTGATGTAATCAAATAACTTTAAAAAAATACTAAAAATCTAATTTAAATTAGTAGGTAATATAAATATTAAAGAGCTAATGTCATGGGACGTCATTTTTTCGACGAGGACAATTTACAAAATGAGCAACTACATATGTGTTCACATTACAATTTCTCGAGGGTACGAAAACAGACAACAATTTTTACATTTTAATTTGTGATTTCAATGCCTACAAAACTTTTTTTCAAAGCCTTACATCTTATAATAAATAAATTTTGCTTTGCAGATTTTATAAAGCAAATTGTTTTCGCCAAATATTTCCAGTATATTCTGGAACCAACGCCTTCCTAGAACATTTACACTATTACAGTTGGCAACACTAAAATTTATACCTAGCTTTCGTTAAAATCAGATGGTTAAAATGTCGGATGTTAGTTTTTAATGCTGTTTATTGTTGTGAATTTGTGATTAAATTTATTAAATTATCGTGTGAATATAATAATTAAATTGGATTGAAAAGGGTTTTATAATCTAGTGGATTTCTACGTGATATAATACAAAATAGGACATGGGAAAGAAAAAAGGTTTGATTATGCTATGTATTAAAATATTTAAGTAATTAGGAATTTAAGTAACTTTTGTATTTGCATTTTTGTTTTATTGTAGACCTTTGAAATATTGCATCAAATAGTGTATTAGGGGATTCAAACAGGGCTATTTTTAGAACATTGATTTCATAGATAAGCTTGTGTAAATCCCCTAAATATGATATGAATTCTAGAATGTTCATGACACTTTCTTTTTTAAATTGTATGGCATACATTAGACATACGCATTCTTAACCAAATAAAAAAACCTTGTGATATTTGCAGTATGCAGTATGCAGTACTTAACCTATAAAAAGAAAAAAATATTTTTAATCTCAGTAAAATGTATTCTTTATGATTTTTCTTAAGCACATTGGAATATTTGTGACAAATTTCCGAATATGTGGACAAATATTCATACAGAAGTGAGAAATATTTATATTTGCAATAAATACAAATATGTATGTATGTGCCACTTGAAGTCAGTAAATGATCTTAAACCAAAGGCACCAAATACTCGGAGCATTTGGCCAATATGTGGACAGTTCAATTTGTCAACAAAAAAACAATTCAAAATATTCAGGCCTAAACATGTACAAAATTTTTATGTATTTAATATGTATTTGCCAAATATCCAATTGTGTGGGGCCAGATTAACTTGAAACATTTCTCAAGGAATTTGTGGTTAAATATTTTTTTGGTGACTGTGGGACACCCTGTATAGTTATGCAAAACTGTCTGAAAGACACCCAGTATTGTTATGCAAGTACCAATTTTGTTTTTATGCCATTGTTTATAATAAAATTGTATTAAAAAAATATTATTAAAAAACAACAAGTATGTAATTTTATTATGTAAATTCAAATTGTTTGTTACTATCCATCAGATGTGTTATGGTAATATTTTTATTATTTTTAGTTGCATTTTATTATCTACTAAGTATTTACTATTTATTTTATGTTTATAAAATTTCTATTTTTGAATATGTTAACATTAGAACTTGGAAATCAAAAGTAGGTGATTGGTTTCTTGTATAAACAACATTAAAGACTTTAATTTAAAATCCCCAAAAATTTTGTCAAATCACTTTTTATTAATATTATTATTATTGCAGAATCCTGCAGATTCAGATGTAAACAATTTTTTTTTAAATTGCATTTTTCTTTATAACTTAATGTTTTAGACGCAAATTTTGTAAACAAAAATTGTGGGGGCATTGTTTTTGACAATTTATGGCGCTAAAAGTATTTTCTCTTATCTAAGAAGTTTTTCCATTTTGTTATAACCACCCATATAACATGAGATATTTTGCCTTTTAAATGTATGAGGTAATTAAGAAAACACTGTCTAATTTTTAGTGGTGTTACAACTATTAGCTACTTGTATAACAAAAGCATGTGTAAAAACTTCTTTGTTTTCATATAAACAAAAAAGTTAAAACCAAAATGCTTTTTTGTCATAAAAAAATCTTGTCTCGACTATAGGAATATCTAAACCATACAAAAACTGTGATCCATATGCTGTGATCTTACCATAAAATGTAATACCTATTATTTTTGCTTATACCTCTTAAATTGTTGGTATTGGTAACATACATAGTTACCATTGGTCACTTAAGTTAATATCAATAAATTTAAATCATATTTGACAACAGATAAAATACCCAAAATAATGTTTTGTTAATATCAGGGTCTTATATAAGACCATGATTAATATTATTGATATAACATGTACCGCAGTAAGTCAAAAACAATAAATTGTGAAGTATAATTCACCGAAATTTAAAATTTTAAAATCCTTATAAATTAAAAACCACCCTACATTTTCGTATTTAATCATTGTAATAGTTTTGCCAACGACTATAATTTTTTAGGAAAAGGAAATAAAGGGGGGGATGGAGATGCCTCCAAAGGGCCTCAGCATCCACCTCAGCAGCAACCCCAACAACCAGCTCCTCAGAGAGGGGCTGGCGACTCGCAAGCTCAAAAAGGCCCTGGGCCTTCTGGAGGTAATAACATTTAAAGTTGAGAAAACTAAAGTTTAATTAATAAATTTATTTAAAAGTCCAACAACAGCAACAGTTTGCTGGAAAACAGCAATCAGGCTCTCAACAACCTCAAAGTCAGGGCCAACAACCCCAAAAGTCGGCTTGGGGTCAAAAAGGTCAACAACAACCTCAAACTGGCCCGCCTCCGGGGTTACAAGCCCAAGGACAGGGCCAACAACCTCAACAGCCGCCTTGGGGTCAAAGAGGTCAACCACAACCTCAAACTGGCCCACCTCCAGGATTGCAAGCCCAAGGACAGGGGCAACAACCCCAGCAGTCAGCTTGGGGTCAAAGAGGTCAACAACAACAACCTCAAACTGGCCCACCTCCGGGATGGCAAGCCCAACAACAGCAACCCCAAGGTCAAGGTCGAGGCCAAAAAGGTCCACAAGGCATGGGTAGGGGACAGCAGCCTTCTGGAGGTAATAACTTGTTTTTTAAAACCAAACTTTATTTAAGTATGGCTGAATTTTAAGCTCAACAACCTCAAGGACAGGGCCAACAACCCCAAAAGTCAGCTTGGGGGCAAAGAGGACAACAACAACCTCAAACTGGCCCACCTCCGGGTATGCAAGCCCAACAAGGTGCAGGTGGCCTTCCTCCAGGCTTTCAGCAACCGCAAGGTCAAGGTCGAGGTCAAAAAGGTCCACAAGGCATGGGTAGGGGGCAGGGCAGGGCTGAGACTACCCCTACTCCCCCTGGCTCATATCATTCAACCAGTCCTAAACCAGATAGTCCGGTTTCACCCCAAGGTATTTCAATCTTATAAAAATTTGTTTTATCGTTTTAAAAATAGTTTTTAACGCGATTCTATTCATAAAATCATTTTTGCATTTTAAAAATGCACAAAATTTTAGATAGATGTAAATAAACTCCTGGACAAAATTAACGCAACATCAAAAAATTTGCCACATTTTTTATGCTATTTTTTTGTTGAATTTATGATCCGATTTGAATGATTTTTTTTTTGCATTGTAGGTTGGTTCCTTGACAATGTCATAATTTTCGCTGTTTATGATAAAAAGTTAATTTTCGATTTATACCGGGTGTAATAAAAATGTAATGTTTTTTTCCGAAAATTCGTATCACCCTGTGGAGTATACTAGCAACCGAAACATATAGCAGTTGACATTAGACGGTAGGTTCATCTTTCGCCAACATTTTCTTTTTTGGTTTACTTCATTATCTCTGTTATTAAAGGAGATACGCCGTTTTATACCGTAACATGTTTTTATAGACTTTATTATTCAAAACAATCATTGTTAAATGTTTTCAAGTAGGCTATGGACCTTTTCTGACATTTCAAGAGATGTTTAGATTATTTGTTATCTGCATAATTGTATAATTTCTGCTTGCTTTGATAAATGCATAATCCTGCATAAATAAACTATTAGGTCCCAAAAAAGGAACAAATGGCATTACCTGTTTTCTAGATAATAATCGGCGTTCATTGATCTTACACGTATAGGGACTAACTCTGTGCGTCCGTTGAAGCATATTCCTCCCCAAATCATTACTGAGCCTTCACCAAACGGGATTTTAGGAGAGATATTGCCACTTGCAAATCTCTCTCCTGACCTTCCCCAAACACGTTCACACCATCAGGAGCATTGAGACTAACTCTCGTTTCATCAGAAAATAAAACATTCTTCCAATCATTAACAGTCCAATGATGATAATTTCGGGCAAAACGCAATCTTGTATTATGGCGAGCAGTTCTAAGCTCACTTTTTAGCCTTGTACTAGTAATCTTCCTGTTTCTAGAGCAGTTTGCCTAATAAAACGCTCATCTCCTGGATCGGTACATCGTTTTCGCCCTTGTCCTGACCTTGAAGAGTAAGATCCTGTCTCGTTAAATCGTTTAACCATACGACTTATAGTCGAACGATGTCTTCCTATCACATTAGCAACATGACACTGAATAGCCCTCATTCACCAAAGTTAAGTCTCTCTGCTTCTTCTGTCGAAAAATTTTTTGGACGATTCATTTTTCAAGATTAAAATACGAAACGAACATTTAATAAGCAGTTTTCGAATAGTTGTTATAAGTATGGCGAATTTTCCATAGCCTACTTGAAAACATTTAACAATTAATGTTTTCAATAATAAAGTCTATAAAAACATGTTACGCTATAAAACAGCGTATCTCCTTTAATAACAGAGATAATGAAGTAAACCAAAAAAGAATATGTTGGCGAAATATGGACCTACCGTCTAATGTTAACTGCTATAGGTTTCGGTTGCTAGTATACTCCACAGGGTGATACGAATTTTCGGAAAAAAACAGTACATTTTTATTACACCCGGTATAAATCCAAAATGAACTTTTTATCATAAACACCCAAAATTATGACATTGTCAAGGAACCAACCTACAATGCAAAACAAAAATCATTCAAATCGGATCATAAATTCAACAAAAAAATAGCATAAAAAATGTGGCAAATTTTTTGATGTTGCGTTAATTTTGTCCAGGAGTTTATTAATTAAACTACTTTTTGGGCACTACTGAAGATTTATTACTTCTTAATTTACAAGTTTTATTTAACATCTTAACTGCTCTTATTTGACTGCTCATTAATAATTAATTTTTTTTAAATTTTGGTTTTTAAATGTATATTTCAGAAAAATAAAGAAAAAATTATTCTGACCGATATTCAACGTTTTTTTTTTAATTTTCGAAAATTTCTTGATTGTCATTTTTGTTTTTTATTAAAACCTTTCGTTTGTATTTTTTTTCAATTGAAAATTGTTTTTTTTTTTAATTAGCTTATTTCTCATAATACCACTATTGGGATTTTTGAGGAAGTAGAGGTACCTTAAAGTTTAAAAAAATAGTTAAAAAAAAATACAAAAATTATTCAGAACTTTGTAATATTTTTTTTCTTACTTTTTCAAAAAACATTTTTTTTTGATTTTCGGAATAAAAAAAATTCTAGATTGTCATCTTTATTTTTTTTTATTAGAAACTGACAATTTCTGCAAATTCTCTGAAATTTTAAGAGGAGCGTTTTTTCGATATTTATTAGTTTTAATAAAAAAATTGTTTTTTCTCATAATACCACTTTTGGGATTTTGGAGGAACCTCAAAGTTAAAAAAATGTAATTTTCAAAAAATATATATAAAACAATTATTCAGAACTTAAAACTTTTTCGAAAAACATTTTTATTTAATTTTCGGAATAAAACGAAAATTTCTAGATTGTTTTTTCGTTTTTTATTTTTTTTTCAACTCAGCTTATACTTAAGTTAAAAATGTAGTTAAGTTTTAAAAAAATGTTTATTTAATTGAAAAAGGAAAGGAGAAATCGCCACTCTGAAAATTTGAGAGAATTTGCAAAAAACGTTAGTTTCTAATAAAAAAAAGGAATAAATTTTCGATTTTTTCCGAAAATTATAAAAAAACTTTAAGATCGGTCTGAATTCTATATTGTTCTAAAAAGTACATTAAAATAAAAAATATTGAAACAAAACGTCAATTTTTGAAAAAGTTATAGATATTTGAAAAGTAAAGGGCCATTTTTTTGTAATTAATACCTTTTTTGGTTTGATCAAAATTTAAAAAAAAAATTGGAAAATGTTTTTGATATGGTAGAAAAGGATAAAAAAGTTTCAGCCAAATGCAAAAAGAAAAACCAACACAGACTTCGTTTCTTTTAAAATTTGTGTATAATGGTATTTTTAAGTTAAATGGCAATGACATCTTCAACAGTGGTTGCCACTTTTACCGAGGTTTTTAGTAGGGTTGCTTGGCTTTATTTTTTTGTATTAAAATTTAGGACTTACTTTTGACTTCTTTGGCCAAGGTCTCAGCTGTTCAAGGGCAGCAACTGTAGTACTTCAACCCCTTTTCTTTATCATTTGGTATCACCTTTTAAACAGTTTAAAGGCATCTTCTTAGTTTAAAATTAAAATTGTCTTTAATTTTAGCTAAACAGTCACTTTGATTGGGTTCTTGCCTCTTCATTTTGTATCGTTATTTTCAACTCAAATCCCATTTTGATAAACTCACTATTTGTCTTTTTTTATCACTAATTAATTTAATTAATGGACATGAAAATCACTATCCCACTTCTGATGTAAACAGTAAGAGATTTTTCCCTTTCCTACTGGTCAAGCACTCGCAAAGTTTGATTTACTTTTACAAGTTTTAACGTCTTAACTATTGATACAACTCTTACGACTGCCCGTTAATATTTAACGTAATGCTTTGTCCAGACCATATACAAAAAAGGGGAATACCCTACCACATTACCTATGTTATCTGTTTTCTTATTATATTTAATATTGTTGTTTTTGTTTGAGTTTTCTCGCTGTTATTTTAAATAAATATTTTTATTTATCTTACATTAAAAAAACATTATTATATCGTAAATGGATAACGCTTATCGAAAAGGAACCAAGCGCCAAAACCTTTTTCTGGGCTTGGTAAAATTATTTGTAAAATAACTCATATTTAATTATGCTTAAAAGGTTAATCATCATTTGGAACTTTTCTCAAAATGATTATTAATCATTATTAATTTTTTAAGCAGCATTAAAAATGAGTTATTTTGCAAATAATTTTGTTTACCCCAGAACAAGTTTTTGGCGCTTTGTTCTTTTTCTATAAACGCTATCCGTGTATTTCTTTAACATTTATGATAATTGTTGAGGCATTGTTACGTCAAAAAATAATCCAATGAATACCACACAAGAGATTGATTCCAGATCTTTTCTCAAACCTGTTACCTTTTGGTAATAGCCCTTCAGGCTGTCGTGTCTATTTCCTGACAACAGGCTTTCGAAAATCTTTCGAATTATTTTCAATTTACTCTCATTGTCATGATATTACTACTGATTTTTTTTATTTAATACTGAATAAGAAACTTAAAAAATCCACAATAAATGATTATAAAATCTATTTCTAGATTTACTTTGGAATGGCTATTGTACAGTTTACAGTAAAAAAATTTAGCATGTTATGGAACATACCCTACTCCTTTTTGACGTACAAAAATTATGAAATATTTTCAAAATGGCGTACTGTTAATATTTAATGAAATATATTTTTTCACCTCTTCACCAAATACAAACCTATTCATTACTTTATTTGACAGCTAATTTTGATGTTTAAAAGTTTGGCTATATTTTTTATTGAAGCCACAGCACTTCTCTGCCAGTTGTTTCAGTAAAATCATGTTTGCTGCATATTAGTACTGGCAGTAAATTACGGAACATAACCTGAATTATTGGTGACCTTTGATTATAAAAATAGCAATATAAATATAATGCGGCATTATTCTCACATATTTTGGAAAAACTAGTGGAAAGAACTTATCTCATGAGACGTTTTCTCACACTCGTTCATTACAAATTTTTTCTCGTGCGTCAATTTTATTTGACATTTTGTCAAGCAGTTTAACCTCACTTTTTACCAACCTGCATCTGTCGGACGGATTTAACCTCACTTTTTAATAAATTATACTTTTATCAGGACCTCCACCTGGTAAAAGTCAACAAGCGCAAAAACAAGGTCAGCAGCAGCAGCAGCAACAACAACAAAAGAAAAAACAGGGGGGTCAGGGTGCCCCATCCAAACCACTTGCTGCTGGAGCAGGAGACAAAAAAGCATTGGAAGCTGAGCTTAATAAACAATTTCAGGATATGAAATTAAAGCCACAGGAAAAGCAAATTAAGCCAGGTAATGGGTTGATAAACCTTAAAATGATGGTTTTAAATCGGTTAATGACCACCATTGCCAAATTTATATTTAAGGTACCCGCGGGCGACCTATTCCTCTGGAGTCCAATCACTTGACGCTTAGCATCGGAAAATTGGCTTCCGCATTTCACTATGACGTCGATATAAATCCTGATTTGCCGAAAAAGGCTTTGCCCCTCATTTTGGAGGCGTTTCGCAAACAACATTTCCCTCAGGTGTATGTCGGTTTCGATGGCCGAAAAAATCTCTATTCGGCCAAAATGCTGCCATTTGGACAAGCTATCCAAGGAGAGGTCAAACTTAAGATGGAGAGAGGAGATAAGGAGTACAAGGTAATATTAAAAAATCACTTTATAATAAATATTTGGGGATACAATTTTCATTAAAACTTTTAAAACAATAATAATGATCAATATGCAATAAACAATCATTTTTTTTATTATTTATTTATTAACCTTAAAAGAATACAAGATTCCATGTTTGGTTCCAGGTATTAAAGAATATTTAGTTATTTAAATTGCTTTTTTTGTTTGATCTTGGTAAAAGTTTTTTTTTTACATTTTGGTTAGTATTTTTTGGGTTTTGCTTGAAAACTTAAAAAGCGTTTTAATATAATAAATAAAATAATTTTTTATTTATTATAAAACATTTTGGACCAAATTCTTGAAAAATTGGTTCTAGAAAGTGCTCAACAAATTTGAGCTCTATAAAACAAACCATATTTCATTATTAATCAATCGTTTAATCAAATCTTCATACATATTTGAAGGAAATTAAATGCTCTACAAAAAAGGACTGATGTGTTTAAGCGATTACTCTAACCATTTAATAGTATATTAAAGAACTAATGTCATAAGACGTAATTTTGTCGCACGCGGACGAGTTTTGTAATGGACGAGTGCGACAAAAGGTCTTATGACGAGTTCTTTATGCTATTTTATCTATTTTGCAAAAATTCTATAAAAAAAATAATTTTATACCTTAAATTTAATTTGGTCGAATTTTACTTTAGATACTTGGTATCACAATCATTGGTTTGACAGTTAATGTCAAAATCGATTCGCCATGCCGTCCTTAGTTTACTTATTTACAATAAGCGGCTGTTAATGTTAAGAAGTTAAAAAGGATTTTCTTTGGTGTTAAACAAAATTTATTGCCAGAAAAGTCTTGTAATAAAAAAATCATAAAAATATTATAACCAGTATGCAAAATATTATGCTGTTTAAAGTATAGCCAACCTATAAAATCAAAATTTTGGGTGGGATAAAGTACCTCATTACAGCACTGAAAACGGTGATATAATGAAGTCATTATGAAAGCAAAATAGATAAAAGATATTTAAGATCTAAGTTTGAAGAATTTAATAATTTTGTAATTTATTGAAAAATAATTGTTGTCAAATGATTATGACATATATTTGTTTTCTGCTCTTCTCTTTAGACTTTCACTGCATTCAACATACTGTATGTTTCTTGTTGCTTAATTTTTGGTTCCCATAAATTTTTTTTTTTGTAGTTTCACAGAACATAATAATTCTTTTCACAGCTCATTTTTATATTTTAAATATCATTGCATATAGAAATGTCACTGCCACTGTCATGGTTAGAGTAATCAATTAAACACATCCTGCCTTTTTTGTAGAGCGTTCAATTGTCTACAAATATGTGTGAAAATTTGATTAAACGATTGATTAATAATAAAATATATTTTTAAGTAGAATTTAGCTTTCGCGTTGATCTGACGTCACAGATCAAGTTTAGCGTAAAATGTAAAAACCGAGCAAACTTTGATCCATCAGCTTTTCAGTTGCCCTTGATCGTTTATTTTCTGCAGGTGGCAATTAAATTGGCCAGGGAAGTGGACCTGAGTCCCCTTCATAATCTCAAATTGACCGTGCAAAATCCAATGGATGCGCTAACTGTTGTCGATATCGTTTTGAAATCTGCGCCGTCGAGGGCTTGCATAAACGTCGGAAGAAGTTTCTTCCACAAGCCAGCACAAATTATTGATTTGGGTAAGCACTGCATCCTATTTCTTTGCCAAATTGCCAATTTTACTGGTGCTTGGCAACTTCAGGGCTCCCACACCTCCTAAAACTCATAAAATTCCTAAAATTTTGCTTAAATCTTGAAAACTAAAATTCTCCTAAAATTGCATTCAATCTCCTAAAGCTCCTAAAAATTAAATTTAAATAGGCCAACCTGACTTCGTTTAATTAAGGTAGTGCTAAAAAAATTATTTTTAAAAAAGTAATTTAAAAATATATATTTTTAGGTTCTATTTTATTAAATTCTTTTTAAAATGATATAATATCACAACCAAAATTTTTCTTAAAAAACAACAAAAAAACTTCTACAAAATTGTTATTTTTAGCGATTTTTCGTTTTTTTAATCAAAAATATACCGTGTTATATATCAAACAAAAGGATTTTTAATTTTCTTTTAAATGACAGCTAAAATAGTAAACAATCTAAAGAATCTTTTTACTGTATTTTACAAACTTCATATTTTCTTAGATTTTTAAGTATTAAGATCCACATTACAATTTTTAGTCAAAAATATACCGTTTTATATGTCAAACAAAAGGATTTTTAATTTTCTTTTAAATGACAGCTAAAATAGTAAACAATCTAAAGAATCTTACTGTATTTTGCAAACTTGAATTGAATCGGTGAGAATAAGAACAGTATACTGTAAGTCCAAAAATTTAATTTTGACAATTTATTCTAAAATCTATTTTAAAGTTTAAAATACAAATTTAATTTAGACAATTTATTCTAAAATCTATTTTAAAGTTTAAAATACATTTTTGTGAGAAGAGGTACAAATTATTTTACAGAATATGAATATTATATTTCATAAAATAGTTAAAATATTCCTACAAAAATGCATTTAGAACTATAAAACTGATTTTTTGAAATATTTTATCAAAAATTTAACTTTTTAACTTGTACTATTCTTAATCTTATTGATTCAATTACTGTTAGCTATTAACTAAACAGTTAACATATTTGTTCTTTAAATATAAATATAACATTATTTGATTTTGGCCTAGTTTTTTAGCCAAATCTATTGGTGCATTTTTTTAAATAAAATTAAAAGTGTGGTTGTATATATATGTACCTCAGATATATACAAAAGTTTTAATTTTACCTCACTTTTAATTTTATTTAAAAAAAAACTCGTCGATATAACTTATTTTTATAAAAGAAGTACCTATTTTTTCTTATTTTTTAAGTAGTAAAGAGTTGTTTTTATTTAATTAAAGAAAATCATTTCCATACTTTATTTATCCTAAAATTTTACAAAAAACTTCCTAAATTCCTAAATAAAATTTGTAATTTAGCCGTGGGAGCCCTGCAACTTGGAACACAAAACTTTTTGGTGGCAATGTTCAGATTTTTGTAATCAATTTCTTTAGGTGACGGTATGGAAATGTACAATGGCTATTACCAATCAGCTATTAGAGGTTGGAAGTTGCTTTTGAACGTTGACGTTGCACACAAAGCTTTTCCTAAAGCAATAAACGTCATCGATCTAATTTGTGAACTTGGCAGTACTTGGAGGGATAAGTTGGAGAGAAAATCGTTGTCTCAGCCCCTGCGCCGAGATTTATTGGAAACATTAAGGGTAACTTATTGAATAAAAAAGTACTTGCAATTAGGGTTGGGAAAATTTCACTTTTTGCTTGTACTTGAAATTTCTCTTGAAATTTTCATGACATTTATGAAATTTATTAAAATTTCCTAAATTTCTGAAATTTTATGAAATTTATTGAAACTTTCAATAAATTTCAATCACTTTAAGTGTAATATATATAATATAATATTGAAATAAGCCCACTCGGGACCATGGCAAATTGCCTCTCTTACCTTCTACCCCTCTGTGGGCCCCTGCACCAATAATATAAATAGTAAATACCTATGTTTACCACAAATTTCTTGAGATTTCCTTTTAAAATATTTTTAAAATTACTAAAACTAAAAGAGATATATCACTTTTTGGTAAGCTAATGAGATTGTGCCACTTTCATTGTTTTATATTTATATATATAAAATATATAAATATATATTTATTATTTTTAAATATTTTACTGAAATTTTACGAAAATTGAAGAAACTTCATCAAAATTTTTATAGCAAAAGTAAAAGTTTAAATTAATCATGACAGGAAAAAATTTAAAGTCTGGTTTAATTTACAAATTAAATGCGTAACTGAATTAAATTATTTAAATTAATTTATGCATATAAGTAACAATTATTACTTATAGTGTATTCAAATCCAAGCCGAACTAAACGAAAACGCCCAGACGCTTGATAACTCGTTCTTATTGGTCGATTCGGAATCTGTTGTAAATTATTATTAAAGGTCCCAGGGGAGGCCGCATGTGAAATTTATGCGAAATTTTCAGTAAATTGCGAATCTTTCAACGAAACTTCTGAAAGTTTCACAGGCAATGTTGAAATTTTCGGATTGAAAATTTCACTTGAAATTTTTAAAAATTTCACTTTTCCAACAATGAAATATTTCAAGTTTGAAACTTTCAAAGTTGAAATTTTCATTTGAAAATTTCAACTGTCCCAACCCTACTTGCAATGCAATATTTTTGTTTAGAAATACATCAGCAAACTCAAAATAGTTTACGAGATCAAGAACCAGCCTGGCACGCGAAGAACATACGGGGTCAACGGTCTGGGAGACCCGCCCAACGTGGCCACTTTCAAGTCAGACACGGGCCAGGTGATGACGGTGATGGACTACTTCAAAAACGAGAAGCGGACCCATCTGCAGTACCCGAACATGCCCACCCTCTGGGTGGGCCCGACCACGAGGAAAATCTTGCTGCCCGTGGAAATGTGCACCGTGCAAGAAGGCCAGGCGATCAAAAGGAAAATGAACGAGAACCAAACTTCGAACATGATCAAGGTGGCCGCGACCAACACGGCCATGAGAAAGCAAAAGATCATGGATGGAGTCAAGTAAGTGGCCAAAATTCATTTAAAAAAAAAAGTAATAAAGATATCGTTATGAAATTTTAACACCATATATTAGGGGCCTAAATCTTGATCCGTTACAAATTTTAAGTCAATTAGTTCAGTAGCGGCGATTTTATAAGGGTTTAAATACGTAATTGAAATGTTAACACAAATTAAAAATTTAGTTATTTTAAATTCTGTTAAAAATATCATTTTAAAATTTTTAGACTAGTTTCATATATGAATAGTCTTGATCCTGTACAAATTTTAATTTATTGAATCAGTAGCGGCGATTTTATAAGGGTTAAAATGTTGTATTTGTTAAAACAAGATAAAAATGTAATTAATTAATTAATATAACTAAACTGTTTTTTTGAGTTTCACGATTTTATTTTAATTTTATTTTGACACAGACGTTATTGCGCGCGGTTTATCGTGTTATCTGCAAAAACATTTGGAAAATCATGTACGTGAGTGAGTATCGCCGCGCGCAATGATAGAACGGGAAGGGATTTCAGACGTGCTTTCCTCTGGAGTGTGGAGTGTCCACACGCCACATTTCGCGTCACGGTTTACCTTTGCTTGGCAAAATTTCACGTTGAAAATTTGTACATGATCACATGCAGTTTCAAACGACTCGATAAATGTCACTTTTTGCCCACTCGCATACGATTTTTCCTTTGAAACTGATATACCACGGGCAATCACTTGCTAAATCATTTGAATACTTTATCAAGTGTATGGAACATGACGCTTTTTTTGCCATGCCGTTCTTTCGTGCATACTAACCGCTACATCCCAACACGCCACGATAAACCGCGCGAAATAACGCCTGTGTATGGCCAGCTAATTGTTTCGCTAACACTAGCTTCTTCAGAAATGATGATAAACTTGATGTAATCTACAATAATCTTCAATAAATACACATTTTTATAATGATTAACATGAAAAGTGTAAACATTTCAATTCAGTAAAAATCGTCAAACAATAAGTCGTCTAAATTCAAACAGCATTTAGCATTATTAAAAGCGTTGATTAATAATTTTTTAAAGTCTCCACTCAACGGTAAAATACCATTATATTATGTATTATACGAGCCCTAACCACATAATGTTCGGACACTTCATAATTTATACAGAAATTTTTTTCGTGAATACTATCTCAAAATTATTAGAAGTTATGAAAAATTCAGCTTATTTTGGCATATACCCCTCGAAGCGATTTTTATTTTTAAAAAGTTTACCTTTTATTTTTAGCTTTTAAAAAAAGGCTAACTTTTTAACTTTTTTTGTATGAGTAAAAAAAGTTATAAATGGACCCATTAAAAAGAGAATAAAATATTATACAAACCCTGAAAATTTGGTAAAAAATAAATAAGTTATAAAAAAGTATAAGTAATTTAAAAATGCTATTTTTAAAGAGTTTTTGCAATTTTCTTAGGAAACGGGAGATTTTGCAGATATATATATCGCTATAACTTTCTTATTATTTATACAATTTTTACCAAATTTTCAGGGTTTGTATAATATTTTATGTTCTTTTTAATGGGCCCATTTATAACTTTTTTTACTCATACAAAAAAAAGTTAAAAAGTTAGCCTTTTTTTAAAAGCTAAAAATAAAAGGTAAACTTTTTAAAAATAAAAATCGCTTCGAGGGGTATATGCCAAAATAAGCTGAATTTTTCATAATTTTGAGATAGTATTCACGAAAAAAATTTCTGTATAAATTATGAAGTGTCCGAACATTATGTGGTTAGGGCTCGTATATAATATTATGTTGCCATGAATTCGTAGGTATATTTTGTTGTTTAAAATGCAGTTGTCGGCGTTTTTTAGAGAACTCTAATATAAAAACGGTTGATTTTAAGGTTATGTTTGTGCAAAAATTATTTTTTACTAATTTCTTTAAAATGTCCAAACTTAAATATAAATTATATTAGGTAAAGTAATCATTAGTTTATTCTGCACCAACAACTTACCAATTGGATCCTTTGGCAAAAAATGAAAATGCAACGATTTAGTTCTTGAATTTATTTACAATTAAAAACACAATAATTCACCATGATCCCTTAGGTAAAATACACAAACCAACGTAACTATATAAGCATTTAAGCGTTGAGTTTCTTAATCAATGATATAAAGAGTAATCAATCAAAATCGAGTACTAAAAAAGTTTTTTAATTTTTTCCTTGCAACGTAAAACACAAATAACGTCCGCGATTTAGCTGTGCAATTGAACAAAATTTGTCGAGTAAGACTCTCTCTTTTGTGAAAAAACGACCTATTTATTTAAAAATGATGTACAGCTCGTACGCTTTAAATGTATTGTTGGCAATTCTTAAATTCACTCAATGCATTCGAAGTCCACCAGATGGCTCGCGCGTTGCGAAAACCCGATACTTCTTTAGCGTATATTTTTAACTATAAAATTTTAAATAGACGTCTTGGCCTTAATTTAAAAAAAATATATTGAAAAATCTCTTTTAGTTTTAAAATTACAGCCATTTAAACTTGAATAATGTTAAAAAAAATTGTCAATTTTGCTTAATTGTAAACTTGGTTCACTACATGTTCTAAAACTTCTTTATTGGTGAAAATTTTTGAATTTTATAAATATAATTTGAAATTTTAATGTTTTTTGTTCAAGAACATAAATTTAAATATTTCGTTTGCAGTAAAGCGAGCTACAACACGGACCCCGTGATTAAGGCGTTCGGGTTTTCGGTGGGCAACAAGTTTGAGGAAATGCAGGGCAGGGTGCTGAACCCTCCTGTGCTGGAATACGCCGAGAATAGACGGACGCAGCCGCAGAAAGGCGTTTGGAGATCGGGCGGGAAATTTTTCACCTCGGTCACCATCAAAAAGTGGACTATCGCAGTGGCCGACCGATACATGCCTAAAAACTTGAACCAATTCGCTGAAATGGTAAGTTTCAAGAAACGCAACTTTTCACAATGTTGGATGTTTTTTAGATTCCTATCCCTATTTATAATTTATTTCGTTAACAACTAGTTACTTCAACATTTTATATGGGTTTTTAACCCTTAGTTACTCGCGTGGTACAAGCAAAACACTACCAAAGTTATGGACTTTTTTGGAGTAAAAAATTAACGTTTTTGGTTTTACAAATATTAAATCAAACATTATTTTCAGCTAAGCAGATCAAAATTTTTTGAAATTTTAAAAAATAAGGGGAAAATAAAAAAACAAAAAATAAAAATTATTTGCTGTTAGGTTCAACCTTTTTGTAAAAAATCTAGTAGTTAATTTTCCCGTCTTTGTAAATAGCATCCATTTGGTTTGAAAAAGATAAACAATAATCATGAAACTTTTTCTTCATTCAATTTGCAAGTTACTGATCATTAATAGTCCTGGATAATATATACTAGACTGGGCCAAAAAAAATCAACTATTTTTTTTTGAAAAGTATATGGAAAATATTGTTTGGGGTGACAAACAAAATTATGGTCCATAATATCAATATTAAGAGGTCTATCATCGCAATTTTAGATTTTTTTTTCCTGAGCGAGTTTTTGTCTCAGAACTCCCAAATCATTGAGTTTAACAAAATTGACTCAAGAATATTTTTTGAAGAAAATTGAATGCTCTACAAAAAAGGTTTGATTGGAATTTCCCGTCAGATGAACCGTTTTCTTACAATCATGCCTTAAAAATTGGTTTAGTTTTACATTTTGATCTTTTAACTTTGGAATTTTGTAATTCATGTAAAAATCAGTACCCTGAAAAAAAAACGATAAATTTGAAGTCAAAACAAAATTTTAACCTTGAATAACTTTTGATTGAGTGAATTTAGCCAAAAATGTTGAGAGGCTTTTTTTGTAAAGCATCTGATTTCCCATAAGAATATTTATCGGTTCATCTGACGGAAAATTTCACTTTCACCTTTTTTGTGGAGCATTTAATTTTCTTGTGTTAATTTTGAGGTGTCTTTTTACTTTTAAAAATGTCTCCGACTAATGTTGCCCTTTGTACTTTAATTCTTGTGATGTTTAAAACACTTGCCACTTAATACTGTGACCGTCCATCCTGGATTAAATTAATGGCTCTGGCAACATCAGTCGGAGACATATCCATTTTTTAAAGTAAGAAGACACCTCAAAATTTAACCATTAATTTGCAAAAAACAATTTGATAGCTTTTGAAAGCCGTGTATGACATGTCCATGGGATGATTCAACAAAACTGTCACTGTCATTCGCCATAGCATATGGATGGACCATAGCAACCTTAGTTCTTCATACAGAAAAATATTGGAAATTGCAATGTTTTTTTTTTAAATCCATATTTTCCACAAAAATAAATATATCTAGGTGAACCAAAAACAAAACTGTTAAGAGTAGATGTGACTTAATAAATAAAACTTAATTTAGAACAATATACGGTTTTGCCACTCTACAGAGTGTCTTAAACTTATGGTAAAAAACATCTTTTTGTTTAAACTTGTATACATATAATAATTATAATTTTTTTAATAAAATTCCTATTTTGGCCAACTTTTTGAATAATACCCTTAAGCTTTGTCGTGAATTTAGAATTGTAACATTTATGAACTGTAGATTGTTGGGTCGACTAGAGAAAGCGGAATCGTGATGGGAAGACCCACGGAGCCGTACGTGCAGATGGGACGACGCCAAGATAAGGACGACATAATAAATTATTTCAAGAGAAACAAAACGTTAATTTGCATGTGACAGCCTCTCACTTTATTTAAAGAATTAGAAGAATCGCCTTGCTCAAGCTCTTCCTTTAAGATTATTTTACATGCTACTTTTTTACAATTTTTTGCTAAACCAGCGATATTTTCTATTTTTTCTCTCTACAGCAATTTTCTCATGAAATTACATGTACACCTAATTCCACATAGACAATTTTAAAAATGCGTTTTGTTAATAGGGGCTATTGTGTAGATTATAAAAAACGCAAATTAAAAGAATCTATTTTTTTTTCTTGAAACTTTAACTTTAGGAAGCTGTGGGACCACGAGTGTGAAACACTTTGTATAAATTATAAATATTTTATGCTTTGTCGTAAATTTGGAATTGTAACATTTATGAACCATAGATTGTTGGGTCGACTAGAGAAAGCGGAATCGTGATGGGAAGACCCACAGAGCCGTACGTGCAGATGGGACGACGCCAAGACAAGGACGACATAATAAATTATTTCAAGAGAAACAACGACTTCGACATAATCTTCGTGGTGGTGCCGAACAGCGGGCCGCAGTACTCGTACGTGAAGAGCGCCTCCGAGATAAACGTGGGCTGCCTGACGCAGTGCATAAAGGCGAGGACGCTGAACAAGCTTAACGCGCAAACGGTCGGCAACATCATGCTGAAGGTGAACAGCAAGCTGACCGGCGTGAACCACTTCCTGCACGCGCGGCCGCCCATCATGAACCGGCCGTGCATGATAATCGGCGCGGACGTGACGCATCCCAGTCCCGACGCGACGGAAACGCCCAGCGTCGCGGCGGTCGTCGCCTCGCACGATCCCAAGGCTTTCCAGTACAACATCTGCTGGCGCCTGCAGGACCCGCGCACCGAAGTTATCCAGGTACGACGGGCTTTTTTTTAAATTTTTAACTTCTTTGTCGGCGGGGTAAACCAAAAGATGAATCGGAAATGCCTACGCCGTATAAATATATTCGCTCAGTGGTGCTTTTACCCAGAGAGCAAAATGAGTTCATTATGAATTCATATAACACGACAGATGAGTCCTCAATTGATGCTCAATTTGCCATCACGCGTAAACTTTTTATTTTTTGCGCACGCGCTTTTAAAATATGGATTTAATTTTTCAAAATAATTTAATCTGTCGAAATATTTATTTAACATCTTAAGGTGAATTTATGGTCCATTAAAATAAGAAATAAGAAATAAAAATAAAAAATAAGAAATAAAAATAAAAGTTAAAGGTTTATAATTGCTAACATCACTTTATACTCACGAAAATAATAAATAAAAATAAAAGTTGGCAATTTCAACTTAAGATTCTTATTCTGCGTATTTTTGTGCGCAAATGATTTATTTTCGTCATCAGCTGACAGGTTTTTGTTTCGCGCGGAAAATTCGCAAATACTTTTGTGCAATAGTTAATTCTTAATTGTTGTGTTGTTTAATTACTGCAATAATTGGTGTTTTGGATTGTTTTTGTGTTAATTAATTATATTATTGGAAATATTTTTGTGCGCAAATGATTTATTTTCGTCATCAGCTGACAGGTTTTTGTTTCGCGCGGAAAATTCGCAAATACTTTTGTGCAATAGTTAATTCCTAATTGTTGTGTTGTTTAATTACTGCAATAATTGGTGTTTTGGATTGTTTTTGTGTTATTTAATTATATTATTGGAAATATGGAAGATAGGGATAAAAATTTCCTGTAAACCCTGCGATTACGATTTAGGGGTAGAATGCTGTACCGCCTCGCAGCCCGTTTCTTACGAACAATTCTTTTTTGCAACACTAAAAAGCTGTTGAAAGCAATACAATTTATTTCTACGACCACTATGTAAAAGTCACTTTTCATGATGACATCGTTGCTTAGAAAATGAATCTTTTTATTGACAAGGCAAAACACGAATGTAAAGTGACATTTCTGTGTGAAAAGTGACAGGTCTGTGTGAAAAGAAACGGAAAGCATCGTTTGACATTCAGCTGTCAAATAAGTTTTTAGGTTATTTTGTTTTGTATTTAAAAATAATGAAAAATAAAAGGGTCGCAGAAAAAACATTGTGTTATACTTGTGAGAAAAGCTTTCTTCAAGCTCGTGTTAATGCACACTCGGCCTAACGGCCTCGTGGGCAACTCGCATGAAAAAGTCGCTTTTCAACACTTGTAAAACAAATAACTAGGTATTTTAATTCTGATTCTGATTTTTAAAAGGTTACCACAGAACAAACCAACCAAAGAAACGAACGCTTTGGGAACTGTAAAACAATCAGGTTTAACCTCACTTTTGCATATTTTTCTTATTTTTATTATTTATCAGTAGGGATGGGATATTTAGGTACTAAAAACTGAAAAATAGGTAACTAAAAAGGTACTAAAAAAAAGCATTTTAGGTTAAAAAAACAGCATTTTAGGTAAAAAAAAACATTAAAAGTTCACGTTTCGTTTATAATTTTGTTTAGCCGCATACCCAAATACAGAGCATACCCACAATAAACTATTTCTATGCAATAAACTGTGTTTCACTGGGTGACACTCACTACACAGAAGTTCTATGACAGAAGATAAGCTCACTACAAAGAAGGTAACTGTAAAGAAAGTTACTGTTACAGTCTGTGACCATAAGAAAAAATTTTATACCGTTGAGTTGCACGCCCTGGATAAAATATTGGGGCAAAATTTAAAAAGAACACAAAAAAATAAAATAAGTAAAAATACGTAATAATAGATAACAAATAGGTGAAAATAAACTGACAAATTAAAAAATATGTAACAAAAGTATAAAAAGGTAGTTTAAAGCAAAAACTTGCAAAAAAGGTAAAAAAGGTGAAAAACAAACATAAATGACAACAAATGAAACTATTTCTTATTTTTTTATTTCTTATTTTTAGTGAGCATAAATTCACCTTTACTTTGGTGAAAGGTTAAGTGGGATTTTTTTATATTTTTATTAACGTACTAAAGAGCTTGTCAGCCATTAAAAGATCACCTTGTACGCTGTAATAATTATTTGTAGGACCTTGAAAACATCATGAAGGAGCAACTGATGTTCTTCTACCAAAAAACCAGGTGCAAGCCTGAGAAGATCGTGTTTTTCCGCGACGGCGTGGGCGAAGGGCAGTTCGACGAGATCCGAAACGTGGAAATCGGGGCCATCCGGAAGGCGTGCCTGTCGATGGGCGACAAGGGCGAGTACCAGCCGCCCATCACGTTCGTGATCGTGCAGAAGCGCCACCACACGCGACTGTTCCCGAAGAACCCGAGGGACTCGGAGGACAGGAACACGAACGTGCCGGCTGGAACGTGCGTGGACCACACGATCACCAACCCCATGATGCAGGACTTCTACCTGGTGTCGCACGCGAGCATCCAGGGCGTGGCCAAGCCCACCAAGTACTGCACCATCTGGGACGACAACGACTTCAGCAACGACGACATCGAGGAGTTGGCGTACTACCTGTGTCACATGTTCACGAGGTGCAACAGGTCGGTCAGCTACCCGGCGCCCACCTACTACGCGCATCTGGCCGCGGCCAGGGCCAAGGTCTACATCGAGAACGATCGGGTGGATTTGAACAATCTGGCCGAAGTCCAGAGGATCAACACGATCAAAGACTGCATCAGAAAAGAATTGCCCATGTTCTTCGTGTAACTTTTTATTTCCGATTTTTTTTATGGAAAATATTCTTCCATTTTTTTTGTCAACTCTGCTTTAGATTTTATATGTTTAACCCTTTGTATCCAAATAATCGTGAAAAATATTCTTTTTAATAATTTGTTTGCCAAAACTGCTTTAGATCATTAAAGAAGATAATCATTTATTTTTAAGCCTCTTATTTTTATCAAGGTATAAGGTATGTTTATTTAGGTTAATAATATAGTGTAGTATTTTATTTTGCTTGGAAAATAAAACATTTATAAACATTAAATATTTTTATTTTTGTATACATGTAGCGCAAATGGTATGGTAAGTTTGTGGGTTATGATAAAACAGTGGCGGCCCGTCAGGGGAGGCAGTGCCTCATAGAGAATTAAAAAATTAAGTATAATTTAAATATTTTACTTTCTATAATATACTATAAATTTTTAATATTTGGATTACATGAATTGTGAAATAGTCAATAAAATTGATTGATTTTATACGTGGAATACCCAGCAACATTTAAATTATTTGAATTTGAAACGACCACAATTTAAACTAATATTTATAGCTAGATGATTGGCTCAGAAGCATGCCTGAACTAATTTAGACTCACGATTGGCGTTAGCCTTGTTGTCTCGTTCTATTACAATTAGGGTTGGGAAAATTTCTCTTTTTGCTTGTACTTGAAATTTTCACGACATTTATGAAATTTATTAAAATTTCCTAAATGTCTGAAATTTCATGAAATTTATTGAAAATTTCAATAAATTTCAATCACTTTAAGTGTAATATATTAATATTGAAATAAGCCCACTCGGTGACCATGACAAATTGGAGCTGGTTTACTATCTGTGTCACATGTTCACGAGGTGTAACAGGTCGGTCAGCTACCCGGCGCCCACCTACTACGCCCACTTGGCCGCGGCCAGGGCCAAGGTCTACATCGAGAACGATCGGGTGGATTTGAACAATCTGGCCGAAGTCCAGAGGATCAACACGATCAAAGACTGCATCAGAAAAGAATTACCCATGTTCTTCGTGTAACTTTTTATTTCCGATTTTTTTTTATGGAAAATATTCTTCCATTTTTTTTATCAACACTGCTTTAGATTTTATATGTTTAACCCTTTGTATCCAAATAATCGTGAAAAATATTCTTTTTAATAATTTGTTTGCCAACACTGCTTTAGATCATTAAAGAAAATAATCATTTATTTTTAAGTCTCTTATTTTTATCAAGGTATAAGGTATTTTTATTAAGGTTTATAATATAGTCTAGTATTTTATTTTGCTTGGAAAATAAAACATTTATAAACATTTAATATTTTTATTTTTGTATACATGTAGCGCAAATGGTATGATAAGTTTGTGGATTATGATAAAACAGTGGCGGCCCGTCAGGGGAGGCAGCTGAGGCAGTTCCTCATCATAGAGAATTAAAAAATTAAGTATAATTAAATATTTTACTTTCTATAATATACTATAAATTTTTAATATTTGGATTACATGAATTGTGAAATAGTCAATAAAATTGATTGATTTTATACGTGGAATACCCAGCAACATTTAAACTAGTTGAATTTGAATTGACAGCAATTTAAACTAATATTTGTAGCTAGATGATTGGCTCAAAAGCATGCCTGAACTAATTAAGACTCACGATTGGCGTTAGCCTTGTTGTCTCGTTCTATTACAATTAGGGTTGGGAAAATTTCACTTTTTGCTCGTACTTGAAATTTTCACGACATTTATGAAATTTATTAAAATTTCCTAAATGTCTGAAATTTCATGAAATTTATGAAATTTATTGAAAATTTCAATAAATTCCAATCACTTTAAGTGTAATATATTAATATTGAAATAAGCCCACTCGGTGACCATGACAAATTGGAGTTGGCGTACTATCTGTATCACATGTTCACGAGGTGCAACAGGTCGGTCAGCTACCCGGCGCCCACCTACTACGCGCATCTGGCCGCGGCCAGGGCCAAGGTCTACATCGAGAACGATCGGGTGGATTTGAACAATCTGGCTGAAGTCCAGAGGATCAACACGATCAAAGACTGCATCAGAAAAGAATTACCCATGTTCTTCGTGTAACTTTTTATTTCCGATTTTTTTATGGAAAATATTCTTCCATTTTTTTTGTCAACTCTGCTTTAGATTTTATATGTTTAACCCTTTGTATCCAAATAATCGTGAAAAATATTCTTTTTAATAATTTGTTTGTCAACACTGCTTTAGATCATTAAAGAAAATAATCATTTATTTTTAAGTCTCTTATTTTTATCAAGGTATAAGGTATTTTTATTTAGGTTAATAATATAGTGTAGTATTTTATTTTGCTTGGAAAATAAAACATTTATAACATTAAATATTTTTATTTTTGTATACATGTAGCGCAAATGGTATGGTAAGTTTGTGGGTTATGATAAAACATTGGCGACCCGTCAGGGGAGGCAGCTGAGGCAGTGCCTCATCATAGAGAATTAAAAAATTAAGTATAATATAATATTTTACTTTCTATAATATACTATAAATTTTTAATATTTGGATTACATGAATTGTGAAATAGTCAATAAAATTGATTGATTTTATACGTGGAATACCCAGCAACATTTAAATTATGTGAATTTGAAACGACCGCAATTTAAACTAATATTTGTAGCTAGATGATTGGCTCAAAAGCATGCATGAACTAATTAAGACTCACGATTGGCGTTAGCCTTGTTGTCTCGTTCTATTACAATTAGGGTTGGAAAAATTTCACTTTTTGCTTGTACTTGAAATTTTCACGACATTTATGAAATTTATTAAAATTTCCTAAATGTCTGAAATTTCATGAAATTTATGAAATTTATTGAAAATTTCAATAAATTTCAATCACTTTAAGTGTAATATATTAATATTGAAATAAGCCCACTCGGTGACCATGACAAATTGGAGTTGGCGTACTACCTGTGTCACATGTTCACGAGGTGCAACAGGTCGGTCAGCTACCCGGCGCCCACCTACTACGCGCATCTGGCCGCGGCCAGGGCCAAGGTCTACATCGAGAACGATCGGGTGGATTTGAACAACCTGGCCGAAGTCCAGAGGATCAACACGATCAAAGACTGCATCAGAAAAGAATTGCCCATGTTCTTCGTGTAACTTTTTATTTCCGATTTTTTTTTATGGAAAATATTCTTCCATTTTTTTTTGTCAACTCTGCTTTAGATTTTATATGTTTAACCCTTTGTATCCAAATAATCGTGAAAAATATTCTTTTTAATAATTTGTTTGCCAACACTGCTTTAGATCATTAAAGAAAATAATCATTTATTTTTAAGTCTCTTATTTTTATCAAGGTATAGGGTATTTTTATTAAGGTTTATAATATAGTCTTGTATTTTATTTTGCTTGGAAAATAAAACATTTATAACATTAAATATTTTTATTTTTGTATACATGTAGCGCAAATGGTATGGTAAGTTTGTGGGTTATGATAAAACAGTGGCGGCCCGTCAGGGGAGGCAGCTGAGGCAGTGCCTCATCATAGAGAATTAAAAAATTAAGTATAATTAAATATTTTACTTTCTATAATATACTATAAATTTTTAATATTTGGATTACATGAATTGTGAAATAGTCAATAAAATTGATTGATTTTATACGTGGAATACCCAGCAACATTTATATTATTTGAATTTTAAACGACCGCAATTTAAACTAATATTTGTAGCTAGATGATTGGCTCAAAAGCATGCCTGAATTAATTTAGACTCACGATTGGCGTTAGCCTTGTTGTCTCGTTCTATTACAATTAGGGTTGGGAAAATTTCACTTTTTGCTTGTACTTGAAATTTTCACATTTATGAAATTTATTAAAATTTCCTAAATGTCTGAAATTTCATGAAATTTATTGAAACTTTCAATAAATTTCAATCACTTTAAGTGTAATATATTAATATTGAAATAAGCCCACTCGGTGACCATGACAAATTGGAGCTGGCTTACTATCTGTGTCACATGTTCACGAGGTGCAACAGGTCGGTGAGCTACGGCCCACCTACTACGCGCATCTGGCCGCGGCCAGGGCCAAGGTCTACATCGAGAACGATCGGGTCGACTTGAACAATTTGGCCGAAGTCCAAAAGATCAACACGATCAAAGACTGCATCAGAAAAGAATTACCCATGTTCTTCGTGTAACTTTTTATTTCTTATTTTTTTGTCAACTCTGCTTTAGATTTTATATGTTTAACCCTTTGTATCCAAATAATCGTGAAAAATATTCTTTTTAATAATTTGTTTGTCAACACTGCTTTAGATCATTAAAGAAAATAATCATTTATTTTTAAGTCTCTTATTTTTATCAAGGTATAGGGTATTTTTATTAAGGTTTATAATATAGTCTAGTATTTTATTTTGCTTGGAAAATAAAACATTTATAAACATTTAATATTTTTATTTTTGTATACATGTGGCGCAAATGGTATGATAAGTTTGTGGGTTATGATAAAACAGTGGCGGCCCGTCAGGGGAGGCAGCTGAGGCAGTGCCTCATCATAGAGAATTAAAAAATTAAGTATAATTTAAATATTTTACTTTCTATAATATACTATAAATTTTTAATATTTGGATTACATGAATTGTGAAATAGTCAATAAAATTGATTGATTTTTTACGTGGAATACCCAGCAACATTTAAACTATTTGAATTTTGAACGACCGCCATTTAAACTAATATTTATAGCTAGAAGCAGGCCTGAACTAATTTAGACTCACGATTGGCGTTAGCCTTGTTGTCTTGTTCTATTACAATGCGATATCATACCCTGATAGCACAGTTTATTCTAAGAATGTTTTTTAAACCTTCCAGTGAGAATATTCTTAGGATCATGCTATATTACTTCTAGTCATGTTCTAAGAATGTTTTTTAAACCTTCCAGTGAGAATATTCTTAGGATCATGCTATATTTCTTCTAGGCATGTTCTAAGAATGTTTTTTAAACCTTCCAGTGAGAATATTCTTAGGCTCATCCTATATTTCTTCTAAAGAACATGCTTAAAAGAAATATAGCATAATCCTAAGAATATTCTCACTGGCCTCTAGGCAGGTTCTTAGAAGGTGCAAAGTTTAGTGGTAAAAATTAATCCACTCTAAACATATGCTTAGAATGTTGAGAAAGTAATTAGTATTAAATACTAAGTAAAAAACAACCCAAAATATTTTTTATAGTTATTTATCAAATTAAAACAATATTAGATAACAAAAATACTTTTGCTGTAGGTATCTAAATTATCCGGCTTTTACATAAAATCTTCTATCCAACTTAAATACAATAAAAAATGTTTTTTTTATGAAAAACTTTTTGGTTTTTTCTTTTATGAAGAATTATTTTTTAAGTAAATATTTTGTTTTTTTATATTTTATTTAATGTTAAAAATAATATTTATTAATTTGTATACCGATTTTTTATTTCTGAATTAACATTTTTATGTATAATAATCGGGTGACGTTCACAATATCGAAATTTATTATATCGAATTCAAAATATCGAACCCTTTTTATCGAAAATCAAAATATCGAAAATTAAAATGTCGAAAATGATAATATCGAAAATTAAAATGTCGATTTGAAAATGTCGAATAATTAAAATTTCGAAAATTAAAATGTCGAAAATGATAATATCGAAAATTAAAATGTCGATTTGAAAATGTCGAAAATGATAATATCGAAAATTAAAATGTCGATTTGAAAATGTCGAATAATTAAAATTTCGAAAATTAAAATATCGATTTAAAAATATCGAAAATTAAAATGTATGATTAAAATCGAAGTGTATATGTACAGAGGCGCATCTGTAGATAAAGTTACGGTTATGCACCGAATTATCTTGGCTCCCTGGCTCCTAGAGATGCGCGTTTTATAGAAATGTACTCAAACTCAACAACACAACCCAACCCCCCCCCGCCCCATTGAGCAAAAAACCCAACTAAAATGGGCAAATTCATGTTACGATAAAAATAAAACACTTTTTAATTACATAAATTAGCCCATTTTAGTTGGGTTTTTTGCTCAATGGGGCGGGGGGGGGGCCAATGGGGCGGGGTCGGTTGGGTTGTGTTGTTGAGTTTGAGTACATTTCTATATCAGAGGCGCCTCTATACATATACACTTCGGATTAAAATAATATGTCGATTAATTGAAATATTTAAACAAAATATCAAATTCAAAATAAGAAAATATGGTTTAGTTTCACATTAAAATTCGATTAAATAAAATTTCGATATTATCATTTTCGACATTTTAATTTTCGACATTTTGTATTTTCGATATTTTGATTTTCGATAAAAAGTGTTCGATATTTTGAATTCGATAAAGTGAATTTCGATATTATGAACGTCGATATTTTATTTTCGATAAATTGAAAATTCGATTAAATAAAATTTCGATATTATCATTTTCGACATTTTAATTTTCGATATTTTGATTTTCGACATTTTGTATTTTCGATATTTTGATTTTCGATAAAAAGTGTTCGATATTTTGAATTCGATAAAGTGAATTTCGATATTATGAACGTCAACCATAATAATCCTAACTATCTTCAACTTCAATCTAATCTGACTTATCCCACAAAATTTTCCAATTTTACTTTTTATGTAATAATGTCATACAACTTATGGTTTAGAGGTCAAATTGTTTATTTAATATTTTTAAATAAATATATATTAATATGTCACAAAATTTTTTAAGGGGACGACAAATACATTTCACTGTCATATTATGACAGTGAGGCGTATTTGTCGTCTCCTGAAGAATTTTACGAATGTAGAATACAACATATTAGAACGTGGGTATCTGACATATTTGGAAATATTCTCAAAAGCTTCCTAGAAGCTCCATAAGAAACCTTCTAAGAACATTCCAAAAACGTATTCTTAAAATGTTCTTAGATTGCTTTTTAGGAAGGTTTTAAGAAGCTTCTAAGAATCTACTTGCATCATTAAAAGGGTATCTATTGAATGTTTTAAAAGTCCCTAAGAACATTCTTAGCACTAAGGGAAGGTTCTAAGAATATTCCATTATTCCGAGTCGTATCTTCTTAGAAGATTCTTAAAATCAAATTTTGCTATCAGGGTAGTTGTCTCCTTCTCTCGTATTAGCATACGCGAGGCAGGCACGCCTACATCCAAGGAAATAAGCAGGTGTTGTGGCAACACTGTTGCAGAATTTTAGATAAATTATACTTTTTTCCAAATTCAATAATAAATGGTATTATTTTTCTAACAATAAATTGATTTAATCATATATTATATCACGAGAACTAGGCTCAGTAGTTTTTGTTTGGTTTTTCTTGGAAAATGTTGAATGCAAAATAATTTAATAAAATCACGAGACCGCGTAGCGGTCGAGGGGTTTTATTTTTAATTATTTTGCATTAAACTAATTTTGCAAAAAGAAAAATCAAATAAAAACTTACTGAGCATAGTTTGACAGATTAAATTTATAGGTTGAGTGATATACGTCTAGATTATTTCTCGAATTAAAAGAAACTATTTGACAATTCATAAAATCTTACGTATTCAAGGCTTTTGATTGGTTCATATTATAATGAGGGAAATAATCGAAACTATATTTCTATTCTAAAATAACATATTTTAACACTATCGCCATCTTGTAGCCATCACAGTAACCAATAAAAAAAATACAGATTCCTTCTTTAGGTTTGTTTTAGTTATAAAATTCTGAACTGTTTAAAGAACAAATCTGTGGTTATTTACGCAATATTTTGTTTATTCTTTTTCTACGAGTTTGTCTATTTTATGATTCTTTTGTAAGTGGTTTATTCTGTGGGTTTAGTTAATTGAACTTGGTGATTTATGTAAATTTAGTCATTATGGATTTACGAATTTCTTTTCAGTATAAGCGGGTTTAAATAGATATAACATTTTTATAGCTTTTTGACGAGGTTTTTAATTTTAATTTAGGAGTTTTATGTGTGAATTTGTAAGATTTCTATTTATAAGAGTTATATTTATTTTGTTGATTGTTTCGCACTGTTCCCATTTTAATAAGGAGAATTTAGTAGTTTTTAGTTATACGCAACTCATTTATGCCTTTTTTCTCTCCAGTTCCCCTTACTTCCCTTCAGTTCCGCTTCCCAGTTTCCCTTTTTCCCGACAAGATAGTGTACTATTATTAATTTAATGATTAGGGCTTAAACCTAATGGTTATATTAATAATGCTGCACTTTACCTCTACACCTTCACGTGGTTCTTGCTGAACAATGAAATATTAATTAGACAAAAATGAGGTTTACTTGAAATAAACGTCATTTTTACAATAAAATATATTTCATTAACAAAGTAGATGATTCCTTCCCCACCACAGTCTAAGTTTTTTACTTAGTTTTAAGTATAGGTTGTAAACTGCGACGTCAGTTTTTTTAAGTTGGGTTTAAAAAAATTTCTTCGCCTTTAAATGAGGGCGAAACCCTGCCTCCGCCTCACCAAAATGATATGTCACGGGCCGCCACTGTGATAAAAAAACCTTAAAATTGACAAATGACAGTTTGATGGCAGCCCACATAGAATAAAGTATACTTTTTATAAAAGATGAGCACTCATTTGCCTCTGTGAGAGACACAACGTTTAAAACGATTTTTAATCTGTATAAACAGCACAAACCCAAAGCCAAGAATTGTAAACAACATAAAAATGGTCGCTGTGCAGTGGGTTGCCTAACTTCGTGATTTTTAGTATGCGCAAAACAAGGTAGAACAAATCTTATCGTGAGGATTGTGCAGTACACAGTAATTATGGTCCACACCTACGTGACTGATATGAAAAATTAAAGTTAGTTTTCTCTCAGTGTTAATTTTCTTTTATTTTTTTAAAGAATGAATAAAAAACTTTGCTGGTTTTTGTTTTATGTACAATTTAGTAAGGTCACAAAATTTCACAAAGTTTTTTTATATATGCAGTTTTATAAATTTGCTATTCGCTTTTCGTAAGCAGAAAACGCAACACTTTTGAGAGTGTTTAACATCGACGATCCTGTTTCCCGAGCCATTTTATAAAATAAAGTATCTTCATCTTTAATAAGCAAATATGGGTGATCGAATTCAACGATTTTTCCATTTTGCAAAACCATCACTTTATCGTAATCCATTATTGTCATCAAACGATGCGCTATAGTTAGAACGGTGCAATCTCGGAATTTCTCTGCAATGGTATCTTTAATCATCCGGTCTGTTCTAAAAATAAATGTACATAAAATGCAGTCGACAGTTAAATGCTATGCTGAAACAACGTTGTATACAGCTTTTAAGTGACAGAAATGAGTTTTGTGTAATATGAAGAGAAACGGATCCTTATGTATGAAATATGCGACTTTACTTTCCATAGAAAATGATCTGCAGAGAAAGCAATAAACCAATCAAAGCAC